CAGAGGCAAGGGAGCAAACTGCTGGTTGTTAATCTCCAGCAAGGTAGAAGTAGATGAGGTAAGAGGAGGAGCCGAGAAATCAGATGACTTGGATGAAGAGGCCATTATAATAAGATTAGAGAAATAGTAAGGAAGTTGACAGGTAAGGTAACAGGAACGAAGGCAGGAGCTTAGGGAAGAAGACAAGATTGCAAAAGAGGATAAAAGTTCGCGTAAAGCCAAAGTGAAGATAGGTTGAGAGGTTAAAGGGAAATCGTATAGGGAGATGGAACGACGGAGGTGAAAGGTAATAAATGCAGCGTACTGTGAAAGCAGCAGACTGATATGATGGCGACGTAAAGAGGAAAAGAAACCTAAAACCCCTTTTAAACCTAGAACCCCAGAAACCCTAAACCCTAAACCCTGTGGACCTTCCAAACATTAAAGCGGGAATATTGAAAGAATATAAACTGAAATCATTCATATTCTTTCAAGGGGGCATTTGTTAGTGGCAAATCGAGAAAAACGATCGGAATCGAAGGAAAAGAAATGTGACTCGATAAGATAAACAAAAATTCATTCGATGTCCAATTAGAAACACGTAGCATATAGCATCGAGAAGCACAATCGAGAATCGAATGACTGTTGTCAAATAAAGACTAAGTCATATAAGACCAGGGCTAAAAAGGAATCGTAAGCAATTCGAAATTCTCAAAGAATACAGAATTGAGAGTAAAGAAAACCAATGTGGACATCGAGATTTTGGTCAAATCGTGAAAGGAAGTGAGTCGAATGCACGTATAAAGAGCAGTTTTGAAATCATGGGAAAAAGTCGGAGATCATGAGAACGTGGGAAACTATAGAAGATAAACTGTCATACGCACGTAGAACGTGGTAGCAGTCGTGTTAACTGCTCTTAGGAAGGTTTGAAGGATGCCCTATAAATAGAGCAAAGGAAGAAGGAACGAGAGGAGCAAAAATTGGCGAGCACGAGAACCGGTAGTGAAAAGTCTACGGAGAAACGACGAACACCATGAAGCTTACGGCGGTCGGATTTCCCTGCTCACGGAGTACATTTATCGCTTTCTTTATTTTCCTTGGTAATTTACTTTCGACCAATTTCGATTCAGCAATTTCATGTTTTTGTACTTTACATTCAATGTCATTTCGATTCAATGTCAAATTAGATTTCTGCATCTAAATGTCTAGTCATTCAATATTCTGTCCATTTCGATTTCCGCATGTTTCGATTTCCTGCTATTTACTTTTCACGCAATCTTAATGGGTTTAGCACTTTACATTGTCTCGCACTTTAAAAATTCCGCTTTTCCGATTTGACGTCTTTACTGCTTTCGATACTTTAAATCACAAAAATATCAAAAACAGAGTTTTCAATACATGTAATTGTCGATTCTCATACACGTTGTCGATTGAAAATCAAATTGCTAGCCTAAGTAAAAAGAACTTACGTGGTAGAATTTTGATTAGGACCAAAACACCCTTAGAATCGAAATCGATCGAAATTCCACCAAAAACACTCTGATAAAGAAAAGTATATGCATTGCATAGTTGCATAAACAGTGACGTACAATAGTAAAATCTGGATAAATTAAGAGAAGAAGGATGAAATAATTAAAATAAAAATATTTTAAAAAGTAGTAGAACTCTCTACTATTTTTTCCATTTTATTTTTTATTTATATTTATTTTTTCAACCAAACATTTTTTTTATTAATTTTATTTTCTTTCTCAGTGAGTGACTTTAGAATAAAATTTAATATGTTATTATAAATTTGTTTAAAATTTGGTCATAAATAAATTTTTCTATTTTTAATCAATTGATGATATATAATAAAACATTCATTTTTATATTTAAATAGGAAAGATTCAAACTCTTAAATGCTAAAAATGAGTAACCGTTCCTAAATCATTTTCAATACAAAATGGGGGCAATAAAATATAATAAAATGAATGAGGTTTGAAGGTGTGGTGGACAAATACTAAATTAAATCCCTACCCAAGAAAATAATGTAGTTAGTTGCAATATGCACAACAAAGTTATGGGCACTCTTTCTAGGGTTTTAATCATCCAAGGTGTTCAGCTTTGATTACATGAAAGCTTATGTTATAATTTTTTTTAAGAGAATCATTTTTATTTTCTGTCATTTCAAAAGTTTAATCTAACACTAATTATATCATCTTCTAATAATCCTTTTCTCTACACATATTTTATAAACATTTCATGTATTTATCAATGGTGGAGGAAATACTAAAGTGATAAATAAGACTAAAATTAATTTTTATTTAACTAAAACAATAAATGAATAAAATTTATTTATTTAAAAGTAGCTATAAAAAGTATTCTCTTTATTTATTTGAACATATAAACGCTTTTAAAAACCAAATCTCTTATTTACTCTAGTTTGGGCTTCCTGAACTAGGTACACGTGTTTTGGGCTGGTTATTCTTACTTCTGTATATTCATAATCATTAAGGCAGTACCTGAATTATAATACATTAAAAAATAATTAATCTTATTATTCTGTAAATTTTTAAATATATAAACAAAACAAAAAATAGAATCTACAATTAAATGCTTAAAAAATTGTCCCAATAAATTGCAATGTTTACTGCATTCAATTTCTCATTTGTAAACTTGTTAAATAAAATCTATAATTAATATTATTAATCTTAAAATACACATTATCTTTAAAAAAATGGTATTTATAATATTGACAATTATTTTTCGAAACCAAATACACGTAAAGTTTCATTAATAAAAATTATCAATAACAATAAAAGTAAATTGATCAATTTCATTGCTTAACATATTTATTTACACATTTAAATCATAATTTTTCGCATTAAAATAAATAACCGGAATGCATGAATATTACAAATAATATTGTATGGATGAAACTATTTTTAATTTCATATTTTTTTTTCTCTTTATACATGTGTATTTTTATTATGAGTTCGCTCACTTTTATTTCAATAAATGAATTTTAATTTTACTTTTATCCTTTTTCTCGAAATAAAGGACAAGTTTAACATTGTCTAATTTTTTTCATTATCTTAAATGCAATCATTTGAAAGTAAAAACTGCAGTAGAAGTACAATGGTGTCAGACAGATGCATTAAAAAACTCCAGTTCAACGCGTTCAATGGATGTGTTCTTCTGTTTATTTTATATTTCAAATGTCTAAAAATAAAAAGATAATTATTGTCTCATTTTGTTTCTAAAAAACATTATCCATCGGCAAAACAAAGCTATTTACTAAACCCACTTGCCTTTTGATTTGGTGTTTTTTCTTCCCTTCTTGTCTTGTTGTTTTATCTTCTCTCATGTGTCAGAAAGAAAACTTGATTTCTCTTCTTATACAGATTCAAACTTCCAAGTTCACACCATCATTAATTTTCTTTAGAACCCAAATTCACTCACAAATTTTATAGCCTCCAAAAACCGACAATAAGGAGAAATATAATTATGTAAGATTATATTTGGCAAACTGTTGATGAATTAATTTGAAGTTTACACTAACTACAGACTCATAATTAGTCTTTAGAAGTGAACCTAAAATCAAATTAGTTAACGAGACATTCAACAAAAAATATTTATACACTTTTTATATGAATTTTACTTTTTAAGATAAAAGTAAAAAATAGCGAGAAGATTCCTTTAGTTAATCAACATAGAATGTAAAACATTGTAAAAAATATTGAGTAGACTTCTGTTTATAAAAAAATTATCTAAAATTTCAAATTTATCGTTATAAGCAACTTATACTGTATAACTCAAAATTTAGTCCAATATTATATGGATTAAGTTGTGCATCGTAATAGATTTAAAAAGTTATAACGTCGCACGAAGTTAAAATGATGTATGGCAATTAGTTGATAGACATGTGCAATCAGAGATGAAACACATGGGGTTAGGGGGGTTAACCCCTATATATGGATTCAAACATGTGACTATAAACCTAACAGGAAAAAAAATCATTATTTATTAATAATGTTCCTATCAGTAATCTTTTTTGAGAGATTAAACATGATGTTTCTCTATATTCGAAGCTTCGATGTCAAAAAATATCAAATAATTCTATATTTAAAAAATTTATTTTTCATTGATGTTTTTGGTAAACATGAGGTAAACTGGTTTCTGTTTCTCAGTAATTGTATTAAATGTAAACCAAATGTTACCCTTTCATGGTAATTCAGGTTATACAGCTTGTCGGTCCTTTTCCAGACTACTAGAAATTTTTTTTAGGAGATTTTTGTTTATATTAATGTGGAAATAGCTTTAACCACACAACATTTTGCCATTATCCTTGCTTTAGAAAATTACTTTTAGTAGGGGTTGGATTGGAAGACTCTATGACTGAACACTCAAATATCTATATTGACTTTTTCATGATAAACACGTTGCGCTATGGCGTATTATGAAGGGAGTGTTTTACTATCTACTCACCTAGTTTTATAAATTACACTCTATTTTTATTGTCATAAATTTGAACTAATATACTCATAAGTTGTGGTATATACATTCCTTTATTGATTTTTTTTTATAAACAGATATATATATATATATAATACTAAATTCTAAATTTGGCTGGCTTTATTTATCTATAGATAGATAAAAAAGATAAGATAAGACAGGTTGATTACACTTTTTTCTTTTTGTATCATTGCATAAAATTTGAAAATTATCATAACATATTGATCGAAAACCTTCTCTTGGAAATCTTAGAGAGGTAAATTATGATGAAAAGTAAAAGTGAGAATATAACAGTACTGATATAAGTTGTGAAATGTGTATAGCATAAATAATTGAAAATCAGGAAAAGGAGTACAGGGAAGGAGGAGAAACTAATGTGTGGAGTGAAAGGAAAGAGTGAAGAAAAAGAAAGGAGGGGGGCATGATTTAGATCACAGATTTACAATAAAAGGGTTGTTTGGTGAGAAAGGTATTTATTTACAAGAAGTGGCCACAAGATTTAGGATGGTGAGGATGTGTGGTAGGGTTTATGGTGACATTTGGAAGGTAGGAGCAGCGCCATTGCCGGATCTTGGTTGCCGAAGAAGCTCTATTAGTTTCTCAGCCTGTTCCCAGTTCAACAACAATAACAAATAAATAAAAGTTGCAGTATTGAATAGTTAGAACATTAATTAACTAATGAGACATGTTTGGTGGTGAGGTGGCACTTGATGTTCAGAGTTGTTTCAGAGAGTAAGAATGAAAATAGATAGTAAAGAATGCAGTGCAGAGAAAACCTTTTGCTTGGCGCGATTGGAGTGTGACTGTGACAGAGCAACCAAGGGTGGAATGGCTCCTTCGCGGGACACCATAGTACGGTACACCACACTCTCCTCGCAAATCTGCAACAGAACCCCAACCGCAATCTCCTTCTGCCTCTGCGTCCCAACCTCCACTATCTCCACCACCACCGGAATCCCCCCTTCCTCCACCAGCGACGCCCTCCCCTCCGCAACCCCCACCACCACGCTCACCACGTACACCGCCTTGTCCACCATGCTCGACCCCAAGTCCGCCATCAGTTCCACCAGCACCCTCATAATCCCCGCCCTCACCGCTCTCACCTTGTTCTCCTTCACCGAACACAACGCGTACAGCGCCGTCGCCGCGTCCTTCTTCCCGCGCAACCCCCCACCTTCCAGAAGCCTCACCAGAGGCGGAATCGCCCCCGCCCTCCCTATCGCCAACTTGTCCTCCTCTCTCTGCGAGAGGCGTAGCAGCGCGCACGCCGCGTTCTCCTTCGCCGTCGCCGTCCCCGTCTCCAGCGCCCCCACGAGCGGCTTCACCGCTCCAGAGGAATTGATCAGCTCTTTGTTCTCGTCGCAGAGGGAGAGATTGAGAATCGCGGTCACCACGTACTCCTGGAGCTGAAGGTCCGACGACGAGGATAAAAGTGAAATCAAGGGTTTAATCGCGCCGGCTTTTGCGATCTTGACGCGGTTCTCTTGCTTGTTCTTGGCGAGTAACCTGATTTCCATGGTGGCTTGCTTCTGCTCCTCAATGGAACAGGAGTGGAGGTTGACAACAAGGTGGGTAATGAACTCGTCGGAATTGTCGGCGGCGCAGGCGATGAGGAGGCGGCGGCTCTCGGAGGAGGGAGTGGGGAATTCGCCGGATCTGTCGCTGTTGCAGTCGCTGAAAGCGGAGAAGGAATGGTCGTTGTTGACGGTGGTTAACATGGCCCTCCCTGTACGGTGAGTACGTGAATGAATCGTAACGGATGGTTTTGGAGTGAGTCAGAGAAAAAGAAAAAGGAGAAAAAAGGAATAAGGTGGCAAATATATTGGAGGGGTTTCTCGGGTCTGCTTCGGAGCGACACGTGCATCTATTTAATTCAATGTTGACCGTACCGTATCCCACCCGGAAAACAACCCTAAACACTCCCTTCCTCGTCTTTCATTTCTTTGTTTCCACGGTGAGTGAACGAAGGGAACGTTAACTTGGTGTCCACATGAACATCATCAAATAAATGTTTTGCTGCCTCGCTCTGCACATGCTTTCATATCAATCATTTGGAACAGTACAGGTCACCCCACGCCCCATTGCCCTTCATTATCATCCTTCCTTCTCTCTCGTCTCCACAAGCTTAATCATTAACAAATTCTAAATAATATACTACACTCTAATTTTTAATCCATACTTTATTTCTTGTTTATTCCTTCCTCATCACCCTGCCCAACCAACTTTTATTGTTTCTTTAATCCTTAGTAGCCCAGTTTCTTGTGTTTTCACAAATAATGCCAAATCTATTGCCATAACAAAAAGTTTGAAGCTTTCTCCATGTCCTCATGGATTTAAATATGAATTTTTACTCCCTTTATATATATGATTGACTTTCAACTTTGTCTCTCTTTCGCTTGCACATGCTCCTGCATAGAGGTGGCCATAAAAGCTGAATTGTCCTCATCTTCTTGAGAGTTTGAAAGAAACTAAAACAATTGCAAACTTAATTCAATATTTGTAGGTTTAATTAAGTGAATTCGTAAATTCAGACCATGTTATTTTCTTAATTAACGGAATTGAACTTAAAATTGATTTTCCGTTCGAAATCAAAACTTTTTCTTACTCTAATTTTGCTAAATTTGGTCTGGAGTGTTCACACAGGCGAGGGTTCCATTCATGCTCTTTCAAATATCTCGCCCTTCTGAACATTCTCGGTGAACGACTGACATCTTCAATGGAGGGATAACGTTTTTTTTTTTTTTTCTCTGGGCCTGCAATTTTTATTTAGTTCATATATACATAACAATTAGCAGTTGGGAGATAAAAAAATTAGAGTATTATAATTCAGAAAATCTTTTCATATATTATATTCAATAAGTTACATCATATTATTCTAAATACTAATGAAGAACTTCTACCACCAGAATAAAGCTTAATAGCAAGAAAGTTTGGATAATATGCGGAAATTGCATGTTCTTTCATCTATTTCATTTAATAAAATTATAAATTAAAACAATATTAAAATTATTATGTAAATACTTTGAAATAAATTAAATATAAAATAATTATCTTTTAAAAACATCAAAATTAACTGTTTTTAAGTTAGAGTTATATGATTTTACACTTATAATGTATTTAAATTATTAACTTTTAATACAATGGACTAATTTCTCGCATTACAACCCATATTTCATTAGCTTATTTATTAATTTCACTAAATACTTGCTAATTAGAAATAACGAGATCGACTTTAATTCTGTTTTTCCTTTTAATTTTTTATATGTTTTTGGGTGCAAGATAAAGGAGAGGGCTTTTGATTGGATCCACGTGGAGGATAAAGGAAATGACTTGAGGAACGTTTCTTTTCACAAAAAGCAATTGATGACGTGACGATGGCAACTATGCCAATTGGATTTATGATTATTGAGTTTAATGAACCATTTAAATATTTCGAAATAAGAAAAAAAATTCGTTATTATCTCTTTAGGAGATGACGAGTTTTAAAATAGGTTTAGGCTGTAAATCAGTTCAAAAAATTTTAAAAATTATTTTGTTAAAAAAAATTATAACTTAAATAAAATTAGATAAATTTTTATTTAACCTATTTAAATCCGAATTATCAATTAGTAAGTATAAAATAATAATTATTTTATTAATAAAATACAAATAATATTATTTTATTAAAAATATATATAATAAATTAATTTGATAATATATTTGGTTATATATATATATATATATATATATATATATATAATTTTTATAAAATATTAAACTCTAAACATAATCTTCATCTATTTTTTTCTTGTTACTATCGTCATATTTATTTTTAAAAACCAATAGTTAAAGAATAAAACCAATAGTTTAAGATGATATATTCTTTAATGTAATGTATTTTTAATTTATCATGTTATATTAGATAATAAGACTAATTTTTTGAAATAATGAAAATTTAACTTTAAAATTTACTCGAGATACACTTACTAGATGCATTATTAAGTATGATCTTCAATTAAGTTATATTAAGTATGAGGGAGTCTAGGAAGTAAATAAAGTTTTGAATTCTAATTTTAAACCAATAAACACTTCAATTACACAAGTTTATCATGATGTGTATTTAACAAAAAAAATAAAGAACTAAAAAATGTGATATCTAATATTTATGATATGATATTTTAAACCAATTATGATATATATTTTAAATCAATTATTGTCAACATTTCAATTACACATATTTATAACGTGTATTTAACCGAAAAGAAAAAAAAAACTAAAAGATGTATTATGTAATATTTTTTATAGGATATATTTGATTTCTAACATATGAACAACTATAATACATGATCATGATTGTAACAACTTATTTTTATGATTTATATATTTGATTTTATTTTATCTAGGTTATGAATAAACTTAAAATAAAGAAATGAATAGTATTTTTGTAATTTAAAAAATTATATAAATAAAAAAATTATTTTTAATTAGATAAAAAATAATTTATTAGTATAATATAGGATTATACTATACCAAAAATTTTGATCTATTTTAAAATATAAATAAAATTGGACCATTAGATTTTTTTACTTAACTCATAAAATCATATCATGTGAGACTGAATTGTCCATATTGACAATAGAATCTATCAAAACATAAATTAATATTTATCATTATTAAATTAATCCACTGATTAAATATTTATAAATCAAATAAATAAATTAAATTTATTATTACACCAAAATAAAGAAAGTATTGAGTTCTTCTCTGTGATGATTTCATATGGAAATTTATAATAATTGTTGCCTTTAAGGGCTAAGTAAATGATTTTATATTTTCCATATGCAAAACTTAGCACAAATCTTGAATAATTCAAGTCAAACTTAGAATATTAAAGAGAATAAAGCTTTACAAGAATTCACTTTTTAGCTTCATGAATCTTCAAAAAGAGTTTTCCTTTGAAAATCAAATTCCATGCCACTTGAACAGTCAAAGTATTAAGATGGTAAACGATACCTACTTTTCAATTATATAAATACTAAAATATCCAATGAAAACTAATATATTTCATTTGTCACTTTTTAAACTCAGATAAATATTATATTTTTATTCATTTCTCTACAACAGTGCCTTTCTATTTTAAACTTTTTTTTTAACCCAAGGTTTTCGAATAACTTAAAATTCTCTTACAAGAGTTTTTTAATATTTATCGTCATTATTAATTAAACAAATAATGACTAGTTTTTACATTTTGAATTTTTTTTTCACAAATTTAAGAATTATTAAAAAAAAAACATTATAAGAAGATATAGCGTAGTTCTCCAACCAAATTAATATGACTTTAAACAACAGTTGACGATGCGTCATCCATTTGTTTATAAAAAAATAAAATAAAAATTACATGCAACGAGCCAAGGAATACATTTGACTTTAATGTCCTTTTCTTGAATCTCCAGTAATATGTAAAATTAGTTCGGAAAATATAATGAATAAAATTAACAACGTACTTATTTGTTGAGATATTTAACAAATAAGTGATTAATGTCTGAGAACTCAGTTAATTAGGAGAAGTTGACACTTAGGCACAAACTCACGCTAAAAAGTTTTTAGAAAGAAGCTTATTCAAATATATCCTAAAATAATAGTAATGAACTAACATATTTCCTTCCCTCTTAATTTGAGTTATTTTGATCTTTTTTATTTTATTTGAAATTCTTATTATAATTTAGAGAATAAATTAAAAAATTTATAATTTTAATTATACATACACCACAACAATTTTTCAAAAAATCCCAATCGAATCCACTTGTTAAATTTACATGGAGAATCGCATTAGCCATATCTATGTTATTTCATATAAGTTTTATTTATCCTTACAAAATTAATTAAATAAATGTTAAGTAGTATTATTAGAACACCGATTAAAGAATTAAAAGATAAAAAAAATGTCATTAGAATGCTCAAAATGTGTTCTTCTATGATTATTATTTTTGTTGATGCACTTTTATTTGATTCTCAACAAAAAAAATTATTTTAATTTATCAACTATAGGTCTGCTTAAAAGGACTATTATTCAATTATTAGTGATTTTTATATATAAATTCATATTTTGCAATTCATAATCAAATAATTACAAAAGAACTAGGAAGTGTTGTAATCAATCTTTTAATGGATTATTTAACTTATGATTCGATTTGGCAAATATTCTTTTATATATTTTTTCTCTTATTACATTAAACAGTTTTTTTTTATTTCTAATTTATTTTCATTCATTCTATTTTTCTTTTCACCCTCTATATATCGTTAGCTATTTTCTTTTACGAAAAATATAACTGATACGTGTTTAATTTAATTCTTTGGCATTTTTTTTAATAATACGTACTTACTTTTTAACGATTTTTTTTCGATGGTGTCTTAAAGTTTAGATGTCTTATAAGAACGTGTATTGAAAAAAGCGTCTTATGGTCCTACAAGTGACGTGTGTACTTTTATAAAACAAAGAATAATAATAATAACGATAAATGTCAGAGTCGTTAATGTATGCGATTGACATCTTCTACATATCATTGGATGAAATATAAGGATATTAAAACGTTAATTCTGGAGTTTATTCAGCAAAGAAAAATTTAAAAATTGTTGACTGATTAAAAAATTATTTGAGTGGTTTACAGTAACAAGTTGGGATGGCTGGGCGAGTCCCGTTTTGGCCTCTCGTTTTTGTTCCGTAATAAATGAGACTGAGCGGGCTGGTTCGATATACGCTTCACCAGTTGTAAATCTTGGTCTGATATGTTAAAAGGCGGGTTTGCGCCCAGCCTGCCGGACATAATTAAAAAATAATAATTTATTTTTTAAAATAATTTTTTTAATAAATTTAATAATAAAATTATTATTTATTTATCAATAATTTAATATATATATATATATATATATTTCAATTTAATACTATAAATCAATACATTATTTTAAAAAATTATAATTTAAAACAATAATAAAATTTACATAATAATAAATAATAACAAATATATATATATATAAATAACATTAAAAATTATAAAATTTATATTTTTTATATTGAAAAATTCAAATACTTATATCTTTTTTATTTAATAAAACTTCACATTATTCTTGGTTAAGAATAATTCTTCCATCTTTAATTCAAGTCAGAAAGATAAAAATAATCAGTGTTTAGGATGAACAAGAAGAACATGAGAGAGAATATTGTGTTTCATTAAGAAAAATATGTTCTATGATAATGAAACTTTTTTAATTCTTTATTTAAAATTTTTAACTTTATATATTATCTTTATAATTAATTTTATTACAATAAAAATATTTTTTTATTAATTAGAGCAGGCAGTAGGCTGACCCGACCCGTCCCGTCCCGCGGGTTAGCCCAATAAGTTGGCGGAACGACTAAAGCGAGCTAAGTAAATTTGAAAATAACAACCCACCCCGTCATATTATGACGGATCTGGCGAGTCAACCCGTCGTACTTGACCCGTTTTGACTTCCTGTTAATAAGATCACTTAACAAAAACCACTAAATTAAAAAATACGCTATATATACTATTAATTAAAAACAAATAACTATTAATTAAAAACAAATAACAAAAACATGCATTCTGACTACTTGCATGTGATTGGTTTGTTCGAGTAAAATGAGTTGAATGACTTCAAACATGAATTCGGTTTCAAATTCTGAATAAAAGTAATTAACAGAAGAAAACTATTCATGAAATGTATGAAGTAAAAGATATTTGACACTAATAACGTAATTAAAAACCATGCAGTAGGACTACAATGAATAAAAAGGAAAATGTTTGTGTGATTGAGATAGAGTTTATGTTTCTTGCTTGCAGCAAAACTGAGAAATTAGCAAAATCAGAAGTTGTGCACCTTCGTAGATACTTCCCACAAAATTCAAATCCAAAAATTATAACACCAAAACTTAAATGCATCGCATCATCATTATTATATATATCCACAACAACGATGAGTTCATGAGAATTCAAATAAAAAAAGCATCCGATCGAGGATACTACGAATACTACATATATGTAAAGAAGATAACTGAAACTCGACTCAGACCGAAGCATAGAGCTTTGGAACAAAAGAAAACCACTTGAAAGCAGTGGTACACTTGAGAGGCAAATAGGGACACCTTGGAAGCCAATCCCAACTCCTCTTGGAAACACTGTAGTGCAATATCTCTGGCCACATGTAACAGCAAACGCAGATCATACCCTCATGCCAGAAGCAATAAACATGTTCATAGTTATGGTAACAAACCGATACAAATTTTCTACGCATAATCTCAGGCAACGACACCACTTCCACCCAAACCCCTTCACCCGTTAATTCCCACAGCTTGATGTTCCTGGAGATCCCATCGGTTCCAACCCCACCAACCAGATACAACTTCCCCTCTCCATCGTCGTCACTCACCAGACTCACGAAAGTGAGTTGCTGGGGCAACTCAGCCACGTGCCTCTCCCACTTCCCACTCTCCAAGTCAAAACGCACCACCGAGAACGGTTCCGGGGTGGTGAAGTACACCCCCCCGTGGAAGAAAGTACCCTGCTGGTGACAACTGTCGCTGAGAATAGCATCGAAACCCTTGAAGCGCCGCCACGAGAGGTCGTTAGAGTTGTAGACAAAGGCAGTGTTGGAGGTTGACTTTGAAGAAAGGAGAAGTAGGTTGTAGCCAAAAGGGGTGGTGACAAAAGTAAGGTGGGTCAAGTGAAGGGAGTGAGTTGGGGATTCGATTCTTCTAAAGGACTTGACAAAGAGGTTGCATACGAGAAAGGAAGGGGAAGAGGGGTTGAAGAGACAAAAGAGGCCACCGGAGGAAGATACAAGAGAGAAGGAAGAAGAGAAAGGGAGAGAGGGAGAGATAGTGCGCCACGATGAAAGGTTGGAATCGTAGAGACGAAGGTGGAGAGGGCACTGAGGGTGTGAGAGTAAGAGAAAGGAAGAGAAGGGTGAGGAAGAAGAAGAAGACGATGATGAAGAGTGTTTGGAAACAAAGGAAGGAGAGAAGAGAAGAGAGGAGAAGGCCTTGCAAGTGGGTCTGAGGTTCAAGAGAGTCTTGAGAGGGAGTAACAGAAGAATGTGTTCAACAACATCAGGAGGTAGTTTGCTCCAGATTCTGGGGTCCATTGTTGTTGTTGTTGTTGAAGTGAAGGTTGTTATGTCTTTCATTTCATTGGAGTTTCCGAATTGATGTTGTGTATGCTGTGATAAAGAGGAAGAAAGCAGCCATGATGAGTTGACTAAAAGAAAAAAAAAGCTTGAGGTACGACCCATGTTTGTTTTTTATTTTTAATTGGATTATTAGCCCCCTATGGTATATGTCACTTGAGTGTATATTTTAATTACAGTCTAACAATTTATTTAAAAAATATTTTTTTTTATTGAAAAGAAAACTATATTGTTGACAATTGTAACTTGCTTATGACACAGCTGAAGACATTTTAAGTTATTTAAAGTAGGAAATAATTAACGGGGATCTCTTAGGTGTTGATTTGGAATAATGAGATATGAGAAGTCTGCAAGTATGGCGTAGATTGCAGGGAAAATCTCGGCTTGACTTCATAAAATACATTGTTGGAGAGAAACAGGACACTTTACTTATTTATTCTTTTGACTAAAATTAAGTCTTATAATTGATTTCAATTATTCAAATTTGTAAGAATAGTTCCAGATTTCATTGAAGATTCAAAGAGCATAATAACGATTGTTCCTAAAAAAAGAAATTAAAGATAAAAAAATCAAAAAAGAGATGATGTAATAGCATATGTTGGACTTGCGTTTTCCAAGATATAAACATAGTATGCAATGATGCAATTGCTAATTTGTTATGACAGAGTTTTATTAAAAATTAGAAGTGTCGCAAAGGTGAATAGTATTCGGATGATTATATAATTATAACTCTTGAAAGTGCATATCAATTTGAAGTTATTGGAGCAATTTGCATGTAAAATAAGCTTAAAATAGTATTTGTAAAATTATATTCCAAATGAAATTAACACAATTTTACTGTATTCTTTTTAATGATGTATATATAATTATGACAAAAATTAGTAAACACTAATATTGAACTTATATTTACTGCCAGATGAACACCATTACCCAATTATTGTGATTGTAAGCTATGGGGAACTGTATAAGTTATTCATATGCCCTACTTGAAAGGAAATGTAGGGTAAAAATACACCCAAATCCTTCTAAACAAAATTCGATTCCGGGATGGAGTTAAATTAACCTTTACAGACATTATACTATTCTTTATATTGTAGAGGATATTGATATTGGCATCAAGAGAGCCGATTGCACATTCGATAATGCCACTATGTATGAACCATGTAGAACATATCTATGCACCTCACTGAACTTTAACCCTGCAAAATTATAAGGTTCGCATGTAGACAAAAGCCAAATGGTTACCGGGCAGATGCATAAATATGGTATCTTGGCAAGTAAGAAATATGGAATAATTAACTTAAGCGCTTAATAACCGCTCATTCCAGAGAAATGCTTCTTCATGGCTCGGTCCTTCTGGTGGTGATTGTTTCTTCCTCCTCCCCTGCCCCTCCCTCTCCCTCTTCCTCTACCCCTTTGGTTATTCCCATCCACCTCAGAATCATCAGATTGTTGCTCCTGCTGCTGATGAGATGCAATCTGTCTTCCACCTTCCTTCCTACTACCCCTACCAAAAGAATTGGCCGCAACCCCTCTCCCTTCCATTTCAGAAACCTGGAATTGGTTATCATCCTCCTTGTAGGAATCTGTCAACTTCTTTACTGCACCAAGAGGAAGGTTGCCACCACGTCCAAGGCCATGTATTAACTCTTTCTGAGCTTGCGTTATTAGTGAAGCTTCATCAGAATTTGCCACTGCTACCGCACCAGCCACTTTGTAGCTGTAATTCTTACCATCCTTCACATAGTACTGTGGCTTTCTCCTGGAGCCCCATTTTGAATCAGGGGCATTTTTTACCGAGTTTCCACTCTCTGATGCCCACGATTTTCCTGATTTTGCATTTATTTGGTCACCTAGTGTCTCATGTTCTTCTACTCCAGAGTCTGCTACACTTAAACCCAAGTCATCAAAAGAGTCGTCATACTCATCTTCATATTCATATTGTAAAATCATAGCAGCAGTTTTTGATGTATCTTTCTCGTCTTTTTTATCCAAAAGACTGATATCAGGTATGTCAGCTTTAGATTTCCGCACAAATTTTCCTAGCGAAGCAGAGGACGACATCAATGACCCCTGTGTCTGTTGCTTCTCCCTGACAACTTCTGGACTTGAGGATGCTGGCGTAGAATCAATTAATTTACCTTTTCCTTTATCTTTCCCACCCACGGTGGTAGACTTGGCTGGTGGCAATGTCTCTAGCGAGGTGTTCAGGTTCTGCAGATCTTCATGAAGGGTTCCCTCTAAAATTCTTTGAATAACCTCTTCTGGATTTTGGTCATAGACCTCAAGACACGCAGCTAAAAATCCTTTACCGTAATCAGGGAAAAGGTCCCTAATTTGACTGATGTTTGACTCTGCAATTGCAGCATCTTCATCTGTCAGCAATGACTGGTTTGGCACAGGGGTTTCTGCAGAATATGGGTCCTTATAAATCTCTTTCACAGTACTCAACATCCCGAATAGATATTGAAACTGTTCATCATCAATGAATATCCATCCTGTATCATAGCAACTGGATTACAAAAGGAAAAGGAGCAAGCATATGCTACATTGCGAACGTCAATGGAAAAATGCAATGATTTAGAATATAATTTGAAACAATCAGAATTCCACCTCGTATCTTAGAGGGGAGAAAAGGATTAGCCCTCTAAGAAATTTACTAGATCAAGTTTTCTGCCATAAACCATACTAAGCCAAGCAATTTATTCGACAAATATATAAAAGAGATGATATACGACTGTACAAATAAGAAAATTACCACTATCCTTTAATCTTTCAATCCTGCTTAGTAAACTGAAATTTCTTTCAACATCTTGAAGAAATGTTTCCTTCTGATGGATTTCCCGAGAATGTGATGATACTGAATTGATCTCTCTAAATGTTTGAACCAGAATATCTGCTCGGATGACTGGGTCCTCTACATTGGCAGGAAACATCTTCGTGGAAGCTGGAAGAGGGAGGCCATCTCTGAACACTTCATCACTTAGATAACACAAGTGCAATAGTTGCCAACCAAACTTTACCAATCTTATTTTTAACATCTTCAGACTAACGAAGATATCAGATACCGAGTCGTTGTGTTTGTCAGAAAACATCATTCGGAATCCCTTCTGCAATGATGGAATTAGTGAATCATGCAATCTGGCAAGGAGGCTCAGCAGTTCCTCGTTTCCATAACTACACAATTAGACAACAGAAAAAAAATCAAAGTCTTGAATTTAATCTGGCAAATATTAATCATTTATTCTATTTAGATAAAATAATAAACACATATTTTATGCATGATACACCAATTGCCGTGTTTGACAAGTCATTTCCCATGGAAATTTATCACATTCGGTCTTCACTCATCATAAAAGTTTAAGTTTCAGAGGTAAAGGATACCTCATTTCAACTGGACAAGAAAAGAATACAGCTGCTGGTTCGTATGCACTAACAAAAGAATCCATTGATACAATTGCATCATTTATAAAGTCCATCACCTATATAACAAAAAATATGCCATCAAATTATGCTGTATATTTTGAACAACTACATAAATTGCAGATAAACTAAATGCAACATTAAAACTTTAAGTACCCCAATGCCAGAGGCTCTTCACTTCACGAAGGTATGGGGGTAGTAATTGTACACAATTTCCCCCTTTACATGTGCAAAGAGACTTTTTTGGATTCAATCAAAGACCATGACCAGTCGGTCACCAAGGTGCAATTTTATCATTATGCCAACACTTGCCCTCAATCTAAATGCTATATATTATTAGGAAATTATGTCTGGGACAATATACAAGTCCCTGGCATGTCATTTTCCACAGGAAAATTGTACTTCAATAGCCTTGACATATGGGCAGTAATTATTGTCTATGAATATTTGACATTGTAGAAACAAAGCTTTATTAGTGGCCTAGCGAAAATATTAATTATTATTGATTGGCTGTGGCCAATGCCATAAATTCAAAGTTTTAGTTAGCTATTAAATAATAATGTCCAGGATTCGCTGGATTATGCCCAAGACAGTATCTGTTATTGGATGCAATAGTAGGTAACTTTACTTATAATGGGGTTTAACTCTGAAAAGAAAGGGTGGTCATTCCAGAATCTAGATGGAAGTCAACTCAAATGCCAAAGTACACATGAGGTGATCTTTGTCTATGGTATTTCCATGCTGTAGGTTTAAAATGCTTATATATATTCAACTGTTTTGACTCCACTTTTATAGCAAATTCTACCCAGTTGCACATGTATGCTGCCTTTCTGTAGTCGTATTCTAGCACTTGGCTCTTTTCCAAATGGGGAACATACATTCACCCAACTTTCTTAGTAGGACTAAGCCAATCAGTTATCCCAGACTGTACCAAGTTACAAACTTACAGATACAGAATTTGAATCTTATATAGGTTTTATAACCCTGTAAAAGAAGATTGGGTGGTTGGGCTACAACTCAATGAGGAAAAAATAAAGGACTCACCTCCAGCAGATCAGCTTGAAGAAAAGCAGCATTATGGTGATCGAGATTTCCAGAAGAAAATAACACCTGTACATAATTCAGAAAAGAAACCTTTTAATTTTCATTGTAATTTTCTCCTTTATACCAAAGTTATACACATGAAATTTCTATCAAGATTTACACATTCAGTCACTTGTAAATGGTTTTCTGTAGGACATTTCTATCCATTAATGTATTTTGAATAAGTCAACTAACTTATGGAAGGGAGAGAGTGAAGGTCGTCAGGCACATTATTGGTCTACTGGATTTTCAAAGGAAACTTAGCAAAGAAAATTAAGAAGTCATACTTAAATACTATATTCTTCTTAAAAAGTTGATGAATTAATAACTTAAATTTGTAAGATCAAAATATATGAGTGTTCTATGCATTCATCCAAATAATAGAGAAACAGTAATATATGCACATGATATAAACCATCTCAACACATCATCAAACAAATTCTTGTGAAGTATGTCTCTGCCACAGGTCGATTTCCTCTCCCACCTTTTAATTGGAGATGTATGGAGGCATGTGCTTGACCTAGATTATTCTTTTCTTGTGTTGAAAGTATAAATTCAAATAAAAATAATCAAGAAGCTCTTTGGCATAATATAAATAAGAGCTGGTTATTTATTTATCAGCAAGACAAAAAACAGAAATTGTGGTTAGACCTTATCTTATGATCTCCTGATGAAATGCATTGATCACAAACATACAAATATAAAAAACCCATTTCCATATCATTAATCTGCAAATAACTAAATAAATTAAATAAAGTAACTAAATAAACAAAAGTAAAGAGATGAAATATTGAGAACATGCCCATGAAGTAACTTTTATAAGTATTATGAAACAAAAAAGTTTGTTGGACATCAAAACTAAACTTATCAATTTAACAAATAATATGATGCATGACGTAACATATACTTTTGATAACTAGAAGAAACTAACTTAATATTCTCACGAACATTAAAAAAAAAACACTTAACTAGTTAACCCAAAGACAATATAAACTCAAAGCAGAAAAGAAACCAATTAACATTATGAATACTTAGTTACACTCAGTCAAATTACAAGAATACCTCCAATGATGAACTGCAACGTTCATGCATTGTGCTGACAATTCCTAGAAAATGGGTTATTACTCCGATCAGATTATTGTGGATCCAAGGTTGAGCATTTAAAGCATTTCTAACCTGAGACAGACAGAAAAAGAGAAAATTAAGCATGGCAAGTTACATGGAAATCCCCTTAAGATTGAGATGGCTATTTGAACATAAAATGTGTACAGGTGTAATGCAGACAAAATTACAAGGTTGGATTAATATCCTTCTGTGTTTTCTTGACCAATTAAGTAATAGGACCATCCGGAGAATGTATAACTCAAGTGGACCAAAAAAAACCCACCAAGACGAAGGGTAAAATAAAACAGACAGAACAATAGAATAAAACAATTTGGTTTAGTTCAGGAGATAGGAAGAGAGAGTACCAAAAACTGTCATGCATTCCATTTCGCAAACAATAAGGGAAAACATGTTAATGAACTTCATCTATTATTTTGTGAAAATAAACCAAAAAAGTATCAAAGATATAAACATTTAACCCAGTGCCTAAGGCTCATCATTTCACCAAGGTATGATGAGGAAGGGTAATTGTACACAGTCTTTCCGTTGCATATGCAAAGAAGCTGTTTCCTTATTCTAGCCCATGACCCACTGGTCACCGAGGCATATCTTTACCGTTATGCCAAGGCTCATCCTCATACCAAGTAATATACTATTAAATAGAAATTCTCACCAGTGATCTTGTCAGTTCTTCATTTTCGTGATAGTATATGGCACATATATCCAACAACTTTGGCAATTCAAGCAACTTTTTCTCCTGCAAAAGAACTACAGGCAAAATTAGTGAACAACGGTTAATTAAAAAAAAAAATTGAGGTCATTACTTGGCAAGAATCCACAATGAAAATAATTTTCCAAATATCAATAAATGCTTCATGTTTTACTATTATACCAATAAATGCATTCACAGCTGATAAATTAAGCAACATGCCATAAACATATCTTAAGAATAATCAACTTGCACCTTTGCAGATGACTAACCAGTTTGATCAACTACAGTCAAATATGAGGGTTTCGAACAGTGTCCAAAGAGCAAAAAAACATGCGGCAAACCATACTTTATACATTGTAGCCTTCACATTAACATCAATCTTAACATAGCATTTATAGAGCATGTACAAAAACATTGTTCCAATGCGATTTCAACCTCTGCCTGGGCCAAGACATACAAATGAAACCCACAAAGTAAAGTATGCTCGCTGTGTTAACAAAGTAATCAGTAATAAAATAAAATGAGGTGGTGACTCAAACAAAAATGTCTTTATTGTCCACAACCAAAAGAAGGTTAAACGAGATCCCACCTCCATGGTCTCTCAAACTGAGGGCATCGGCCGGCCGAGCACCAGGGTCTTTATTCGAAGATCTGCAATACACACACATTAAAAAAAAAAAATCACAGATCAATAAAGAAAGCAGAGTCCAAACCAGGGTAACACTCCAACTCAGGAGAAACTTACATGCGATACAATACCATGAAAACACGGCGACTCAAATCAATCTCTCCAACAATAACACCTGCAACAATCCCTTTCACCCCGCGATGAGGAAAATCATACCACCTACTCCTGAATTGCAAGAAGCTGTCTAAAAACTCGTGAAGGGAAGTGTCAGCAGCCACTGAAAAATACAATTAACAACATTAACACCGGCTTTACACAGAAAATTCAGCCGTAACACATTACACAATTAAAGAGCAACTTGAATACTATGAGTATTACATGTATTTAATTTGATTAGATTAGAATAGATTGAGAATGAATGAAGAATAATTTTTATTTTGAAACAAATAATTAAGAGTGAAGTACCTTGAGTCCAGAATTGCTTGGGTTTGCACGTGAGCAAAAGTGACAAGAGTGTGTTGGAAAGATCTACGACTCTCTGAGAGTGGAGGGGATCCAAAGCTCCATCTTCCGCGCCGAGACCCGCCGCCACGGCCTCGTCTTGTGGTAAGTATTTAACAAAATTCCCAGTTTGCCCTCTGTTTGAGGTTCCACTAGTGGTGGCGGGGATGAATGGTTGGGTTTGTCTAAGGGAGGTTGAGAGGGTTGGATTGGAATTTTTGGGGACAAATTTCTTGTGGATTTTGGTGAAACCCTTGTTGTCTTGTCTACCCTGACCTGATCGATTCGACATTTGAATCGGAAAGGATCAAGCTTTTTGGAGTGACTGAAGAGTTGGAAGTAAGATTGAACTCCTCTATTCAAATACTTAAGGTGAAGTCAGTGTTGGATTAGGTTCAGTTCCAGAGTCTAGGTTCTGTTAATGCACACCAACAAAACCTTTTATCAATTTTTTTTTTTTCTTCATCAAAACTTGTTATCAATTAATGAAATACATCTTCAATATATAATATATATGCATCCTGATTCTACATCATAAGGTAATTTAAGTTTTATGGATATTTTATAATTTTCATAATTTTTGTTTAATTATCATTAGAAGAAATTTTTATGATATTATTAATATTATTTATTCTAATACATAAAAGGATATTAACTTATTTTATGATATTATTAATATTATTTATTCTAATACATAAAAGGATATTAACTTATTATAATCAGTTTATAGTGTATAAATTTATTTTTATTTTAATAATATTTGTTAATTGTTTTGTATTTTTATAAATATGGTTGAAACCAATGTAACTAACAACACTTCATTAATTTTTTTCCCGTTAAAAAATGTTGTTTAAATATTTTATTTTTAATTATCACATATCAACGAGCCGATTAAATCAAATAAATAATTTATTAAATATAATATAAACTTTAATTTTACATAAAACAATAATCAATATAATAAATAAATATCATAACTAATTTTATCCTGACGATCAATTATTGTTATTAAAAAATTATACAATTAACCTTATAAAAAAAATTAAGATTTATATTCAAATATATGAAAATTTTCAATATTAAAAAAATCTATTTATTATTTAATCCCTATAATTATATAAAAAATTATATTTATATTTTTGTCATAAAAAAGTAAAAAATACTATAGTTTAATAAAAAAAATATTACTACAATTTATATATATTTTAAAAATAATAAATATTTTACAAAAATTAATTATATAAAAATATTAACCAGTAAACACTATTATATAAATAAAATTTTGCACAAAATATATATCTCAACGATAAATTTTTTTCCAGTTAAAATGTAAGCCAATTATCCATGTTCATTTCTGTTTCATAGTATTCATAATAACAAATTAAGTTTTTTGACATAATTACTCTTATTACCTTCAACTTGTATTTTTAATGATTTTTTCACTTTTTGAAAATCTTCATTCAATATTTTGTTGGTTATAAAGTTATACTTCAAATAGTTTAAACTGTGTGATAGGTCTGGACCGATATTACTCAATGCCAATCATCAGGATACATACACGAATGGTCACCACAGTAAAAATTCTGCACAAATAACATCTGTTTCTTTTCTTTTTTTTACAATTTTATCTCACCTAATTTTGAACATGTTATCATTTATCTTAGTGATTGAGAGGTAAAATAAGCTTTTAATTATCACAATTGCAACTTAAAAATTACCTAAAATGTTCGGTTTTCATCTTCTACCTCGCAGTTGATAAATATTTAAAATAAAAAATCATAATATATATATATATATATATATATATAATAATAATAAAAATATAGTTAAAGCATAAATAATTGAAAAAACCTTACTCGTGATTGAACTCATTACCGGTCATTTGTTATAGCCTAATCTCAAGTTCTTCAAACATGTTATTTAGCCATAATAATTCTCATTCCCCAGACCAATATGAGGTAATTTACTTTTTCTTTTTTACAATTATAAGATTAAAACCTAAGATCGACTCTAATAGTTCTCTCTATTGATTCTTTACTATATAAATATATATATTATGAGCTTTAAATCAACCAAGACAAACAGATATAATAATAATAATAATAATAATAATAATAATAATAATAATAATAATGATAATGATGGAGAAGAACTAATAGCAAAAACAACAGATATTTCTGCAGCAAATCCCAATAAAATTTATCTTAGGGAAATCTAAGTAGTGATCAATAAAGCTTCTAAGAAGAGCCAGAGGAAATGGTCAATAACTAAAACCCAATCACCAGGAAAAAGATCAGGCCGTCACTTTAACTAGGACAAATAGCGGCTTGTCTCCCAGCCTGTCCCGCCCCTGAAATAAGCCAGTAGGAAAAATAGTTAATAGCAATCAATTTTCCATTGCAACTCTATTGATTTCGTATTCAAAATAGTCAGTGTAATTAATACACTATCTCGAACGTCATATAACGCACAAAACCACTTTTCTTTTCTTTTTTTGGTCAAAATTGGTCATAGCCAGACCAAAAGAATGCGGAAGTTATAGCCCTTCCTCTAAATAAAAAATAGAAAACACCTATATGAACTTACTTTAAAAATCGTAAACACTGCAGGACCAGAAGCTCTAAACAAACAATGTACAATTATCAGTAGAGAGGAACTCAGGTGGTGACATAACTTTCAATTACCCTCCTCCAGCAAGATGTGCAGAGATATATTATTTTTAAATCAAACATAAATCAAGGCAGGACCACTAACAATGACCTACAAAGTCCATATAATTTCTGCATTTACTGCCTCTTTCCACTCCAGAATCAACGAATACAAGGGACTAATGAGGCCTTCTTGCGCAGGCGCCCTTTAGGATTTAATTGTAAGATATTAGACTTGAGTCCTACATCGAAACTATGGGATTCTAGTGTAGGGCTTATAAGACCTTGGGTTCTCCACCTAAAATTACCAACTATTGCACAGATGAAAAAGTGACCAATTATCAGTTAAGAAAATCTCTCATGTTAAAGGAATAGATACAACTTAGGTTGAGTTAACATATTTTATACACACAAGTCAACCTCTCATTGTTTCTTGTTTTGGTTGGTTTGGTAGCAAAATGATATACTCAATTTTATGATTTGGATTATGGTGGTAATTTCTCCGTTGTTAATAAGATGATTTGTTTTCTTATTTATGGCTGACATGAGGCAATAATCCATGCACTAGCTATTCCTTGCATGTGATCTTGAGAAGGAAATCTATACGGAAAAAACACCTAACTTTGTCAGTTAGAGGGAGTTTAATCTTCTTTGCAAGCCACTGAAGTCTTAATATGATTTCAAACAATTACCTTGATGTTTGTTTGGTAAATTTAGTAGTCATCCAACAATATGGTATGGTTAGCTATAAACATAGATCCCATGGTACTTATGGTGAAAGCGTTTGCTTCGAAGATAGAAGTTTTGTGGGCATGTAAGGGACAACCTATTGATAGGTTGACGAAGTCTTAACGATCCTATAGAATAGTTTATATATGTAACAAGTTGATAACAGCCACCCCTAGCCCATCTCAGTTGATTTCTTTGGAGGCTGCTTAAAATTTCAATCTCAACGAGGTGGTTTAGTCTCACATTTACTAGGGATATAGCCATATTAAAACATAAAAGTGGAACACAATCATCACTTTAAAAGTTAATTTGTATAGTTGAGTTAGGGTTAAACTCAAATATTAAGATAGTATCAGAATCTGTATTATATCCATTGTTGGGACATCTGCATTTGCCATGGTCCTAGGCTAGAAGTCCTAGGCATAAAGGATTGTTTTTGAAAGTCATCTTAGTTGCAGTCCCCCTGGCCCACCTAAGGTGGGGTCTCTTTGAGGTTTCCTTGCAATCTCAAGAGAGGTAATCCTTGAGATTACTTACTTAAGATAGACAAGTGAGAGGTAATCCTGACCTTATGTACAGATTTTGTAGAATTTAGTTAAACCCATTCGTTAAGAGAAAGGAGAGTATTGACTATCATCAGATTTTGTTTTTTTTATTAGCTTTCCTAATTATTTATTGTTAATGAAACAAATGATTTTATAGGATCAATTAGGATTAAACGAATGTCCTTTGTTTATGCCTCATTTGTATAAATACAATACATATGTTTTTAAAACCATACTGATCATTTAACTAATCAAGGCACCAATTCAAGACTCAATGGTTCAACCATGGCTACATGTAAACTTACAAGATTTTAGCATTTAAAATACATATACAAATTAAAATAAATATGTTATCATACTTAAATTAAAATTTCAATAACATTTATTAGTGAAGTTTAAATGTAGAAAAAAAAATTCCAAATATTTTAGATTTGTTTCTATTTTTTAAAATAAAAAATAAAAATAGTTTACTATTAAATATCTTTTACTGAACTGGTTTAGATCATTTCTGACCAGTTCTTCTTGATCCTGCCTTCGGTTATTTCTGTGAACAGGTTTATTTGACCGGTTCCCTAGTCCAATTGGCCGGTGTCGTTTTCAAAACACATATAAATGCATCCAAGTATTTCCTTGAAGTATTTTGTATTCAAGTGGTGCATAAGTTTACCTCTTTCTTTACATCTCCTGCAAGTTTTTGTAGAGAATTTTATTCCCATGAGACCAAGCAAATCCACCTGCTTTGCAGGTCCTATTACCTACTACTTAAATCTGAAAATGTCAAATCAAGTCATTCTCCATTGGCTCAGTGCACAAATTACTTTGCACCCAGTGCCTACACAATAATTTTTTAGATTAATGACTCTCCAACACAATTTTCAAAGATACAACATTCAACTTCATCGTCATTCTTCAGTTTTGCTATTGTCACTTAGGATCCTAAAATGCAAACTGTAACTTAGGAAGGTAATAGCTCTCCAGATTCCATTGTTTATTCATTAAATTAATCATTAAAGTTGACATGTTCCATAAATGTAAGAAATAAATCAAGCCAACAATAAGACATGGCGAGGATAATATATGTTAAGATTGTACCTTTAACTCTGGTAATTCAATCAGACAAGCACACTCCACAACATGAACCCCAACACGTTCTGCAATAAAGAGAAACTGAACAACTAAGAATGCATTGAAATGCTTATGTTTAGCATTAAACATATAAAATACACATCCAAGTTAAACAGTCACTTCACTAGAAAACACCATTTTAGTGGTAGATCAAAAGGGTACTATTAGATTCATTAACCAGAAACAAGCTTTTGTCTTCTCATTAAAAGTACATCATGCGTGCATTATTTGTCTGAATGTATAAATAAGCAGAGAGAAGAAAACCATGAATGCTTAAACACCGATTGGATGATCTCTTCCGTCGTTAATGGGACCTAAGTCCATGTTTAGTTCATTAATCCATAAACAAAATTCACAAGTTCTTTGTAACAGGACTCGCTCATGGATAGCTTTATGAAGACAGAAAACTAACTTTCAATCAAGATGGGTTTTTCCTGGCTAGTCCAGAAAGCATTAATATTGACAAGGTTACCTAGTAGCTTAATTGCAGCATCTAACGTTCCCCCAGTGGCAATAAGATCATCTATAACTAAGGCTCGTTCTCCAGGTTGTACAGCCCCCACATGCATCTCGATTTTGTCTGTTCCATACTCCAAAGAATACTCTTCTGAAATAACCTCCCCTGTAAATATAATCAAAACATAACCATTCAACAACTAAAATTAGCACAGTGAAGAAGTGCAAAAGTTAGAATTGAGGACCATACACAATACAGATATTCAATACCCAAAACCATAATTGTTTGCTAAGTTGGAATTTCCAACATTATATGCAATTATTTTAAAAAAAGGTACAAAACATATGCCTGGCAATTTATTGGGTTTCCTCATGGGGACAAATTTTGCTCCAATAGCTAATGCAATGGGTGGACCAAATATAAAGCCTCTTGCTTCGACGCCTGCATTCAGTCAAAGATACATCTATCAGACAAAAATTAGTCACTTATTTTGAGCAAAAGTAAAAGAAAATGAACAGTCCAGATTTCTAGCAACACAGTTGTTGATTGGTATCTGAGTTTGCTTCCACTACCCTCTGATGTTGGAATAAATCAATAATCCCACTTTGGCAATTTATATGGAACTCAATGAATTAATGAAATTTAGTCGTTATCAACAATGTACTTGAAACACGTCAAAACGAAGATAAAATTATGACTTGTAAGCACAGGCATGGAAACAATGCTGCCACCCATCACAAATTGCAGACTATAATTGAAAAAAACGTAATATTTTTGCAATATCAAAAGCTGAAGAACATAGCAGCAAAACTCTAATTTACCTCGTATTAAACTCATGGATTAGGATCATCTCATGTTCATAAAGAATATAACAATGTCATGTTACGAGAAAGAAAGGTGTAGAGCTAGAACGGGAATCTAGGCCACCATGTGGGACACAAGGCCCTATACCTCCTCAGCCTCAATTGGAAGCCACTGTTCAGTAGTACACACACAAAAAATGTCCCGCATTGCTTAGAAAGGAAGCCAATGGTAATTTGTGAACATCTTTGTTTCTTAACCAACTAAGGCATCTTTTAGAGACAAAATAGTGAAGCTCACACGAACGTCAAAGTGAACAAAACCTATGATGCATTGATCCTCACAATGTGAGCGGACTTGAGGTAAAAATAAAGGCTTACATAGGGTCCATTATACCTTGTAACATGATATGTCCTTTACTAACATGAAAGGATCATGATCCCTTCAACCACTATCACACCCTCCCTCTCTCCTCAAAATTTCAATAAAAAAGATTGGCTGCAAGAGGGAAAAGGACATGGCAAATGAAAGATCACGAGTTGATACAGATACACTGTCAAGTGGTTTTTACATGACTCTCCGAATGACAAAATCTCAGTTTCCCCTGGCCCCGGGTTGAGGAGTTCGGACAAAATTAGAAGCAGAAACAGAAACAGAAAGGGGAAAACAAAATTATGTGAAAGCAACTAAATACGAAATCAGGGAGAGTAGTCCAGCGTTAAAGTGATGAGTACCTGCGACAACATTAATATTTTGATCTCTGTACCTCTCAACAAAAAGGTCAATGGTGTCTTTGAAAGCCTTGGGATCAAGAAGAAGTGTGGTTATGTCCTGAAACAAAATTCCTGCGACAGACAAAAATGCAACAAACACAAATCATTAAACGAAAAAGAAGGAGAGGACGAGGCTGGATGAGAGAGGAGACCTGGCTTGGGAAAGTCAGGGATGACGCGGATTGCAGAGGAGATTCTCTCTAAGCGCGGGTCCTGTTGATCTTGAGCGTGATTGGAAGCCATTCTCGTAACTGGTCTGGCTGCCGAACCAAAAGAAAAGAAAAAAAAAATGTTTTTTATTGTGTGTTGCGAGAAAGACAAAAATAGTTGCGAATGAAGAGAGAGAAGGAAATTGATTGAAAGAAAACGTACGGGGAGGAGTGGAACGGAGGAGGAGGGGCGGAGAATTGGGAAAAGGGATTGAAATTGGGCGGAGTGGAGGGAATCTGGAAGAAGGGAAAGAGGGAAGAGTGGCAGTGACGGCTGACCCAAAACACGACGAAATGGAGTAACACACAACCCGCATTCTGTTCTCGCTTCTTCACTCGTCACTTTTTCATTTCAACAAAATTAAAATTAACCACACAAATTATTGTTAAAACAAAGGATCTCTTTCGCACAAGTGGCAATTTCAGATTTCAATTCTGCTTTATTGGAACGCAGGTCAATTGGCTAATAATAATAAGAATGTGACCCAAAATAAATAAATAAAAAATGGTCGGTGAAAGGGCATTTTTGGGTATTTTGGTTCTACTTTGCCTCTGGCTCCTCCAATTTGCCTTTGATGTGGTAGGTGAGCTGACCTTAAGATAAGGGTTGTAAAGTGAAGGGAGTTACATTACAGGACCCGGTCCATTCAATCCAAAAGAAATACTCACTCAACCATACCAAGCTATTTTCAGTGACAAAGTTTTTCAACAACTTTTTATCATCTTAAGATACCCTCTAAACATCTCACTTGGAAATGCTCCATCCTTTGCAAACAAAGTATAAGATTAAAAAAATATATATATATATATATATATATATATATATAAATGTTCGATTTTTTTTTGGGTATTTCTAACAATTTTCTTTGGTGATGGGTAATTTAATAATAGTAAACAACGCAACCGTGATTGTAATTTTAAATCACAAAAAAATATTATAAAATAAAATCAATAATTAATTAAAAATTTCAAATTTCTTGTATACACTACTTATAAAAACGTAATAATTTTGGAAGGTAATATTAGTCTATTAGTTACACGTGTACCTTTTCCTTTTGTTAGTATTGTTTTATGCAGGTTTGACTAACTGCATATTTGACTTTTTTCCTTTTTATATTTAACCTTCTTTTCTTCCTCAAACATATTGGATTTTCCTTTTGTATTCGATCAGTATATGAATTAGATCAGTTTTTTCTTCTCTGCTATTTTCTCCCAAATTCTCAATGGGATCCATATTTTTACGTTATAGAATCGGAGCGGGTTAACACTCGCTTCGCCTCCGTCACATCTTTTCTCGTTTCTCTTTTCTATCTTTCTCGTTTCTTGATGGCTTCGTCAATTCTTCAACTGCTAATAGCAATACGAAACGCAAACCGTGATTGACGAATCTTTGAATCCTTCAAGCCCGTATTATTTGCACCCGGTGAGAATCCTGGAATGATTCTTGTTTCAAAGCAATTGAATGGTACGAATTACCATTCTTGGAGTAGGAGTATGCGCAGAGCTCTTCTTTCAAAAAACAAATTAAAATTCATCACTGGAGCCATCAAGATTCCCCAAGAAGACGATCCTCTTCATGACTCATGGGAGAGATGCAATGTCATGGTACTCTCTTGGATAACTCGAACTTTAAGTGATCAAATTGCTCAAAGTACTCGTATATATTGATAATGCAAGAGATCTTTGGGAAGATCTCAAGGAACGATTCTCAAAAGGAGACCATTTTAGGACTTCGATCTGCTACAGGAATTGCACTCCATTAAGCAAGGAGAAAGAAGCGTTTCGAATTCCATACAGATTTCAAAACTCTTTGGGAAGAGTTGGAATCCTTGTGTCCCATTCCTAGTTGTACCCGCAATCTGCAATGTTCTTGTGAAGCCTTCAAAATCATTGCTCGTTATCGTGAATCCGAACATGTAATATGTTTTCCGAAGGGATTAAATGACGTCTTCACCACTCGCAAAATCTCAAATTCTTTTAATGGAGTCTCTCCCAGGAATCAATCGTGTTTTTTCGTTAATTCCGCAACAAGAACGACAATTGGCAGGAGTGAGTCACGTTGATGCCAAAACTCTTTTGACAACTGCTAATCAAGGACCTATTGTGAATTTTAACAATCAAGGAAATTGGAAAACTCAAGGACGTGGATCTTGGAAGAACCAAGGACGTGGACGTGGGAGGAATTCCAACTATGGTAAACAAGTGTACTTTTTGCAATAAATTGCACCATACTCGTTGATGAATGTTATGCCAAACACGGATTCCCTCCATGGTTTAAAAATAACAGAAATGATTCTGTTGTCAACACCGTTATGATCGACAACGTTTTGAAAGAAGAAGAATCAAAAAATCAAGTGCACATTGTTCGAATAGTCACTGACAGGTGAACAAGTTCAACAACTATTAAAACTTCTGCAAGAAAAGAATCAAGACACTACTCATAGGGTCAATCAGCTTTAAAAATAATAATGGTGATCAACAAGACTCCAAAGGTATTCTCTGTTCATCTTGGATTATAGACACTGGGGCTACTGATCATGTAGCTTACAATAAAAATCATTTTTTAACTTTTACTAAAATCGGACTGTGCATGTGAAATTACCTAATGGTAATCATGTCACTGCTTGAATATGCTTGGCACTGTTTGTATTTCAAATAGCCTTACACTCTATAATGTTCTTCATATTCCCAATTTTGAATTTAATATAATTTCTTCTCAAAAACTGATTATTGATTCCAATTGTAAATTGATTTTTTCTTCTAACCATTGCCAGATTCGGGATGTTCTTACATTGAAGATGATTGGGCATGCTGATCCGAAAGATGACTTGTATTGTTTACGTAAACAAGATACTGTTTTTCTTGGTCTCATATTAATAACATCAGTAATAATAGTTCAATTGTGCCTCATCGATGACAACACCAAGTATTAATACTCGCAGCAGAAATTATTCCACTTCCAATCTTTGGCACAACAGATTGGGACATCCTTCTAGCAAGATAATTGAAAATATGATTAAAGATTTTCCTTACATTCATAATAGCACTGAAAAAATTTGTGATGTATGTCATTCGGCCAAGCAACATAAACTTCCCTTTAATAACAGTATTCATGTTTCCAGGACAATTTTTGAAATGATTCATATAGATATATGGGGTCCCATTGGTATTTCTTCTATACATGGTCATAGATATTTTCTTACTATTGTTAATGATTTCTCTAGACACACATGGCTTTTTCTTATGAAGAATAAACATGAGACTAGGAGTCTATTGAACAATTTTATTATCCTTGTTAAAAACCAATTTGGTCTGTAATATTAAAATTTTCAGTAACTGACAATGGGAAAGAGTTTTCTTATCCCGAATTCTATGATAAAAATGGTATTATTCATCAAACTTCTTGTGTAGAGACACCTCAACAAAATGGAAGGGTAGAGAGGAAACATCAACACATAATGAATGTCACACGTAGCTTGTTATTTCAAGCCAATCTTCCAAAATGTTTTTGGTCCTATGCCGTTGTTCATGCTATCTACCTAATCAACAGTCGCCAAGTAAAACCATAAGGAACCAATCTCCATTCCAAATTCTCGCATAATCAACTTCCTATTCTTAATGATTTAAAAGTGTTTGGTTGTCTTTGTTTCACATCTACAATTCATAACAACCGATACGAAGCTAGATCCTAGAGCCGAAAAAGTGTTTTCCTTGGATATAAACCTGGCACCAAAGGTTATGTGACTCTTGATTTACATTCTAGAGAAATTTCTATATCCAGAAATGTGATATTCTATGAAAATGAATTTCCCTATGTTAAAACTAATATTGTTGATGACACTGATCTTTTCACATTGATCGATTTTCAATTCTTTTTTTATTCTAACAATCTCATGCATAAGAAAGTCGAGTCTAATCATGTGCATCCGTTTTCAAATCCTCAAGATATTTCCTTCCAAGTGACGAAGAAGATATTTCCAATCGAACACCTAACCAGACCTACTCCTCGAAGATCTACTAGAATGAGAAAGGCACCATATTATCTGCAGGATTTCCATTGCAATTCCTTAAGTACTCGATGACTCCAACAATTCGATTCTTATTGCAATCCTCCAAGAGATGACAACACCAACAAATCTAAAAATAGTATCATTTCTTATCCTCTATCTTTTGTTCTCTCTTATAAAAAAATATCTTCAAAACATTTGAAATACATTCTTGCTATTTCTAACAATTTTGAACCTACTACTTATAAACAAGCAGACTTGTTACCCCGAATGGATTGATGCTATGCGTAAAGAAATAAAAGCCTTAGAAGAAAATAAGACTTGGTATTTCACTAATCTTCCCCCTGGAAAGAGAACTATAGGTTGTAAATGGGTTTATAAAACCAAATATAAAGTCGATGGTTCTATTGAAAGACATAAGGCTAGACTAGTGGCTAAGGGTTTCACTCAATTAGAAGGAGTAGATTTCTTAGACACTTTTTCTCCCGTTGTTAAAATTACCACTGTTAGACTCATGCTTGCTATTGCAGTCGTTAAGAATTGACATCTTGTTCAACTAGATGTCAATAATGCCTTCCTTTATGGAGACCTCAATGAGGAAGTGTACATGGATCCCCCCTGGCGTGATACCTCCTCAAGCAAATCAGTCTGCCGCTTAACCAAATCCCTCTATGGATTAAAACAGGCTAGTAGGCGGTGGTTTGCCAAATTATCTACTTCTCTTCTTTCAATTGGTTTTATACAATCTCAATCTGATCATTCTCTTTTTACAAAGAAAAATGTTTCTTCCTTCACTCGCTTTACTCATTTATGTAGATGATATAATTCTTGGAGGTGATTCAATTGATGAAATCAACACCGTCAAGCAATTTCTTAATCAACAATTTCGGATTAAAGATTTGGGACAACTGAAATATTTCATTGGCCTAGAAGTTGCTCGTACTTACACAAGGCATTCACATTTGTCAACGCAAATACACTCTTGATATCCTTGCCGACGAGTGGTCATCTAGTCGCTCGACCATGTTCTACTCCTATTATCAAGGACACCAAATTGTTTTTCGATGATAATGCTGATCTTTGTGATGCAGATGCTTATCGTCGCCTTATTGGACGACTTTTGTATCTTACAAATACGCGACCGGATATAAGTTTCGTTGTTAATTTTCTAAGTCAGTTTAATCAAAAGCCCACTGTCTTCCATCAAGCTGCTGCCAATCGTATACTTCGTTATTTAAAAGCTAATCCTGGTCAAGGTTTGTTTTTCTCTTCCAATTCCAACATTCAATTGAAAGGATTTAGTGATTCAGATTGGGCTTCATGTTTGACAACTCGTCGCTCTACCACTGGATTTTGTATCTTTTTGGGTAATTCGTTGATTTCTTGGCGATCAAAAAAACAACACACTGTTTCTCGTTCCTCAACAGAAGCAGAATACGGGGCTCTTGCTATCACCAGCTGCGAGCTTCAATGGCTCAATTACTTGCTTCATGATTTCAACATCTTCAAACCCAATCAAGTCGTCATCTATTGTGATAACCAAGTCGCTCGTCACATTGCTACTCATTCTAGCTTTCATGAACGCACCAAACACATTGACATTGATTGTCATGTGGTCAGAGATCGTGTGCAGGCCAACCTCTTCCATCTTCTTCCCATTTCCTCTACAAATCAACTTGCAGATGTTTTCACCAAAGCTCTCGATCCTTCACCTTTTCTTAACAATATTTCCAAGCTGGGTGTTCTTAATATTCACTCTCCAGCTTGAGGGGAGGCTATTAGTCTATTAGTTACACGTGTACCTTTTCCTTTTGTTAGTATTGTTTTATGCAGGTTTGACTAACTGCATATTTGACTTTTTTCCTTTTTATATTTAACCTTCTTTTCTTCCTCAAACATATTGGATTTTCCTTTTGTATTCGATCAGTATATGAATTAGATCAGTTTTTTCTTCTCTGCTATTTTCTCCTAAATTCTCAATGGATCCATATTTTTACGTTAGGTAATAAAACTTGGTATTAACCATAATTAATTTATTAACAATATCGTACGTAGTGAAGAAAGAAAATGTGAAGAGTACGTACAAATTATGAGTTACTCAAATGTTTCAATGTTTTCTCTTTTGGTACATGAACATGAATCGTTTTTGGGTGAACCAATTTTGGTTGTTGTTGACAATGGGTAGGGCACAAATCTAGAAACCGTGGAAAAATGTTTTGACAAGTGCACGTGTGAATTTGGGTGCTTCACGTACCTTTTTTCCAACATATCATTCCAATAGTTTCTAGATTTTTAGTATTTTCTAAACAAAGGACTTCACAAGCAGTAGTAGTTGTTCCTCGTTGCCCAATAAGTCTTGTACTACCACTATTCCACTAACTTGCTCGTGCTTGGAAACTCAAACCAATATTCAACTTCTACTTCTAGGGTTCTAATTAATGCGTAATGATATCATTAAATCTACACCTACGTGTAAAATTAACAATTCAACGACACAAACTCTAATATAGTTAATCTTAAACACCTTCCTTTCCTTTTTACACATAAAAATTCAACAATATATATATATATATATATATATATATATATGAGAGAGAGAGAGAGAGAGAGAGAGAGAGGATCATTATCTCCCTCCCTGCATCAAAAACTTCCAATTTTTTTAATTTTCATGACGTAGAAACTAAGAACTGCGTCAATCTCTGTACAAAAGAATGTATCAATTGCTTTTGTGGTAGAAAAAACTTAAAGTGTGTGAGGCATTATTAAAGTTTACTAGTTATTTCACACAAAAGCCTCGTATAAGATTTTTCTTTATCCCTAACTAATGCATCAACGGTGTTAAAATTAAAAAATACATCATGTTTAGATTTTATAAAGACTCAACAATTATGAAAAAAAAATTATAAGATTATTTTAATAAATAAAGACATTTAAAATGACAAAAAATTATTTTATAAGATATGTCTTGGATATAAATTTCACAACTTTGAACAAATAAAAATACACGAATTTTTGAATTAATTTTATTTAAATTTGTTTAATTTTTAAATATTTTGTTTACATAAAATAATTTTAAATTATTTTTTTAGATACATATTTTTAATTACCATCAAATATAAAAAATAATAATTAGAGAAATTATTACAATTACACTTATTAATTTGGTCCAACATGTAAAGTTTGATCTTAGCATGGATCATGCTAATCCCATTGGATCATGATAGATAGGTCAAATTAAGTTAGACTAAAAAAAAGTTAGATTAATGAGTTAAATTAAGTTAAAATTAAGTTGAATTAAGTTAAATAAGACTTATCCCGTCAAATTATCTAAAAACAAGTCAAGCCAAATTTAAAATTATAAATTTTTTAAATAAATTTAAAGTATTTAATATTTTATTATTTTTAAAATTTGTATCTTTTTCTTATATTCTATTTTTTTATTAAATATTGATCGAATTATTGTTCAACTAAAATTTTATGGATATTTATTAGTCCGATTCAACTTAATCTTTTATAAAAAAAAAAATTCAATTCAAACAGCAAATTTTCTCATAAAATTAATTTAAAATCTTATAAAATCAATTACCCTTGCCAGTTCTTTATTCAAATATAGGATAGAATTTAAAATTAAATGTGGATAAATATTTCCCCGAGTTCAAGGGGGAATTACGTTTATTTGTATTAAAAGAAAATCATAATGAAAAAAACTTATTCTAGTTTGAAAATTTTCACTGACATGTAATATTGGATTTTATGTCCTAAATACAACTTCAGCATCATTTTACGACTTGTTGGCCTCCACGTCAACGTAAAAAAATTTCACAAAGAAACGTCATGTGTACATGTAAATTTGATGTAAATTTTACTTTGACATAAATTATGGACGGATAACCCAACACAATCAGTGGTTTATAGCATTGTTTTGGGCATGGTAATTTTGTTTCGTCCGGATAAATTATTTTGTAAAACGGGTTTTACAGTTAAAAGTTAGGAATTGTTAGGTGTCCTTTTTTAAGCACAAAAGTAATTAATTAGAATAAAATTATAGAATATGATTATATGATAAGTGGAGGAAATCCTGTTTTTAAATTCGGCTTTGTAACGGTAATTTCTGTGAATAATAAAAGTTGAATTTGAAAACACAATTATCAATAATTCTTAATTTATTCAAAATGTACATGCATTTGTAAATTTTGGAAAAACTCTTGGAAAAGTTATCACCCAATGACGCACTCACTTGAGTTAGCTGAACTACGTTGGAATTGTGTAGATGTAGCTCAAAAGTGGTAGCAACGTGGAGCGATGAAAATGGAGGAATCCGAATTCGGTTGGGACAGTACCATAGCCACAAATCCCATGCTTCATTCTCGTTGAAAAATGGGAAATAGCAATAGCCAAATGAATTCTGCATATATTCTTGAACCTTCGTCAACACCACAACGTGCTCCACTTGTTTGAATACGTAAAAAGTAGAACAGAAAATAGTGGCAACATAACACACTCACTACCAGCCTCGTAACAAACCAAATGGCGGTGCCCAATTATGTTTTCATTTTTTATTTTCACTTCATCGAAGATTTGCAATGCCATTTGCATTGTATACAGACATAGGCACCCTGAAATCATAAAGATGCATGAATCACTCACTTTCTTACTCCACTATTCAATTTCAAGTCGCACCCAATGGTATTGACCGAGAAAAGTCGTTGGTGGCTAGCTACTTACACTTGCCTACCGGCTGCTGTGGACGAAGCTATTTAATTTAACCCACAATCCCTTAACTTGAAAAATTAGATTTTTTTTTTTTTTGTTAGTTTTTGTGGATGTTGACTTTGAAACTTGAACTGGTTATGATTCAGTTCACTTGCACTACTTGGTCTTCTCTCATTTTTTTTATTCTCTTGCAATAGGGAACTGGAAGATGGTAGTACTAACAATTTATTTGACCGACTTAGAGGTCCACTAGCCACCAAGAAAACTATTCTCATGAGTAACTAAAACACGTGCTGCACTCTTTCCATCTGTATTATAATAACTCTTTAGGTTGGGCACTTCCTTGCGCCTACTTTTCTCAGCACTTGTCACGCAACTTCCCTCATATGCTCACCTCCTTATAAATCCCCCACACCCCATTCTCCACTCTCACACTTCACCTCCAAACTCAAAATCAACCTCTCCTTCTTCTCGTTCACAAGAGCACACATCAAATTCGAATGGCTCTCGAAGCTCTGCAATCACCCACCACTGCCACCCCATCGTTTAGTCCCTTTGAAGAAGCCAATCTCAGTTACTTGGACACACCTTGGGCCAAGCGAAAGCGTTCTAAGCGTGGCCGCATGGACCAACAACTACAACACCCTTCATGCACCGAGGAAGAGTACCTTGCTCTCTGTCTCATCATGCTCGCTCGCGGCGGCTCTGTCGACGCCACCGCCATCCCCACCACCGCCAAACCAGCTCTCTCCGACAACAACTCGGCGCCGCTCCCCGCCTCGAAACTCACCTACAAATGCTCCGTCTGCAACAAGGCCTTCTCCTCTTACCAAGCCCTCGGCGGACACAAGGCCAGTCACCGGAAACTCGCCGGCTCCGCCGAAGACCAGCCGACCTCCTCCGGCGTGACGACGACTTCGGCGTCGAACGGTGGAGGTAGGATCCACGAGTGCTCCATATGCCACAAAACGTTCCCGACAGGACAGGCCTTGGGAGGACACAAACGTTGTCACTACGAAGGCGGCGGCGGTGGTAACAGCGCCGTCACCGCCTCCGAAGGTGTGGGGTCCACTCACACAGGAAGCCACCGCGATTTCGATCTCAACCTCCCGGCTTTTCCGGATTTTCCAACGAGGTTCTTCGCGGATGACGAGGTTTCTAGCCCCCATCCATCCAAGAAGCCCCGTCTCAATTTGACCATACCCAAGATTGAAATCTCTCAATACTGATCCATATCGGTCTTTTAGTGTTTTAATTTTTTTTTTAATTATTTGGGATTAATTTGTTCTTGTACATACATAGTACTTGGACCGTATTTTCCAGCTTTAGAATTTAGATTGTACTTCTACAGTGGTATTCAATTAAATTCAATTGATTATTTTATATAAATTCCTATGTAATAATAGTAATTGATGATTATTAATCTAGAATACCCCGCGGAACCGCGTGAACGATGCGGCAAATATGTCGAGGTCATTTGTGCGTGTTCCTTTGGGTTGGGTGTTACGGTTTTTACCGATGGTGGTCCATTCCTTGTTATTTTCTTCTACGAAAACAAACCATTTATTTTTAAACGCTGATGATTGAGATTGAGAGTTAACAAAGGAGCAACTTGGTTGGTGGACCTGGTTGGATGAACACACAGTATGTTTGGTGTGCGGATAAGAACGAGGGTTTGGGTTTGGCCTTTTACACGGTGTGATGATATCGACACGTGGGTTACTTATCCTTTGTAATTGCTGCGTAATAGGAGGATTGAAGAAAGAAAGCAGCAATGGTGTCTTGTCTTGTGACACGTTATTGAATGTTCCTACCTACCATGGGTGAAGACCAAAAATGGTCTGATACGTTTCACAGTAAATGAAGTGAACCTTCCAATACATGTCTAAGATGTGGTATCCAAAAGCAATTAAAATTGATTGCCGTGATTCGTTGTTCTATTTGCCATTGGAGTTCACACGTAGATTAGTGACACCGCAGTCACACGCGGTATCCAAAATTTAGAATTGGTAAAAGAAAAGGTGTTTTAGTTGGGCAAGGAGGTGCCCAATTTGATGCCAAACTCTGCTGGTGTAGAACATTCGCGTTAAATGAAACATATTCCTTTTTCCTTTTCAAGTTTCAAGTTTCCAGTTTCCAGTTTCAACTCCATCTATCTACGGTCTACCTTTGCGCGTTTTAATTAATTAGTGGAAAAAAAGTCCACCAAGACACCCATTTAGAGTTCACATTATTCTCTCTCTCTCTCTCTCTTTTCTTGTGTTATTCGAAACTACTGTATTTAGCAAAATTTATATTTTTTCTTCTGTAATTATATTTTTTCTTTATTATTTTTCTTATTACATAACAAGAGTATCACACCCAGCTTTTCACATGATATGAAAAGTATATGGAAGAACCTTTCAATAAACTCAGAAGCATCACTGTGAAGTTCCAATACAACCTTCTGCTTCTTTTTTTATTTTCCTTATAGACTTTTAATTAATGCACTAAAACCAGGTAAGAGAACAACTTCATCCATTCATAAAATGTTTTTGTTCACATTTATACAAAATAGATTCACATTAAAAAAAAGACCTTCAACTTGTACATGTATTTATTTATCAAACAAAGTCATATTAAAATATGACTTGATAGACTAAAAAAAGTTATAAGAAAAACGTGTAAAAAATGTAGGATTGACTTTTTTTAATGTATTTGGAAAGTTTAATAAAAAAATTAAAAACACTCAAGATAATATCAATGGATAACAATTCTGACACACAATAATAACTAAAAAAACAAAAACAAATGAAAGCATGTAAATTAAAAGGAACGTGTTTTTTCTTCTTCTTAATTTTAGTTCTATAATAATTATTTAAGTAGGAATTAAAAAATCCACTTATCGCTTAATATATTTCAAGCTTCATATAAGCTCAGTGGTAGCAAAATGTATACATCATATAAATTTGAAATTAATTAAAACCCATTATTGAGTAAGAGATTCTATATATATAAAAGTTTTATTATCATTTAGTGATGCATTCTCATTTAATTTAGTGAATATGCTATTTGAGCATTCAAATTCCTTAACAACATATAACACAATTGTGTGTTTTTTTATCACAACATGAACAAAATATTATAGCATGGCAATGTTAAAATTAACCATTAGTTATTACTATTAAATTTTATCTTATGAATAAGTTTACATATAGGAAATTAGGTATTGAATAAAGCCTGGCATTCAAACTGAGGATAGATATATTTATATGTTCTGACTTGTTAATGAATATTGGCAAGTATCAAAATTTAAAAGTCTGGTTTGTGTTGTTTGATGTTATAGTGAACTAATTATAATTGACAGCTCATTCAAATATATTCCATAATTTTATATAATATTACATGTGGTCATTGTTTTTTATATATTTTTTTAATTAATTCAATGTAAATTCACTAATAATGTCACAACGGTACCCCCAATATGGCATATTTGTTATCCATAACATTAAATGTGGTAATTGTTAAATTAAATAACTATAAAATTTAATTTGTATATTGACCATTAAAACTTTTTTTTGAGAGAATGACCCTATAAACCTATATAATTAAATTATTGAAAAATTGTTTATCTCAATCAATCCCTACCATTAAATTAATGGTAAAGCATAAATGATTAATGTGTAATGATAAACTTATATATTTAGTGAATTTATATCTCATAACATCAAGAATGTAATATAAACATGCAATTAAGAAGTTTTTGTAAGCCCATAAAATAAATTTTATTGTCATTTATTCATGTATAATATTTCATGAATTCGATGATCGGGGTGTTTATTTTACTAATATATATATATATATATATATATATATATATATATATATATATATATATATATATATATAACATTATTTTTTATTGCAGTATGCAACACAATATTGAATGATAGTGCAATTGTTTTATCTCAATATTAACATTATAAACTAATTATAATTAAATTTTACTTCAATATGAAGTTAGATTAAGAGCAAAATATTAAAAGAGGGCTGTGAGTAGATATTTATATATGACTTTGACTTGTTAAGGAAAGATCATTGACACGTACGAAATTAAAATTTTGATCCCTGTTGTTTGATGTCATAATTAACTAATTATGATTTAAAACTAAGTTTGAGGATAATCCACAATATTATGCGTTTACTTATTTTAGAACCGTAATAATTGACAACTTTTTTTCTAATTAAGAATATCTTCTTAATTATTATTATTTTTAATTGATTTATATTGATAGAATTTGAATCAATCATGTAATTAGCCATGATAACGAGATGGGTGGAAATGAATTTTGCTTTCTCGATCTCCGTCTTCGATGTCGAGGTTAAAAATTGAGTTCTCATTTTTATCTCAGTTGGGTTTTAGGTTTCTTTTTTTTGTTCATCCTCTGATCTATATTATTTTTAAAAAATAATTAAATTTTAATAAATTAATTTTACTATTTTTATGTATTTTTTATATATAAATAAATATTTATAATTATTAATAATTAAATATATATTTTACTTTATTATATTTATATTAAAATATATATGGAAAAGAAATATTTAATTATTTTTATATATATATATATATATATATATATATATACTATTTATAACATTATTATTATTATAACACTGTATTCAAATATGTAAATACTTATATTATTATTATTATTATTATTATTATTATTATTATTATATTGTATTCAAATATTTGATTACATATATAAGTTAATTCACTTTTAAGTTGTCATTTAAAAATATGAAATATATAGTTTATAAGAAAATATTTAATAAGTTAATTCTTATTTAATTAGTTAAAGGTAATAAAAGTTTAAATTATCAATTATTTTTAATTCTTTAAAATACAAATATTTTATTAAGATAAAATTGATACATGACAAATAAGAATAATAAGATAAAAAAAACTATGACATAATAAAATATAGTAAATATAAATTATAAATAAAATAATATTAGTTACTACTAAGATTTATGTAAAATATTTAGAAAAAGATAAAAAAAAATAACTTTGTATTCATCAAATTGGTTGAAAAGATTGAAAATAAAAAAATTGATTGGAGAGATTAAGGAAATGCGAAAAATTAAAAGGTAAGAGAAATAAAATAATGTAATAAATTAATTGATATAAAAGATTAAAAAAGAAAAAAAATTAAAAATGGGTAAAATAAAAGTAAAAATGGTGAAATATAAAAAAATGATCTTATATGTAATAGAAAAAAAAATGAAATATTTTTTAAATATTAGTATTTTAAAATTTAAATTTAAATATAAAATCGAAGGGAAAACAGGGACGGGGTCGGGGTGGGGATTGCATTACCCATCCCCGCCCCCACCCCGACTTTTTAAAGCGGGAAAATCTGAACTCGCCCGCCCCGAGTCAACTCGATTTTTCCCGTCAAACTTAGGACAAGGACGAGATAGGTCCCCACGGGTACGAGTTTAATTGTCATCCCTATATGTAATTTGATTTCGCTAGGTAGGTTTAGCAACAATTGCAATTGGATTATTTTTAACACAAAAAAAGTTATATTATTTTTTTAATCATTTATATTAAATTTTGAAATGAAAGAATCACATGTTAACATTTTTCAACGTAAAACAAAAACCATTAAAAAAAATTGTGAATTTAAACGAAGAAATATACATAAAGTTTAAAATTATAAGTAAAATTATTATTCCAATTTTGTTGAAGAGTAAATAATATGAAATATTTATTAAAGGTTATTATGAACAATTTACTAAATTAGATAAGTTTTTTACAGGACTTTTATAACGCAATTTTTATCCTTAAAGTTCTGGAGATTAAGGGAATATGTAATTATATCATGCGTATAAGGGACATTATGGTTCAACTAAAAGTTCGGAGATGACCATGTCTAATTTCTTTCTAGTACATTATATTTTATGTACTTTGTTTTATCAACAGGTTTCATTTAAAAATCTTACAACACACATAAAGATAAGTGGTCTATTAATGAATTATTGACCGTGTGTGTAAGAAGAAAAGAGATTGCTGATGGAAGAAGGTGAAATAGTGAACTTGACTACTTTTATTAATAAAAAGAATAATCAAGTTAACCATAAGGGAAAACCTTATACTCAATCAATTATAAAAAAAGAGTCAAAGTGTTTCTTTTGTAAAAACAAAGGACACGAGAAGAAAAATTGTGCAAAATTTAAGAATTGTTTAGAGAAGAAAGGTAATTTTTTACTCTTCTCTGAATGTGGTTAGTTTAGTCATGACACATGATTAATTGATTCTGGATCTACAATCCATGTTTGTAATACCTTGTAAGGTATGTCAAACTTGTTGAGACCAGTAGAAAGTGAACAATATATTTATTCAAGAAGCAAGACAAGCTCACATGTGATATTATTGGGACATGCAATTTAACCTTAAATAGTGATTTCGTTTTATATTTGGAAAATTTCTTCTATGTTTCTAGTTTTTGTAAATAATTGATTTTCATTTCAACACTTGTACCTTTGGAATTTTCATTGAATTTTATAAACTCTTATTTTATTTTATTAAAACAATCAAAGGTTGTTGGGTTTTGTTAACTATGAGATGATTTTTACTCAATTGATTTACAAAATGACATTACTTATAATTCTATGCATGTTTCTTTTGGGTTAAAATGATGCGTTGTGAATAAGGATTCATTTATTTTATAGCACCGGAGATTGAGACATATCTCCATTGAGAGAATTAAATGATTAGTGAATTATGGAGTACTTAATACTTTAGATTTTACTGATTTCGAGACTTGTGTGGATTGCATTAAGGGTAATGAAACTAAGCCAAAAAAAGGTGTTAAGAGGAGTTAAAACTTACTAGATATCATTTATACAGTTCTAGATATGTATGCAAGTAATCTGGGATACTTCATCACCTTTATAAATGACTACTCATTATATATGTATTTTTATTTAATTCGTTCTAAGGAATAAACTTTAGATGCCTTCAAAATTTTTAAGACTGAAGTAGAATTACAATACAGAAAACAATTTAAGATTATGAGATCAGATAGAGTGAAAAGTATTATGGTAGATACACGAAGAGTGGATAAACACCTAGTCCATTTGTAAAATTTCTTCAAGAGCATGATATTGTTGTCCAATATACTATGCTTGGTTCTCCATATCAAAATGGCTTGACAAAAAGAAAAAATTGAACTTTAATGGATATGGTAATATGCATGAGGAGTAATGCCAAACTTTCTCAATCCTTATGGACAAAAACACTTAACATGACTCGTCATATAGTAAGTCGAGTTCCAATTAAAGTTGTCTTAAATATACTTTTTAAGTCATTAAAGGTTAGAAATCTAATTTGTAACATATACGCATTTGAGGATGTTTGTCTGAAGTAAGGATTTATAACCTTTAAGAGAAGAAATTTAACCCTAACACTATTAGTGGTATTTTATTGGATATGCTGAAAAATCTAAAAGGTATAGATTCTATTGTCCATCTCATAGCACTATAATTATGAAATCAAGAAATGCAAAAATTCTTACAAAATGACTTGATTGATGAGAGTGATTCAATTCAAGATATTAATTTTGAAAAAAATTATTATAAAACTAAATCCTCTCGATCAAATGGTAGATGGTTATTCATTCGTACTCTTCTAGTTACTCAAATTCTACAAATAATTGAAGATGATAACGTAGATTTAATTATTGAAAAAAACTCATAACTAATTAAAGATGATAAAGTAGATTCAGTTATTAAAAATAACGTAAAAGACCATTTTATTTATTTATTATAAGTTATGATATTAGAATGGCTAATTTATCAGAAGAGGAGATGGATAAAAAAAGGTGAGGTCGAAGTTAAAAAAAGAGAAAAAAAAGAAAAAAATGTAGGATAATTAGTAAATCTAACTGTTCCAAATGAGTGGGGCTTGACCTTGATTATGACTTGTGACGTTAAAGCATAGTTAATGGCGTCTAGCTCCTCTTTGCAGCCGCCAATAAACAAACACAAAACACGTGAAACTTACACTCAGTTTTTAGTTTAAAATACATGGTTCTACTTTGGCAGGGAGAAAAAAATAAAAAATAAATTCAAGGAGTGAAAGAGAAAGATAAAATAAAACAAGGAAATAATGTTGTTCATTTTATGTAAAATAAAGTATTCATATAGTTTATATGCGGTTACCAGTTATCTCAATTTTTAAACAATGGTTTTAATTTAAGAGTGGTGGTATTTAAATAGCTAAAAATAAAAAAATAACTATTTGACCACTTTTTTTTATAATAATAAGTTGAAAATTGGGTCTGGTTTTCACAAAATTTCAGCCCGACCCACAAGGCAATCAACAATGCAGATTAGAAACAATTTTTGAGGGGTGCAGACCGTCTTTTATTTTCACAGGAACGACAAAATTTTGTGTTTTTTTTTTTCCATATTCTTCTTGCATTTCATGTGTTTATAGTGCATCTCATATTGAAAGAAATAAGTTAATTCAAGATATTTTTTCGAAAAGTTTTCGGAAAAGAAATTTAGAACTTCAATTATATATTTTAAAAAAAATTAGGTTTAATTTTCTAAATAAAAAATTGAATCAATCTTTTTAAAATGATAAAAATTATATTATGGATTTCATAATCTAAAATATGAAAAATTATATATTTTTAAATTTATTTATTCAAAATTTTAAAGATTTTTTAATTTAAAATATTTTAATATACTTTCGAAGCATTAATTCTATAAAATAATAAAGATTTTATTGTCTTTTTAATTTAATGTGGGATTTAGGAAGATTGTGCCTTTTTTGTTGGGAAGGGAGATGGAAATAAAGCCCAGGAGTTACTTAGAACCATGCGATGAAGTATGGGCCATTACTAGCCCAAATACTATTTTTCTAAAAAGACTATAAATAAGTTAAGTTAAAGCATTCACCATAATTGGGATGCAGATGTGGAAGTTTGAAGAGAAATTTCATTTAATGAAAATTTGTCTTAAAAAGTAAGATTTAAGTTAGAAGTAAAATTAGCAGAAATAATAGATTAAGAAGAAGTTACTGATTTATTGTTAATTAATCCTGATTAGATATGTGGAGTGCAACTTATTTATTGCTATGTGCTCCTTCTTCTTCGTCCCCTCTCTACGTTGAACACACGCTCCATCATCAAGAGCAAGGAAAGCATGAGCTGCAACGGTTGCCGAATTCTCCGGAAAAGATGCAGCGAGAGGTGCACCCTCAGATCTTCTCTCCACTGGATCCATTCTCCCCAGGCCCAAGCCCATGCAACTCTCTTTCTCGCTAAGTTCTTCGGCCGTAGCCACCTCGTCTATTCCATCTCCTCCGTTCCCCAACACAACAGACCCGGTACTTACACTGGTTTTTTATTTCTTTTGTTAATTTCTCACAACAAAGCTTAACCAAATTCAACCTCTTACCTGATTCCTTCAAGTACGCTGATCGCTTCGCTTCTTCTGCAATTACAGCGCTGTTTCAGTCTCTACTCTTCGAGGCATGCGGCCGGACCATTAATCCCGTCAACGGCGCCGTCGGACTTCTGTTGACAGGTAACTGGCACGTGTGCGAGGCCGCCGTCGAGACTGTTCTAGCCGGAGGCGTTCTCCGGCCGTTGCCCGAGCTTGTGGCGCCGACGACCTTGGAAGAATCTTCTGAGAGCATGTTGTTGTCTGAGTTGCAGCCGATGGCGTCGATTGAAGAGTGTTTGAAGAGGAGGAGCGATGCGACAGCAGTGGCGGATTCCTCGTTGGTTTGGAGAGTATCGGAGATGGCGAGCTACGATGCTTGCAGCGGCAAAAATGAGAAAAAGCTTCTGAATCTGTTCGTGTAAATGCACGTGCAGCTATTATTAATATGAATTAATTATTATGAGTAGTATTAGGGATGAAATAACGCAAACGCAAAGAGAATGGTTTTCCAAATTGTAGCTCCGGAAAAGTGCCCGTGAAATTTTGTTAAATTTTGAGGCAATTTAATGATCACGCTTGTTTCTTCTTCTTTTCATTTTATTATAACATTATTAGTAATTTACATATCTTTCTTCTTTATTTTATGACTTCTCAGTTATCTCATTCACACTTTTATCTTCTATATCTGTTTCTATGGATGCTTGAGTTCGTATTTCCGAGTATATATATGTATATATAAGATACATAAATGATAAGTTAAGAAAATATATATATGGTTCTTGAATTCATGTTATGTTTGTGGAAGATTGGAGTGATAAACTAATGTGTCGGGTGAATGGAGCGAGAGAGAAGAGAAGAGAAGAGAAGAGAAGAGAAGAGAAGTAGAGAGTATAGGATGCATTACTTTAACGTTACGCCGCATGTGTGAGAACATTTGAGGAATCGTGAAAAGTGATTTGATTTGAAGCATTGGATATTGAAGAGAAGAGCAAATGCACGTGATGCAAATATCAATGGTGCGCTGCACGTCACCTTCTTCCACAACCATGGATTTCCTCCACTACGAAGTGGGTTCCACGCCAAAACCCACCATATAACATTAACGTACACCCTTACTTTCCCAACAAACCAAAACACAACGTAGATTGTACTTACTTTTCCTTTGTTATTATGTGCAACTCTCTCTCAACTCAACCATTACTATTAACAATGCTATAAAAACACTTATTCTTGTTATAACCTACCAAAAATATCTCTTTAAATACAGTTTCAGATTTCTTTTAAAAAAAAAAGAAGAAGAGAGAAAACCCATTAACCTTCTCTTTTTATCGATGTGTTCTTTTTTTTTTTTTTAAGATGAAGAAGTATAAATGTGGGAGTGTGATAAGATGAAATCCACTGATTTGAAAAGAATGTCTCACATGTTTTACTAGTTTCATGCTCTATGATAGTCAGAAATAAGAACAAGAACATTTTGAATTGTGACATGTAAGTAAAATACAATATATTTTTTGCATATGTAATGGATTATAAAATACTTTTTTCATTTTTAATAATAATAAATATATAAAAAAGTAATTATTAGAGAGTAAAATTATTTTTCTTTTTATTCCTTTTCACTGTATTTTAACTCATCCAAATCATCTTACTCATTTTAAGGTCATAAAAAAGGTAACTAAATAATAAACTTAAGATAATCAGTTAATTTTTTTGATAAAGATTAACTTTGGCGATGATAAAGAATGAAGATATTATTAGAAGAAGCAAGAAATGGATTGGATATGGGCAGTTCCACTGTTGTAGTGCGGGAAAGAGACAGATTGGACAATTTGTATTGCATCTATTGTTTGCTTTTATTCGAAAATTTGAAATAAGTTTATATATAAACCCTAAAAAGTAAGATAAACAAAATAATTTATAAAATATATTAAAAATGATAAAATATAATATTATTGAATTTTAGTTGATACAGAATTTTATCCTAATGCAATTTAGATGATTTTGTTTTAATATTGAATTAAAATTAAACTTTTGTTCTGTTCATTGTGAGATTTTAGTTTGATCGTAAAAATAAAAAACATGATGCTCGTTCTTTTTCAATTCATTCGCTGCGCCGCGTCTCCCACCTTGTCTTGTCACTGTGGACCCCATGCTATCCACAAATTACTAATTAATTTATTCACTGCTTGCTAATTAATCACGCTTAAGTGTCCCGTGTCGAGTATTTGATGCTTTCAGAATTAATTTACGCTTTTTTTGCCATTCATTTTTCTTAATATATGCAGACAAATTGATAAATATGCTTTGGCAAAGAATCCTTCGGTGGAAAATAGTCAAAAACAAAATGAAGAAAAAAGGTCATTTCATTTGAAAATTAAGATATTTTATGACTCTCAATCGATGACATTACAGTAGATATTCCCGGTCTTAAAAGTTAATACCATGTTAAGATTATAGCTTAATAAAGAATGATTTTTTTAACACCAACTCCTAAATCTAAAAAAAATTATTGAAAAAAAATAATATATATATATATATATATATATATATATATATATTATAATACCTTTATATTCTATGATATATTTTTATATCAACCTTGAAAATTTGATATCAATAAATTTGTTTAAAATATATTTTACTAATATTCCCTACGAAAAATGATTACGTACCCTGCTATTATTCCTTCACAAAATGACATTTGGAACAAATTTGAGTTGGAAGAACATTTTTTTTTAAAAAAAGGAAAAGGATAAAGATTAAAGTTTAAAAGCATATTTAAAAGTGTAACTCATTATGATTTTAGGTATGTTTAGATTAATGTTTTTTTATATAAGAAAAAAAGAAAACGATATTTTTATATTAACCGTGTTGAACATAAAAATCACACTATCTTTTATAATCCAAACCAATGAGACATGGATTCATAATTTAGAATGTCACTTAATGAGTATCCGTATAATTTTTTGTATGAATACACTAATATGTTATATTTATATCCATCTAGTTCTAACATTTACTCATCTTATATATCATATTTAAATCGGATAACTCATTATATTACATTTTGATTTTTTTATCTCTTTTCTAGTATTATAATTTTGTCCTGCCTACACTTTTTTTATTCTATTTTGTTCTCTTTAAAAATTCTCTTACAAGTTATCTAAAATAAAAAATTAATTGAATTTTTTAAAAATGTTATTCTTTAAAATAATTTAAAATATATTTAAAGATTTATTTTAATGATAATATAACTTAGTCTAGATTTAAATAAAAAATATATTTATATTTAAATTATTTTAAATTAAGATAAATATTTTAAAAATTATAAATAATATAAAAATTGATTCAATAATTTATTAATTAATGTGAAATTAACTCTATAAATATAAATCTAAAAGAATTTAAATTTAAAAGTTAATTATTTATTAAAATATTAAATTTTATAACATTTTTCATAAAAATATATTATGTAATTGACTAAATAAATTATTTATAATTTTTAAAACATTTATCTTAGTTAATTATTTACAAAAACAGGTTGTTTATTTAGGTGGACTAGCAAATATTTGACTGGCCTTACATTAAGAAACTTAGGATATCGATTTTATATTTTAACGTTCCATAAAATTTGATGTAGAATATTTCAAGATATTTGGAAAAGCAGAATAGCAAAAAACGCAGTGCACATAGCAATCTCCTTCTCCAATTTCGATTGACCTGCCATCGTGATGTTGAATAATGACCACAAACTCAAGAAAAAGAGCCACTTTGATGAAGGGGTCCAGTGGCCCAAAACAAACGAAAAAAAAAAAACTACACTCTCAACAGGGAACAACTTATTCCGCCATCGAATATAAGAAAAAAAAAAAGTGATTCACACTAAATAAAGAAACTAGGTAGAGTATAGTTTAATTATATAAATTCCAAAGCAAAACATATATATTTCCTAAAATACCTTTCATTAAAACTAGATATAAAAACAAAAGAATATTCGTAAATAAAATATCAGTTAAATGAAAAGAATTTTAGAAAAGAAATAAGAAAGAAGATGAAATTACTTGATTTTTTATTTTATCTTTTTTATATTTAAAACTAACGTGTATTTGCTTTTTACTAATATTAGAAATTCAAATAGGAAACAGCAAGGTAAAAAAATAACATATTTGAGCAACCCACATCGCGCTGAGTTACGCTCCAGGAAAATAAATACTGCAGGGAGAATTGAATCTGATATATGGAGTAAAATTTGATGAAGAACATCACAACTTTGTTTTTTCACTAAACGCTACCGTGTTAGAAGAAACTTCAACAATCAAAATGTGGTAACCCGTAGCTAACTTGTTTTACTCCTTACTTTTGCAATTCGCAAGTCCCACTCCACCAGTAATCTATTGCTTAGGAGTTACCTTTCTTAGTAAAAATTAATGTTATATTTATATATTACAAATGAACTGTTTCAACACTTCCCATGGAATACATACCGACCACCCTTGCAATAAGAGAGACACAAGGAAAAGAACCAGATACCTTACTGACCCATCATAATTATTCAATTTAGGAGCAATAATAACATATAAAAAAGATTAAACTAAACATATAACATGCTACACGGTTTATATACATCCTTTCGAGCTTTATAAAATATCAATAAGAAAAAGAGAAAAAAGTGTATATAAATAAACCTGCATCTTAAAACATCAACCTCCAATCCTGACTCTCTGGTTTGCATACGATAAATACATACAGGTATGCGTTGAATGCAAGGCCAAAATAAGCACACCTATTGTTAGCACTCCAAATCGTAACTTACTATACGTTAGCAAAGAATGTGGGCTTGCTCATACATACAGTTATATGCTTGTTACTTCACTGTTTAGCTTCAGGTAAGCAATTCAGTTGTGAAATATGCGTTCCTAGGCTACACTCTCTAACCTGCATGTGTAAATATTTTGTTAATTAGATTGCAGCAATACATGTGAGTGATGGTTAACATGTCGTTCAACTTCATGATATGATCATCAGATGAAGATCAGCAAAATAATTTGAGTTTCACTACCTCCTTTTCAGATATTAAATTTACCTGCATAGTTGTAACCATTGCTAGAAGGTGTTTGCACTCATGAAGCAAAACATACTCCTTTGTACTCAAGTTAGCAACTTCGACCACCAACGAATTTACATAACCAACCTATCAATTGTAAATGCTTTTCAGATATTTTGGCACCCAAATGGAAACTGTAATTAAAGGCATCACAGTGACTAATATTTTTTATTGTAGCAAGTAGTAAAAAAATTAACTCAGCTTAAACAAAATAATGCATACTTATGAAAATTGGCCTCCAATTCCGAAACCAAGACTAATCATAACTATTTTCGTGAGTCATAAAAATAAACTCTGTAACTCAGAAGTCACTCATAAATGTAATTAAGCTTAAATGACGCAAAGCAGAGAACAGGGTTGCACAGTCAAACAAACAAGAACGGGTGTTTCATTGTTTTTCTTGCAAAAAACAGACCTGTCGCTGTGGGGAAGGGGAGGGGGGTAAATAACGTGGACAGAAGTGTGTAATAATAAATACAATTTATCAGCGGTAGGTAATGGAGGGAAATCAAGTTGGTGGCATGAAGTCAACAAATAATAATAGAAATGTATAAACAAATGAAAAATCAGAAGCTGGAACTGCAGAGATAGTATTTGATCGATTTTAGGCAGAAAGATAATATATCAAAATGGGTAAGAAGAGTTTTGGACATGGTTTGAATTGGCACTGCTCATTTGTTGCAGTTAATGATAAGGCTTATGTACTCAAACCATCTTTGTTTATCACACAAAAAATGGCATTAGGTAACAATTTGAACTCTTCTCCCAAAAAGTTGTCCCACCTTGTGTCATTGGTGCTACAAGCAAGGGGAATTATCTTTTTTCATTTACTTTCTGGTGTTTTTGTAATGCTAGACTTATGGCATATCTTTTTTATTGATATTACTAATTCGACTAAGTTGGGTCGCACTGGATAAAACTATTACAACCAACAAAGTTTTTTCTTAAATTTTGTAAGGTTCTCAAATTTGAAACCTTGAAGACTTGAGGTGCATGAGTATAACATGCGAAGTTATTTTACTACCATAATATAATTAGAAATTCAGCGTCAGGAGATCCAAATAAATCAATCTGTAAAAAAATAGAAAATCTAATAATACTTATCAATGCGGTAGAATGAATATGTACCTTTGTTAACAATAAGCATATGGAGGATCCCATAGCCTTCATTATATCCACCGCTGAACAAAGAGCATCCTTCACTTTCAGTACGTCTGTCTGACAGAGGATTCTCATATTATTCCCAAAACATGCTAATATAGTAATATCAACTAAATTATTATGACATTACCTATCATGAAAGGAATAGAGAATAAACAAGACGCAAAAAATAAATACCTTGGCCCCATCAACAACAGGGAGGCGAAGAGTGCTAGCCTTTAATGCTTCAATAGCTCCTTTAAGTGAACTTACGTAAACTTGATCCAAAGTAGCCCAATCTTCCAAATAAACCATCTAGAGTAAAAGTTTCTATTAAAATTTAGGATACGAAAGTTAAACAAGAAGTCAATAAGTTCGATGTCGAAGAGAATCAAATTCAAATCCGATCAAGCTAAAAATATACAAACAATTTTGAGCACATGGTAACGCTAGATCTTACTTGGTTTTTGAGGATGAAATTCAACTTCAACTTATGCTTCAGCAATTGTAACTCTCTCCTTTTGGCACTCACAGATTCTCGTAGTTTAGTGATAGATGCCCAAGCATCATAGAGACAACTCTATTAAAAGAAAAATTAAAAATTAAAAATCAACTGTCAATTTTAAATGTAAATCATAACAAATCATAAGCATGATTTTATCGATAATTAAGATTGTTCATGCTAAAGATATGAACTCAATAAATTCTGGTTAGCTTCTACAACGTGAGACCTGGACTAATCATGCTTATTTAATAAGGCTGTTCTCTAATTGTCACCCGTCCTAGAGTCCTAAAGCTCAATATGAAATCAAGAAAACTCTAGCGAGCTTCTACAATCCGTAACCTAATTTGGTTGGTCTATTTAATGAGTGTGACCTCCAAATGTCATTCACTTGAAAGTTTTAAAGCTTAACATGGATTCAACAAGAAAACCTGGTCAACTTCTGCAATGTCTGACATGACCTGAATTAATCGTGCCTATTTAATGATTGCGCCACTAATTGTCAATCCTTGGAGAGTCCTAAATCACAATGTAAGCTCAAGAAACTCCGGTGAACTTCTACAGAAATTTAGTCTAATTAAGAAAGAAGGACTCTAGTTTAGGATTTGGAAGCTATAACTATTCACTTTTAGAAATCACATAAAAAATATTAAAAAAAGAAAAACTTTCCGTTGAAATAAAACCATACCTCAACATTTGATTTTTGCACAGAGAGATCAGCATCTGTTCTGGCGTTGACAAAACGCCATTGCAAGAGGCGGTTATGGAGAAGCCTCAGTGAATGCGCCTCCACAATTCGGTTCTCTCCCATCCCCCCTCTCTTAACATCAACTGCAAAACTCAAAATGGAAGGCTCGTTGCTGAAACCGTTAGAGGAAGCTCCGTTTCTGAGCCTCAAGGGGCTCACACCTCTGGAAGAAGAAGAACAAGAGGAGGCTGGTACTGTATTAGAAACCTTGTTCGGTGAAGCAGGACGAATATAAGAAACCTGGCCTCTGCTATTTATAACTTGTCGGGGAGACGATGCACCGTCGATCGCCGATTTTCTCCGCGCGACGAGTTTGGGAGAGGAAACGAGGTTCGTTGTTGATTTGGCTTTATTCACGGTGATCCAGAACGACTCGCCCTGGAACGACACGGATAGACTTCTTGTTGTGGCGGAAGTTGAAAGCATCTTGCCAGAAGACGACGTCGTTCGGGTGGTGCCACTAGAGCCAGGTCGTCTCCGCTCCACCGACTGTGACCGTTTGGGCGTGAATGGTGACGGTGACCGAGGCGATTGAGATGATGAAGATGGGGTGTAACGAGGGGCGAGTTTTTTGGGCGTGGAAATTGCAGCTTCTACCATTGTGGTTGTGATATTGTTTCATGAGGAGTTTAGTTGTAAATAGCAATGTTGAGTTTCTGAATTGGGCCAAATGGAAGAAGAAAGAAGTGTGGGAAGCAAGGAAAGAGTGAATTGAAAATGAAGAAAATGCGAAGTTGGAAGGATGTTTTGACCGTTCAGGTGGAATGCGAAACCCGGTTTTTGGAGTGTAACCGTCGCATTAGAATTAATAAGAAGGTGTAACGTTCAGGGTGGTAGTTTGGTAAAGGTTTTCACAAGTTGGGGTTGTTGTGGTCTTGCTTCACAGTTAGTGGCAAGAAAATCAAATAAATATATTAAAACTAAATTAATTTACTTATGAAATAATTTATAAAATAAATATATATCAAATTATATATAAATTGATGTTAGCTAATTTATGATTCTTATAATGATTAATTTAAATATTTAAAATCATTGTTGTTTAAAATTACTTCTGTGCAAATGTTGTCCCATAACAATCTAAACTTTATTGGACGATATTAATCTCCAGAGTCCAGACTCGGATGCATCGTAGATTCAGTCAGCTCTGGTGGGTCCTCAAATACTGCATTATTGATTCGCAAGTTCACCACTGCTTTATGCTGGTGGGCTTCAGTTTTGACGGAAAAGAACCCTAATCCGGGCAACATATATATCAGAATTTGGCTACGATCACAATAATTAATTTTGTTAATTGGTACGATGGTGATCATGTTGTTGTGAGGTTGGACAATGACAACAGATAATATGATTAAAGCCGCTTTCACCTCCCAACTGACAAACCCATGCTTTTCCAACTGACGCCAGTGCTTTCGTTACCTACATATCTTGTCATTTTTCTGTAACCCAACACTTTCATAATCTCAGCGACAAACAACAATGGCCCTCGTTTCTACGTAGTTTTAGATACATACTGATACTGTTATATCTTTCACATGTTTTTGCAAAATAAGAAAAATCATATAAATGCAGTTATGCACGTCTCGTGATTTTAAGACAAGTAATCCATGGAAAACTGAAGTGACTTTTTCTTGATAAGTAAAAAAATGTATTTATAAAAGAATAAAAGGACTAAGCTTCAGAAACTGCCAAGATTAGCACAGTGAAGGGTGCTGCATTTTTACTATCTTGTTATATCATATTACCAATTATATCAATCACTTATTTATCTTTTTCTCACTATTTCACTTTTGTAGAAACATTCAATAAAGTGTCCATAGAATCATTATTTGACATATTAACCAATCGAAAAAGCAGAATAATAATACAGCAGATAGCAACCCCATTAATCCACTCCAAGAGATCAAGCAACCCTTTGTCCCACATAAAGGCTTACTCGATTAATGAAGTGACTTACTCAGAGGTTGAGCACATCATAAGAAAAGGAGGGTAACATCACAAGAGAAAGAATGCAAGTGGGATTGTTGGTTAAGATCGAGGACCACTTACGATAAACTTAGTTAAAACCAAATCTTTGCTATCGAATTACTGTTAAAGCATCTTCGCTTCAGAAACACTTCAAACATTGAGTTTCTTAGTGTTTGCCAACACAAGCATGGTGCCGCACATTGCAAGGGGCGTCAAGAATGATTCCTGGGTAGGTCCCATTGAGTTGGGATTAAGGGTGAAGAAAAGAAAAGCAAGTGAGAAACGTAACACACTTTTGGTCATAGGCTTAATGCATTTCCTAAGGGATGGAAATGAGAAACAACAATTTTAGCTTTAAGTAATATACAAACCATCAATACTGAAATTTTTGGATGAATATTTTCATAAGTTCTTTTAAAAGAAGAAAAAAAAATCAAGTTTTTTATAAATGAAATTGATTTTATCTTCAATTTAAAATAAAAAATTAAAGAAAATTATATTAGAGAATTTTTATAAATTAATTTGTGTATAAGTTAATTTTAACCTATGAAAAATTAATTTTAATTTTTTAATATATGATAGAATAATCGGTTTGATTAGCCACCGACTAATTTATGATCATTGATCCATTAGGTCAATACCTCAGCCAGTTGATGATCGGAAAAATTATAATAACATTGGTTCGAATGCTACCTTTCAATAAAGACTATGTTGTTATATATATTATTATAGAAATATATATATTTCTTCCTTTCCATATATAAAACAAAAATGTATTTCAGATGTGTTATTATGAGGTGTAAACTAGTTAAATCTAAATATTTTAGTTAGCAAAATCAATGATCGGGAGTGAACTTTGCAAATCGGGTGCAACATCAGAAATAATAACTGGACCTTAATCCAATAGTTATTTCAATGAATAGGGCTTTTATTTTTCAGATGAGTCTAGGCAATGGTGAAAACAATAGGTTTCATACTCCAATTAATAAGTAAATAAAAACTATATATTTGTGAAAGAATGGCTACTGTGAAATTTTTTACAAAAACATGTTACATGTTCGCTTTGGTGTAAAACGACGTGCTTTTGATTTTTGTTTTAATTTATTAATCGACTAGTAAGAATAAAAACTGTGGTTATTATCTAAAACTTTCATATCAAATTATAGAGAGATAAAAATCACGAAACATTGAAGCAGCTAAAACAATGTCTGCTTTCAACTCTTTTCCTTCACGAAAGAAAACCTTTCTAATGGTTAACAAATAACTATACAGTTTCTTTTAGTATCACAATCCAACGTTGTGATTGTAACTCTTGGGTCCGCAACAGGGAGTTGAGGTTGTAACATTCGAAAGTGTCGCATAATGCGAAGCATCAAGCACCGTAATTGCATGTGTTTAGTTGACATGTTATATAATGCACTTAAGCTGTGTTGGTTCCATTCTAATGAGATCCCAAAGAACGTAAGAATTGAACAAGAAACAAGTTCTACAAGTGGTTTCCAATGATTTTGTCCTCTTTTTTGGCGTGGGAATGCGACATAACAGCTACCAATAATTTCATATCTTAAAGATCACGAATTATGTGGACTCTTATATACCTAAGTCGCAGACTCGCCATGCATGGGAATGTAAATATTTATTTACAAAATGTTTATTTTTATTTTTCAAAAATGTACAAGGAGAAGTTTATTCAACCATTCTTATTCTTATGTGTTATTTCTGCCGCCAAAAGCTAATCCATAAGGTGATAAATTTGTGGTTTGATATTGAAATATACAAGCAATTTGGCTGAAACTTAGAAGTCATTTTCTTGATGGATGGCCGTAGCTTAGAGACCCTACACATGATTTCTCGCACTCTATTTTTTTCCTTCATAGGTGGTGATATTCTTTCATTTTGTCTATCAGATTCATTTAGTGATTGATACCTATGCAAGCAGTTTAATCGAGGAAATATATAGCCACCATATATAAGATTGAGTTGCGAAGGATGGTCCAACATTTCGACTATTTCATTTCATGAATATAATGAGTGCTTTTGGCATGATGCTGCACCTCCAAAAACTCCAGCATGTGAGAATTGATTGACTTTGTTGTTTACCCAGATCGTACTGCTTTGGTCCATTAAAACTTGATTGTGCTTTGTCTCGATGGATCATCTCACTTTGTCGAGTTTTTTGCAGTAAAGAAGGGACCCAATTGCAAACTCAGCAACATTCAATTGTGACCACTTTATTCCAAACAACAAATAAAGTTTGTTCTTCATTCATTTTGGATGTCTGAACACACATGGAATTTTTTATGTTAGTTTCTGCAAGAAGAGAAAGAACTGTGACTTCTACAGAATTTTCATCTAACTAATTAATAGGATAGATGGATTACTGTAAACTCTCTGATATATTTACGAATACAAACCTAGAAAAAACTTTGAACTCACAAAGGAAAAAGAAATTGGTAGTGGCTGGCTGATTAGAGTATTATGAAAGTTGGACAAACTGGAAACCTACCCTACCTCACCTCGCTTTGCTCCACCAAAAAACAAAGCTGGTTTGATCTTGAGACTGTGGGTTAAAAAATGTACTTTCCACTTCATTCACCATTTAAAAAAAAAAAAAAAGAAATCCCATTTATTATCATAATTTGAAAACTTCATTATATTAAATTCTCTTATGTATTGAGCTTATCTGATGTTATTAGGATTCCAATAATAGATATGCATTCTAAGTTTTTGAGCAAAGTGATAACACTCTCATAACTCAAGGATCTTATATTCTTGCACACCAAGAGTTGTGTACAGCATGAGTTCATGAACACAATTCATTAGTAACAAACAATGCAAATCAAAGATTCTTTCACAACTCATCAGGCCCAGTAAGAATTTTATAAGTAACTTAATAAGGTAAAAAAACAAATAATAATATCTCTTGTTATATACATTCACATCTTTCTTCACACAAATAATTGACAACGTTTGAGTCTTCGTAAAAACATGCATGTCAACCTTTGAGGGAAAAACAAAAATGTTATAATTAACAAATTATACTCTTAGAAATGTTCATGAAATTTTTTTTGAACTTTGTACAATATTCCATATAATAGGAAAAAAAAAACAGAAAAAAAGTACACAAATATAGCACTTCATTGAAACTTGGACTATCCTATAAATAAAGCAATTATAGGACATATAAAAATGTGTATTTATTAATGTTTGTGAATTCCTTTTTATGAAATATACTAAAACTATTCATATCTTCTCTAATTTTTTAACTATTATTTCATACTAAATGAAAGTTACATTTCATAATTAAGTTTATGATAAAAATCTATTCAATAATTAACACTCAATAAAATGATCATTTATCCAACAAATCACAATCTCCAAGTGTAGCATTAACCTAAATGGATAACATAGAAGAGTGGTGTAGGTCCACTCCAGCCAATACCACAATAATGCAGAATGCATAGAGAGTATCTTTACATTTTATATTACTGCATAATTCTCAGCCGATGCTACCATAAATATCTGAAATTTGAATAGTGTAAACAGCAGTTACCTAAGGTCTAAAGAGGATGCTAACTAAACTCAGTGCTTCTTCCACTATATCAAGCAATATCTCAGTGGGTTTCTTGGTACAAATCAAACATCTAACAACTCACATATTGTAAATATATTTGTGCAAAAAAATAAATGTTAAAATATTTTAAAGAGGATTGAATTAATTAATCAAAAAGTACTTTATAGATATTTAATCAGAAAAAGTAGAAACGCTTGTTTTATTGAGATTAGTTTAATTATTAAAATATTATATATTTTAATTGTGAACAATGAATATCTTGTTAAGATTAATGACAATTAAAAATTAAAATATTTATAATAAAAAAGTTAATTAAATAGAAAATTCATAAAAAGTTATAAATAATTAGACCTCCTTAGAAAATTGTAATTACATATTTCATCATTTTTTTTAAAAGCAAACTATTTTAATTTATTGTTTGTTTTATAATTTCTTATAAAAAATGTTACATATGTATATAAATGATATTAATTACTCATTTGCATATATTAATAATAGGTTTCACACTTAACTTTAATATGTATTATTATTATGATAAAATTGTGATTATATTAACAAGTATTTTACTTTTTAAAAATAATTTAATCATATTCATAAAGACAAATGTTATCTTAACATGTAACTAAGTTCATCTAGTGGGATAAAGACAAATGTTTTTTTTTTTATAAAGAAACATTATCTATTAAGTGAACAAATATTATCTAAAATTGTTCATTAATTTCCATGTAACAAAGTAGAGGTAGAGTCCCCATTTTCCAGATGGTCATCCATGATTGACAGAAAAAGCAAGGGAATCATTGCCATTTTGGTTATTTTCAATTGCACACTGCATTCATACATGGAAGAATCCTATGGTCAAGATGTTAATGTATACTTACTACTCAATCATTCAAGTTTTCTTCAGTGGACCACTTTGAAGACAAAAACTAAATAGAAGCATTTAACTCATCTTGTGTTTTGTATTATAGACGTTGTTTTCAATCTTTGAATAGTATTTTTAATAATTTTTTAATGCATTTCACACATATCATTCCAATATCACAAGCCAAAAATGTCTCAGGTTACTCTGTCTTTTATCTCAACTATTTATGTAATGACAATAATGCTTGTAAGCAGTTTGTAGAATTAGTAGAAAGATAAAAAGTAATGAAAAGAATCACGTAAACCAAAAAGTAAACATATCCCCTTTATTAGTATGAATATTGTAGGAATGGTGCGTTTATTTAAATGTTTCCATAATGTTTTGCGACTTAGTTAGTACACACTCAAAACTTAAAAAAACACGTGAAATATGATATATTAATTAGAGATACTGTAAATCCACCGTACCTACATATCCTATCTTTAATTAAAGTTATGAATGATATTGGACTATCTGGATTCCAACTCACATACTAAATTTCCACAACATATATATGGTAAATGATAAGTGTCTAATATGTATATATAATTAGAAGTTAAAGTAGAGTGCCAGTAAATTCAATTCTTTTGTTTCTCTTAATAATAACAAAAGAAAAAAAAATCAAAGAAAGAGGTTTTGGTTTATTAAAAAAATTATATATAGAGTATAAGTAAAATTCATCTATTAAATAATGATAGTTAAATTTACTTAATATTCTTAATTTTTTATAATATATGAGTTTTTTTTAACTACTCTTAGTGATATTAATTGGATATATATTCTAAAATTTAAATATAAGGGTCTTTTTAAAATAATAATATTAAATAAAAATTATAATTTATTTATATTATTTGAGTCTAATAAACATGTTTTTTTTTTCTCATAAATGAATATAGAGAGAGTATGCAACAAAATTTATTCTCTTCCATTTTATAAAACTTCGGTGTTTTAATTCATTTTCGATATGAAATAAATTAAAAGAAAATTTCATTCTAGTGTAATATATTTAAACAATAGAATGGTGATTTTTTTTTTGTTATCCCGTTTTAATTTTTTTTTACGAGAAAAAATATATACATAAATTTGTTAACTTTTGTAATAAATATTTTAAATTTTGTATCAACCAAATTTTATATGGAATGAAAGTGTAAAAGTGTTTTTCACTCTCATTGCATGTTTTATTTTGTTTTTTTTTTTTTTTTCATTTTTATTATTGTTCCCTTCTTACAAGATATCTTGGTTAGGCCCGCAGCCTGAACAGTTCCATATGAAGAATATATAGCAACTTTCACTGCATTTCTGAAGCAAATTTGAAAGAAGAGTGAGACTAAATTGTGGTGAAAGCTGAAATGGTGGAGCGAGAGCAAGGTGACAAGATGAATATGCTGATGTTCAAGTCCCTTCTGATTTCTTTGTTGCTAGTTTTCTGTAGCAGACACACCATAGCAGAAAAGAAAACCAATCACCACTCTAAAAGCACATACATAATTCACATGGACAAGTTCAACATGCCATCAAGCTTCAATGACCATCTCCTTTGGTATGACTCATCACTGAAATCAGTTTCGGAATCAGCAGAGATGCTTTACACATACCAGCATGTAGCTCATGGCTTCTCCACAAGGCTAACTAGCCAAGAAGCAGAGTTACTCTCAAAGCAGCCGGGAATTCTCTCTGTCATCCCCGAAGTTAGATACGATCTTCACACAACTCGAACACCAGAGTTTCTGGGGTTGGAGAAAACCATCACTATTTCACTGGCCTATGGAAAACAAAGCGATGTGGTTGTCGGAGTGCTAGACACTGGTGTGTGGCCTGAGCTAAAAAGCTTCGATGACAAGGGTCTTGGGCCAGTTCCAAGTAGCTGGAAAGGTGAGTGTGAGAGAGGTAAGAACTTCAACCCATCAAACTGTAACAAGAAGCTTGTTGGTGCAAGGTTTTTCGGCAAGGGCTATGAGGCGGCGTTTGGACCCATCGATGAAAGTAAAGAATCAAATTCACCAAGGGATGATGATGGCCATGGAAGTCATACCTCAACAACAGCAGCAGGTTCTGTAGTTGCCGGAGCTAGCCTCTTTGGCTTTGCTAATGGGACAGCAAGAGGCATGGCCACGCAAGCCAGAGTTGCTACATACAAAGTGTGTTGGCTTAGCGGGTGCTTCACATCAGACATAGCTGCTGGCATTGACAAGGCCATTGCAGATGGTGTCAACATCCTTTCCATGTCAATTGGGGGAGGTTTGACGGATTACTACAGAGACACTATTGCAATTGGAACTTTCGCTGCCACTGCCCATGGAATACTGGTTTCCAATTCAGCAGGAAATGGTGGGCCTAGTCAAGCATCCTTGTCTAATGTGGCACCATGGTTAACCACAGTGGGTGCTGGGACTATAGACCGTGACTTCCCTGCCTATGTCACCCTTGGAAATGGGAAGGCATACACTGGGGTGTCCCTTTACAATGGCAAACTCCCACCTAAGTCTCCAATTCCAATTGTTTATGCCGGTAATGTAAGTGGTGATTCAGAAGGAAGTCTGTGCAGGAAAGATAGTTTGATTGCTGCAAAAGTAGCAGGAAAAATCGTGATATGTGACAGAGGAGGAAACGCTAGGGTGGAAAAAGGTTTGGCGGTGAAGAGTGCTGGAGGCATTGGGATGATACTAGCAAACAATGAAGACTATGGGGAAGAGTTAGTAGCTGACTCCTATCTCCTCCCAGCATTAGCTTTGGGCCAGAAATCCAGCGATGAGCTAAAAAAGTATGTTTTTTCATCTCCCAATCCCACAGCTAAACTTTCATTTGGTGGCACCCAGTTAGGGGTTCAACCATCCCCAGTGGTGGCAGCTTTCAGCTCAAGAGGGCCAAATTTGCTAACACCAAAGGTGCTCAAACCAGATCTGATAGCCCCAGGAGTTAACATCCTAGCTGGATGGACTGGTGCAGTCGGACCAACTGGCATGACTGAAGACACCAGGCATGTGGAATTCAACATCATCTCAGGCACTTCCATGTCCTGCCCCCATGTCAGTGGGTTAGCTGCCCTTCTTAAGGGCGCTCACCCAGAATGGAGCCCTGCAGCTATAAGGTCTGCCCTCATGACCACATCTTACAGAACCTACAAAAATGGGCAAACCATAAAAGATATTGCCACTGGCCTACCAGCTACACCGTTTGATTATGGGGCTGGACATGTAGATCCAGTGACTGCTTTTGATCCTGGCCTTATCTACGATGCCACCGTGGATGACTACTTGAGCTTCTTCTGTGCCTTGAACTACAGTTCCTATCAAATAAAGCTTGTTGCAAGGAGAGATTTTACTTGCAGCAAAAGGAAGAAGTACAGAGTGGAAGATCTCAACTACCCATCTTTTGCTGTTCCCTTTAACACGGCTTTTGGAGTAAAGGGTGGTTCTCAAAAACCAACCACTGTTCAGTACACAAGGACTTTAACAAACGTGGGAACCCCAGCAACGTATAAGGTTTCAGTGACTCAGTCTCCCTCGGTGAAGATTGTGGTTCAACCAGAAACACTTAGTTTCAGTGAACTGAATGAGAAGAAGAGCTACACAGTTACGTTCACGTCTTCTTCAAAGCCTTCAGGAACAACCAGCTTTGCTTATCTGGAATGGTCTGATGGGAAACACAAGGTTACTAGTCCCATTGCTTTTAGCTGGACTTGACACTGATTATTAAAGGCCCTAACTCTGAATTACCTGTGGAAAACGCGGCTAAGTTTAAGAATAATCGTTTCTCTTTGTTTTGTTCTGTTTTTGGTCTAGCAAAGGGGTATGATGTTATGTGTCTCTTTGCTGTTCTCTGAAAATTAGTAAAGAATGATTGTACAGTAAAGAATCAGGGTAATGGACTAATGGCGTGTCTGAATAAATGAATAATGCCCCTGAATGGTAATTCCTATTTACTTAGATTTTCGCTAGTTGGCACTTACCTGACAGATTTATCTATCAAATGATTCATCCACTGCTGGCACCTGAATTGCATTACCTGTACATTCAATTTTATTTTGGTAATTTACTGGTAATAGTATGTATTAAGGAATAAAAATATGAAGCATCCACCAAAAACTGTGCTAAGACAGTAATTGGGTAGGTATGGATCAATTTCTCAATACAATTTTTTGGAAAAGAATAATAAACAAAGTAAGTTTTTAGTTAAAATTAATTTATAAAAGATCTTTTACTTTCTTTTAGCACATAATATATTTTTTTCTTTTAGAAACTCCGAAATAAGAAATTCTCTAAATATATCTTTACTCTCATCTTTCTTTAAAACATTTAATACTTCCTCTGCTTTATATCACATGTGAATAGGAGTGTATAACAATCCAATATAAATAAGTAATCGTTGGACAATTTCTCCTATAATTCTAATAATAATAAATTTATCAATATTCTCATTCTTTTCTCTTTCCCGATGAATCATATTTCAAATAAATAAATACAACCTTTTAAGTAACTACAATACATCTAGCTTTCTTCGAGTCCAATTTTAATTGGAAAATTATACGGTAACAATTTATTTGCTTAATTGATTCAAGAATTAAGAAGACGATGACATTAGATTATATGCAGACTGAATTTATTACGTTGTTAGCCTCGACTTCATATAGAAAAGCTTAATAAAGGGCAAAAGGTAAAAGCTAAACTTCATATAGATTGTTACACTAAACTTCATGGAAATAATATCTTTTGCTCAATCCCATAATTTTAAAAGAAACTAGTCATTATTAATTATGATGTTTTTTGAATCATGGTGGTTAGAGCCAAACACTTTTAAATTTAAACTACACCAGTGTAATGAAATTTACATATAACTGAGGATTTCAATGTGACTCTAACTGTATTCTTACAGTATCATTTGTTAAGTTATAAATGCAACAATACTGTGTTAGAACATTTTGACTGCCTGATTAAAATCAAACCATATAACACTTGGTTCAATATCCTCTACAGTTTTGAAAAAACACTGCATGAGATTTCAGTCATTCCTTCAATTTAAATATAATAAAGGGAGAAAAACTTGTATCAGTGGTGAAATTAGTAACTGCACTGGGTGCAGCTCTTTTAAACTGCAGAACATCATTGAGGGTCTTCTACAGACTGACAGACAGGAAGGTAGTACGTATCGAGCTGCCAATATCTTTGTTTCACACCTTCCCAAACTTGTTCTCCTAAACAATCCTTAACAGGTAATGGAATTAATTGCGTTGAATACCCCAAATTCTCGAGCTCAAGTGATACCAAATGACAGTAAACAACATGAAAAAACGCATTACTGCCACAAAGGCCATTGAAGAATGAGTAGATACCACCAGGCTTCAACAGTGTTGGGAGATGCTGGTGGAACTCCCTCAAATCTTCGTAGTACTCCCCATAGGTGTCAAAGAATATCCCTGGACATAATTCACGCCAATGACCCATATCAGACATAAATCAGATCAAACTCACCATGCATCATATTCAACAACAATGACAATAAAAACTTATTTTTCACTAGGTGAGAGGTCAGCTTCATGGATTGCATGACAACATTGACCTCAGTTAAATACCAAAATCCCAAAGAAATTATTGGATGCATCTACTAGAAGTTAATAAAACTCAGATTTGAAACTAGACCTATCTAAACTCCAAAAAAGCTCAAAATTAAAGATTATCCTTCACGTATATAACCTTACACTTTGGTTGAGAGACTGGTGAAGATAAAATTAAGATAGGGTGTTTGGTAGGAGGGAAAGTACGAAAAATCAATTTAAAAAAATTTCATACCTATTTCTACACATCTCTATCCATATCTTCATTTCTCCTCTCAAACACCTTTAATTTTCATCTTACTTCCACTCTTCCAACTTATTTTCATGCATCCTATTTCTCTGCTCTACATCAAATATACTCTTGGTCATGTCACTAGTCAATATGAGATCTTCAATACACACTGAAATGAACTCGCAGATAGTTTGAAAACAGTATGATAACAGGTGGTGGGTATATTAGCTCACCAATGATCATATCGACCATTAGAAGAGGTTCTCAGCTTAAAATTTGAGATTGAGCTTAAATCCCAAAAAGTAGCTCAGATAATGAATTTTGGCCTAATCAAACAGCCCATACAGGATCTCCAACAATAACAAAACATCTTTCGTCTGTTTTTCAATCAATTGAACTGCTGCAATTAAGAGTTGAAGTTTATGAAGATAACGATTAGAAATTACCATCATATGTTTCAAGCTGAGACAGAACATCTTGCCAGCGGCCAAAAACTATCCTCACATTTTCTTTCTGACCCCAACCGGAGCTAAGCATGCGCTGATACACCTCCGGATGAGCCTCAACGATGGTGTGTGATGCAGGTGCATATTGCTGAATGGCTGAATCCACGAGCCCCATTCCAAACCCAATATTGAGCACGTGTCCCCCTCCCGAACAAACAGCTTTGGCATGAGCCTCCATCAACGGCTTCTCCCACGCCATCATCACAGCTTTACTTTCAGAGTCCATAAGCTTGTCTTCACTAAAACTCACCCTATCTTCTAAATAATCGTGAACCGAATGGTTGTTCTTGTTTTCCTTCCTCGCAATTGTTCCCAGGATCAGTTCGGCCTGAATCCCTGGCAAATTGAAACAAAATCAGATCCTAATAAGCTAATAATAATGCTCCGACTGGAAAAGTGGAATGTGCAGAGGGAATGAACACCGGTGTTGAGAAGAAGGTCGAAGGCTTCGCTGTGGCCTTCTTGCATGGCGTAGTCGCCAGCGGAGAGGTTGGAGGGAGAGAGGGCGTTCCAGGGTGCGCCGGCGGAGAGGATGATGGTGAGGATGGATGCATGGCCGTGCTTTGCGGCGTGCATGAGAGGATTGAGCCCCTCGCCGTCGAAGTGGGTGACGTCAGCGCCGGAGTCTATGAGAGACCTCACTTTCTCCGTGTCACCGTTCCTGGCCGCCTCGCACAGTTGCTCCTCTGCTTCCTTCATCTTCTCTGAAGGCAACCCTAAAGCCCTAGGCTTGCACTCTAAATAAAACCTCAATGTTGCTTGCTTCTCATTTCTTTTTTACCTGTCTTAATTTTATTTTTGTATTTTCTAATGTTACTAGTGTTTTTATAAGAGAAATAAAGAATATTTATTTTTGTATTTTCTGATGTTACTAATTAAGATATTTTTTTTTATAATTATTTTTAGTTTAAAAGTAAAAATGGCTAATAAATCATCAATTTTTTATTTTTTTTATAATTGGATTGAATGGGGGACTGTAAAAAAGCTTATTAGATTTTTGCACAAAAATAATTTAAAATTATCAATAAATCTATCAACTGAAATTTTATTTAATTGTTAAAGAAAAAGGATGAAGAAATTAGAATGTTAAAACTTTTAAGGTACTTAAAAATCTTAAGTAAATGTTTATGTAAAAATAATTAAGTTGATTATATATATATATATATATATATATATATATATATATATATATATATATATATTAAACTTTGTAAAATATCATATTTGTGTTTTTGTTTTCAGTGTTGTAATTGTAGATAATAATTATAATAGGTATATAATATATGAATTGATGACAACACCACATTAATTATATTAACTGCCACTAAAATTACATTGTTATAGATGATAATTCTTTAGTTTTAATAATAATTTTTTAAATTATATTTAAATAATTTATATATAAATAAATGCTGAGGATATATACAAATTAAAACAAATTACTATTTTTTACTACATTCTAAATTATGAAGGGTATTTATAAATTATACATATATGTAACATGTAATATTAAAAATTTTGTGCAAACAGCTTATCTCAATCCAAAAAAGTAATCACATCCCTAATTACCGGCTATTTATAATTTAAAAAACAATTTAGGATATTTTTTTATATTAATAAGTATAACTCTAAGGGTGTGGTACTGTAAGAAACGACGCCGTATTAGTTGTCGGATATCGCCCAATTATTCTTTGCATTTTTTTCATTGCAATTCCTCAAATTAATTTTGGGAGAACAGAACAATCAGAACTTCTCTTCTCATAATTACATTTCGCTCCAATTAGTCGGATTCATCATTTAATTCACCACCTTCCTGCTCTGTCTCAACGCAGATTGCACACATTGGATTCATCCATTATTTTCATTTCCATATTACGTCGTACATTAATTATATTATCATTCGATATTCATGGCATCGAGTTTTGATCGATGGGAAAAAGATCCTTTCTTTAAAGCGGCCGAAGAAGTTCAGGAATCTGCAGACAGGTACTTGTCATTCTTCCAATTAGGTTTCCATTTGTTTTTTTATGTTTAATTTAATCTTCAATTTGTTTGTCCAAGGAAATGTAGGCATAATAGAATGTAATCTTGCCAACTAATTCCATTTTGGGGGAAACAAACAGGCCTTTTTGTTCCTTTATTTCCCATTGAACTCAACATCGAAAGGCTTAAGGTTTTAAAGTTCATTTGTTGCGCACAATCTCAAAAGAAAAAAAGGTTTTTTAAGTTCATTTGTTGTGCACAATCTTAAAAGATAAAAAGTTTTAAAGTTCATTTGTTGTGCACAATCTTAAAAGAAAAAACTTGAATTGCTCCCACTTATTTTTTTTAACCACCATAATGGAGAACTTTGGCCCTCGAGCATGATCAAGGTTTCCTCATAAGCTTCGACGCTCTGGTTTGGCTGTGAAACTAATTGTGGGATACGGTCTGACATACTTAAAACCCCTCATTCCTTTTCAAGGATGTGTTTTGCTGGAATTGAACTTTAAGTCTTCCTCAGCTTGTGTTGTCAACTGAACCACATATATTGGGTCTAATTTGTTGTGATTGACATGCTATGATTGTGTTTTCAAGGATGGAATCTACCTATAGAACATGGATTCATGCAATGAGGGATGCGTCCAGCCTATGGAACTGTGATGAAGTCCGCCGAGATCTACAAACTGCCCTTGGCACTGCTAAATGGCAGGTAATTTCTCTTAGCAAACATAGTTTCAAATTTTGATTCATCATAACGAGCATGTGGTTGCATTTGGATGGCTAATGCAGTTAGAGGAATTTGAAAGAGCAGCTCAATCAAGTTATAGCAAAGTTTCAACTGAGGATGCGATAAATAGGCACCGAGATTTTGTTGATGCCATCAGTGACAAAATTAGCAAAGTTGAACTTTTGTTGCAAGAACCTGTTCATTCAGGTAGCAAGGCATCTCTGCCTTGGACGCGTATGGATGAAGGAGAACGAGATGAACTAGCGTCATTTCTTTCGGGAACATCGGCTGCTGGTGGCAGAGATGGTGAAAATCTGCAATTAAGTGACAAAGATTCGTTCCCTAATTGTTCAACCAATTTAAATGTTTCATCTGGGTGGGGGCCATCTGAAGCAGCACAGGAAAAGTCACTTGGACATCGCAGGGCAGCCAGCGCTGGTGCTGATATTGGTTCTTGGAAAATCACTGTTTCTGATGCTGTGCAACAATCAAGTTCCTCTAATGGTTCTTCTGGTCTAATTCCTATGCATAAGGTAGCTAGTCTCTCAGGATTTTTTGGTTCCATGGAAACTATCTCTAAGTTGAAGTGGCCTGTGAATGGTTATAGAAAGCTGAAACCAGTAAATCATTGCGAAGAAACGGATAATGCGCTACTACCATCAGCTGGATTGAATGGGGTTTGTGCTTTAGCTGCTTTTGTTTGTTAACAGAAATTTGCTTCTGTACTTTTAATGCTTTTGTTGAATTATTAATATTTCATGTTTATTTTTCCAAATAAAGGGCACCAATGCATGCTATGAAAACAGTAAGACTTGCCTCGATAATTGTGATGAATCTTATGATAAGCAACTTCATGGGTGGTACGGGGCTTTGCAAAGGCAGCTTCAAAGATCTCAATACCAAATACAATACAATCGGCATGTTCAAATAACTGTCTGGGCTGTTATTCTTCTTTGCTTGATTGGTAGGCTCTGGACCTTTATTTGTGTGTTGGCAAAAATGTATGCACTTGCTCAGATTTCCTTGCTATCATACACTACTTTGAAATTGGTGCAATTTCATCTCCTTCCTCTCTTTTTTTTTTTTAAATTTTAATAATTGGTATGGCTGTTTTGATGATGATTTCCATTTAGCCCCTGCGTTCCCTTGGTTATGAAACTATTTTCGTCCCTTTTTTGTCCTGGTTCCTTTGTTTGTGAAAGGCTGAAGGATCTGCTTCTTGGTGTTCTTCATTCCTGTCTATGTGCATGATTTCACACATAGACACGAAGCTATTTTGAATTTATAGAACTTTATTATGCATTATGGTGATGTGAATTTAGATGAGAAAGAACAAGATTTAATTCACTTTTTTTATTCCAATAATTCCCTTCCTCTCTTATCTTCAATCTGTTTATACTGTTTACACTGGATACTCAACAGAATTCTGATTACATTGCATATCCAAACAGAATTGGCAATCAATAATTGCACCCCTAACTATTTTCCGAATCTTGCTGGTAACCGAACCTCCAGCCTTGCTCATTGCTCCTATTATATGCATACTTTGGGTGGGGGAGTGGCTGTACATCCTTATATCAAACATGAATGATCCTAAATGTGAAGCGAGATTTAGTCACCCTGACTTCTTTACAAGTATTGTAATGGTGTGATTTTAGTCTCTCAGGTTCTATTTGTGACAATGGGATCCTCTAGGTATCGCAAATATGTGATGCTAAATCCCTCCTGTTTTCTATTGCACTTATTCGATCCCATAGATACCACAATTGTCTGATTTTAGTCCCTTAGACACATCATCAATCAATGTTACGTTAGCATATTCTAACTTATACAGGGACTAAAATTGTACAATTTTGATACTTGGACCTATTGGAAACATTTTAATATTGGAATCTATAAGACCAAACTGTGATACCTAAAAGACCAAAAGTGCAAATAAGCCTTTGAATTTATAGAACTCTATGATACAATGTATATTGGAGAGACTTCCAAAAGTCATTTAAGAATGATCCTGAATTGGAAGTGAGATTAGTCACGATTCCCCCTTCTAAAGTTTTACTAAGAATTTTTTCGTCTACCAAAGGGTGCTCTGTGTGCATCACTCTGCTTATATATCACTCTACAGTACTTAATATCACCTCCCTTTCTTGCAATAGTATAGGTTGCTTACCATTTTGATTTCTCTGCAGTTTTCATTGCTTTTTGCACGATGTAGAAAGGAAGATTTTGATACGTTATCTATCATTTTCTGGAATGCGGCAGACAGAATGGGGTCTGGACAAACGATGCCTTAATTCGAGTTCATAATATTATGTATGTTGTCGCTTAATCATGCGAGAGTTTTTTTCTGGTTCTCGCTGGCATACATGGTGTCGATGTAACATTTGAATGCTTTGATGTTACTGTTTAGAGTCTTCCATTACACATAGTGTTAACACTTCTTAGCTGTTTTGTCTTAATGCTATCCCTTTTTCTCCTATTTTAGAATGGTCTCAGGAAGAGTGTTCTATTCCCTCTTCGCTGTTGTACTATATCACAAGATCAAGATGTACAGGACTAAATGAATGGACAAATGTTGTAACCAATATAATTTCTTATCCATGCCAGAACTGTGTTATGTACCAAAGATTTTAGCTTTGCCTGCACAAATTGAGGCCAATATACTATCTTCTTTCACGTCAATTACCAAGCACTAATGAAGTCAACTAATTGTTAAACCAAGTCTAGAGCTATGGAAAGATGATATATTTTTTCGGCCTCAACATATCAAGATTTGTTAATTGTCATACCCAAGTCTTTGGAAAACTCGGCCTTCTATTTTAATTATTTTGAATTAATTTTATTCTATTAAACCTTATTTTTGTTGTAGGTTTTTTTCTTTTAAATTTTCACCCATTGCAGATGTAATCCCTTCTATTCCTGTTTATCCTTTTTAGTTAAATTAGCACAATACCCCTACATTTGTAGGGTTACGTTGCTATTTTTTAGTTATTTATGTATATATAACTAAAATGATCTATTATTATATGTATTTTAAAATAATGGTGGATTTGTATTCGTCTTTAACTAAAACGATCTATTATTATACTGGTTGATATGTATTTATCTTCAATTATAACTAAAATAATCTATTATTATACATAGTGGTTGATATGGATTTATTTTTAGTTATAACTAAAATGATCTATTATATAACTAAATTTATCTTAAATTATTATCTATTCCTAAAAAATAATTGGTATGTATTTATGCAATGCGGTAAGTAATTAGAAAAATTTATCTATGATTTTTTTATTATAGAAAATTATCTATGATATTATTAAAAATTAATTTAAGATTGTGATTATTTTATTTTACTAATGATGTCTAATGATAATAAACGTATGCACTTAATGTTGTCCCCAGTACGTAATTTATGATATATCCATCTTTATGACACTTTGAAATTCATACTAAAGATATTTATTTTACAGATAAATCTGAATTAATTTTGAGCTTAAATAGGAATAGTATATCTAATCATGTTGGTGAAAGGAAAGATAGAAATGATAACTAATCAACTATTTCTAGTAATTATCCAAAAAATATTCGACTTGATTGACTTGACACGTGACAAACTAAATGTACTCTCTGTCCTCCATCTTTTCGGAAAATTCAATAAAGTAACGTTTTCTTATTATTCCATTTATTACTATTCATTTTCATTCGTATATATCTTTTTATATAATAATCGTTTTTATTATTTTTAATAAAACTATTAATTTTTCATTATTGATATCTTTATTATCTTAATATTATATTTATAAAAATTATTCTTAATAACTTATTTTAATTATTTTTTATAATAAATATAATTACAAAAATAAAAATCTAATTGATAAAAAAATAGTTAATATATTTTTAAACTTACAAATCAAACATATTTAAACATAAAATTTTCCACAAACGACGCAGATGTAGATCTTAACTCTATCAATTTTATTATTAGTTATTAATTTTAACAATATAAAAAGAGTTTAAGAAAAAACTTTTTTACGGTATAAAAGAAATGAGATATGATAAAACTTACTTATTTAGTTAAAATTACAAATATTCATATACCAAAAACGAGGAATAAATAACTATAATTACTTTAAAGAAATAAATAATTTAACAATTACTTTATAAGAAAGGATATCAAAGTACAGCCTTATAAATTAACAAACAAAAACATAGATAAAATGAATTTAATAGCATAATATAATTTATTAATTTGTAATTTTTATGAGTTTAAAAACATATATTTAAAAGTGAAAAATGTGAGTATTATTCTATTAAAAATATGAAAAATATATATTTAATTAAAAATTAATGATTCAATAAATATACAATTAAAAAGAAAAAAAAGCACTAATTATAATCAACCATATTGTTTGACACAAATTAATAAAATAGGTGAATATTTTATACTATAAAGAAAAACATTTATTGGCACTGGAAAGAAGAAAAAAAGTATTATAAAAGTTTCGAAGTGAATGAACGAAAACACATTCATTCTCATCGTTCAACCATATTATTACATATCTTCCAACGGATAGATATGAACTCTGAACAACAATTTGAATTAAAAGCGAGTACATGCAAAAGCATATTCATGATGAACGAAGTTGGATGAGAGGAGAGGTAATGGAGTTATATGGTAAGACATCGATAACCGAAGTAGAGACCAGCAACAAGGAGAGGAACAAAGAACTCGTAAAATGCGATGGACTTGGAGTTTGCACCATCTTTGAGCACGAAGGCACTCATCTCTTTGGTGTTGGATTCCTTGTCCACAACACCGTCGTTCATGTCTACGTCTGGAACCGTGGCACCTTGGAGGACACCAACCTGGTATTTTAGTATCAGCTTTTGTGCTGTCTTGCTGTGTCCGATCGCATCAAACTCATTTGTGGCCTCCTTCCCAGCCACTTCTAAAATCACCTCTTCCCCACCAGGGTGTTCCACCAAAAACTTTGTCACGTCCAACACCTGCAACGCCAAATTGCTCAACTACTATAAAGACACAACTTATATGTCCTTTTTCCAGAAAACGTCTCACGGTTTAAGCAGATTATTTTAGAATGAATTACTGTTTTTAGTGTGTAATGGGTCAAAATTAAGAATAAGGTAATACATACTCTGCCATTGATCACGAGCCAACAATCTTTGTTGGATTTGTGTTGGGCAACCTGAGACTGCGTGAAAACCCTTGGACCGGCCATGCTTCCGAATAATTGAAGGTTTTCAGAGAATTTTGTGTAAAAAAAAAAGAATGGTTAGTGTGAAACTATATGACACATTCATGTCCAAATTTATAAAATAAAATGGTGGTAGTTAAGTTGCACTTTCCGTTTCTACCACCACGAGTTTTTCTTCCTCAAGTTTACCAACTACCAGTCCATCACGTGGATGGAAGGTATAACTAGCTCTGTTTTATGATTAATTCCTTGTGTCGTCTTCTAGAAGAAGTTTAAGATATATATGAGAATTCCATTTTATTTGTTTACTTGCCATAGATTTTTGTTTTAAGTATACTTTATTTTAAATATCTCCTCTCAAATATAATGAAAAGAGTAAAGTTTAAAATTAATATAAAAATAGTTATACATATTTTCAATTTAAACTTCATCATATTTGAATTATGTATGGATGAAAAAAAAAATCAGTTTAGTTTCAGTGGTAAAATACGTTAAATGGTCTCTAATCAATTAACGACAGAAATTAATTTCATGTAAACATCTTAGTCATGAAATGTTTAGTGAGTGAAAATATTTTTGCTGATAAATAACCACGGAATTTTTAAATAACAAAAAAGTATATAATATTTAGCAATTAAGAGTTGTCGATATTTTTTATTTGCGTTGAAAATAGTTAGCCGCTGGGAGAAATATAACAACTGCAAATTTTTTTATTTTTTTTTCAAAACTCAGTCACTAGTTCGGAATAAAAGTTGAAACCTTGATGATGTACTATTTTGGTCCCTATATTAATAGTTAAGCAAAAAAAATGTGTACATATTTTAAACTGAAATTGGGCAAAAGATTATACATATTTCATAAATTATAATATTTTAAATTATGTTTTCTTACAACATAGTTACATATTAACCATTTCAGTTTTCAGTAACAAAGTAATCAACATTGATCGCTGAATTAGTTAGTGACTGAATAGCAACTAAAAATCATAATAACAGGATATTTAACAGCAGAAAATGTTTGTTGCTAAATAATTATTGAATTTGTAGTCTGTTTGTAGTCAACGGATTAACTGGAACAATTTAGCGACGAAGTTTTTGTTTGGATGTTAATTTAATGTCAAAAGCTAGAAATAATAGCTGACAGATATTTTTTTTGTCTCTATATATTTAATTAATTAAAAGTTTTATTTTACTTGCTTATATCGGTCCCAATGTTTATTTGTTTGCACTTCAGTGATAGAATTATTCTATCAACGATGTATAATTGTTAACTATTAAAAGTTTGGTAGCTAATATTGTCAAAATTACAACTTTACATATAAAAATTGTAGAAAATTTATACAGACAGAATTAAAATTTCAATACATAACTCAAAGATATTATCGCACAAGACAATTATAGAAATTACATTTAAATATATCTTAGTCTCTAATTTCCTTTAAATAAAAGAGATATAAAAACTTCACAATTATCAAAGATGCTACTCTTCAAGATGGGATCATGACTTATATTAATTGGTATATTCCCTTGATTAAACACCTGATTAATATATATATATATATATATATATATATATATATATATATAAAATTAGAAACACTAAAAATTTATTGAAATATTAATAGAAAAAAAGATTGATTGACAACTTACTTTTTAACAAACATTTATCTAACAATTTTTTTAATAATATAATAATAAATTTAAATTATTTTTATGTTTTATAAAATCTTGTTTTGATTATTATAATAATAAGTTAAATTATTTAATGAACTTGTTTTTCTTGTGCCGTTGTTATCCATATATCAGTTCTCATATTAATATTATTTAGGTGTCAGTCTATTGTTTCCGGTTTCGCCTACGTAGTCCGTTTGATAAAGAAAAAAGGCATATAATAATAAATGAAAATGATTAAAAATAAAGAAAATAAACACTGAAAAGTTTTTTGATTAAGAAAAATAAGATGTCGAAAAGAAAGGAGATGAGTAGAAACAAATAAAAAAGAAGGGAAAAAAAATACTATTAAGACCCATTTTTTATTTTTCTTCTTTCTATCTACCGACCAACAAACTCATTTAATACCATCACCACGTCTATTTCCACTCCATGACTCTAAACAGACCATCAGTTTTCTTGTGATAAAAGATGCGTACATATCATCACATTATCATTCATGTCATAAACTGTTTACCAAGGCAACCACCATCCAAAAGCTGCTACAATTTGAAAGGAAGTCACAATCTCCACAGGTTCTTGTTATTACAAATTCAATTTATCTCCCATAGGCTAACCAGGAATTTACAAAGTACAAACGCTATCGTGCACCTCCAGCTTCTATACTTGATTTTGAGATCTCCTTGCTGTTTACTGTCTCCTTGCTGTCAAATTGCACTCCTTGAAATGTAATCCGTGAGGACCGATACTTGCTACCAAATGCAGTACCAAACCCCCAACCAAGTCCTACTCCAACGCCACAGCCTCCACCTTCAAAATTAAATCCAACATACCCAATTCGAAATTGATATGTCAAATTCATAATATTTGATTCATAAAAAATGTTAAAATAAATTTTTGGTCCTTGAAGATGCTACATTTTTTCAATTTTGTCTCATTAAAAGAACTCTGCTCTCATTTCACTGGCTATTGCCATTGTAACAAAGTCAGATTGACATGGTAACAACACGTAATAGATAAATAAATTAAAAAATAATTGTAATATATATTTATGGTCTTTATACATGACACCCGTTTTAATTTGGTCTTACACTTTATTGTAATATAAAAGCATCATACAGTATTATAACAACAAACATAATTAATAACAATTGTTGATTTTGGAAACTGACTTCGAGTACAAACAAATTGTGAACAAGTGTCATGTTCAAAAAAAGACAGTAACTATGTTTCAACAATCCAAAGACACGCACCACAGGCGGAACTAAAATCAAAGAAATAGGAAATGGCAACATTACTTGAGTTAGGAAACAGAAAAAAAAAAGATCATCAACTGTACCTTAGAAGAAAAGGCCTTTAGGTTTAATCTGTAAGATTAAGGTTTTGTAGAAAAAAGACCACCCACATCATCCAGCATGACATAGTCATAGCCATTTAATACTGAAAATTAAAACTAAGAAACAGTAAAGAAAGCAGATTCATGATTATTGTACCTGCACCAAGACCCAATAAGTTCAATGGCATACCTGTGCAACAGATCAGATACATAAATTATGAGCAGAGTATGAAGAAAATGATTTCATCATTGTATTAGCTCAAAAGAAGAGATATATTGTATTAAAAGAAGGAAGAAAAACAAAAAACAAAATAAAAAATAAAATATTTCCAGAATTAATTAGGAATAGCAAGTTAGAGGAATGAAATAAAAATGGAATACTTGACTGAAATTTCCTTCCTATTTTTGTGATTCTCTTAAAAAAAAAAGGGATATTGATCTAGCTTGCCAACATTAGATCAGTTAGATTTCAACAAGGCCTTTGTGAGCATATCTACTTCCTATAATTTTGATGGAATGTAATACTTGGGATAGGATCCATTAAGTTCTTGTCAATCCTTACATACTTCATCATATCAGGTTTAATTGGATTATGAACTAATCCTTCTAGTTTCGAATATAAGATAAAAAAAAACTAATTCACACTAATTAAGAAAGTTAATTAACATCATTAAATTACATTAATCTTGTTTAGAAATTAAATTCACCCCCAAACTACCCTTTACTAAAATTTTGTATCAAGAATAACAAAAAGTCATTGATCATAAAAGCTAAATTAAAGGGTATTTCAAAGATAGTACCATTAAATAAGAAGAAGTTAATTATTTGTTTATATTTGATATCAACATACATGGGACTTGTTTTCTTATATTTGCAGAAGACTTGACTGGGGAAAGTAGCAGTAGATAGACAGAATTTGGGAAGAGTGTGATTGGTTTGGTGACGAAAATCCAGTGAAATTTTGGAATGAAAATAAAAACATAGAACAGTGGAATGGAAGGAAGGATGGTAGAAAGTTTAGTCCAATATTCTTCACTCCACATACTTGGCCTATAACAAGTAACACTATGGTATGAAAATGAGCTTAAAAACAAGTTTGGATAAATACCAAGTTGATAAAAATGAAAAGAAACTTCTCAAATGAGTAAAAATCAACTTACATTATTTTATCTTTTTCAAAAACTCTATATAATTTAAATCAAATACGTATTTCAAATAAGCCAGAAAAAAACCTAATCCAAACTCCACATCCCGTTCTCTGCCAAGAAACTGAGTGAAGATTAAAACCTTTCCACCTCACTCCGTTTCCCTCTCTATTATCCAGACCCAACCAGTACCATACACCAATACACAATCAGTAATCCGAGCATATCTAACGAAATTCGTTAGGAACGAGAAGATTAAGCGGAGAATAAAACTCATAATTCTAGGATAAACGAGCCGGGAGTATCAAAATTGCGTTCTTAGCGTACTGAAAAGCGATGTCAAAAGGTAGAGAAACTCATAAACGATTCAATTAAAACGAGTAGGAAATGAAAGTGAAGCAGAGAAAAGAAATGCAGCATGCTGCCACTGACCTCCGAAACCCCATCCTATACCGAAACCGCAACCTACGCCGAAACCTGAAAAACAAATAATCGCGTGAGATAGGGATTGGATATTTGGAATATGAAGAAATGGCGAAACCCAAACTCCGTACCAAATCCAACGCCAGCTCCGTTGAAGGTTGTGATAACCATTTCTGATTTCTGTTCTTCTTTATGGGTTGCTATGCAGAGTAAAAGGAAAAGACAGAGAGGGCCTAATCAAAGGAATCAGAGCAGAACGTGAATTCACTATTGGAGTGGAGAAGCCTTATTTCATTGGCCCATTATGAGCGTGGTAAATGCAACGCAACTTGGACTCATCAGACACTCTTCCTGGACTCGGACCCCACACGCAAGTCCACTCCATACACTTCCTTTTGGTCACTCATCTAGGAAAACAAAATTATCACACAACAATATATAAATATTCAATTTCATTACACTCTTCATCAATAACCCGATATTAGAGTAGTTAATTTTGAATACAAATTATTTTTAAAATTCAAATTTAATCTCAGTTTAACATTGAACTTTATATATATATATATATATATATATATATATATATATATATATATATATATATATATATATATATATTTATATATTTATTTATTTATTTTAATTAACCGTTTCTATTGAGGTGAGGTTAGATATCTACTAAGGAAAAAACGTGAGACACTATTTAGTTAAGTTTTTTTTTTCTTCTGGATTTTTTTATCGTCAAGGATAAGTGAACATATACAAAATTGTTTTAGCTTAGTTTCGAATCATTATTATAATTATATTAGGATTTAAATATGTTTTAAGAGTTTTGATTTGTATCTTTTAAATTTAAAATTATCACTTTAATCCTAATATTATATATCACTAATTATCTGCTCATTATTAAATAATTAAATGATTTTTCTAGGCCAACATATACTATTGTAATATAATGTTTGTATGTTTCAAAATAAATAATTCATAAAACAAATGTTATTCATCGATCTTAAAATAATTTAGAGGATGAAAAACAAATATTTTATAAGGCCTAAAATCAAAATTTGCATTTAATAAAAACTAAAAGGACTTATTTCAAATTTTATTAAAAAAAAGGAAAATTTTGAAAAACTAAAATCAAAACTCAGTATCTAACTTTACAAGTGATGAAATACATTGAAGCCTTATATTAAATACTCAAAACATCAATTTCACTTCGAACAATATTCCAACAATATGACATTGTTAGTTAAAGTTCAAACTAACCATTTTTTTTTCTATAAATCTCATTTGAAATCTTAACCATAGGATCTTTATTTAATAGATGTAATTCATTGATTGCATGAGTTCATAAAATAGAAATGGAAAGGAATAATCCAGATCCATGTCTATACGGGTGAGGCACTAGTCAAATTTTGATAGCGGAAATTGTACCTTCCTTTTCTAACATTTTATCAACTCACCGAATGCGTATCCTTTGGATCTGAGTACAACCACAAAAATGTGACTTCGAAGCATCAAACTGGACAATCAGTGACTTAGTACTTGTACGAGGGATATTTAATGTTCAAAGTGGTTCTATACACATGTTTAGGAAAAAAAAAAAAAAGGAGTTCTATGGGCCTCTGTTTATGAACAACTTGGGGATGGATTGACAAAGTCACCTCAAGACGATGCCAACAACAAACATGTTTTCTTTATTCTTTATTTCTACTACTACCAATGTTTTCTACAATCAGAAACACTATATGTTTCGGGTGAAATTTTGATCGATTTCGATCCTAAGGGTATTTTGGTCCTAATCGAAATTCTACCATGTAAGTTCTTTTTTACTTAGGCTAGCAATGTGATTTTCAATCGAAAATGTGTATGAGAGTCGAAAACTATAAGTATCGAGAAATACTATTTTTGGTATTTTATGTCTAAAATGCTCGAATCAAACAAAGCAGTAAAGTATCGAATCGAGAAAAGAGAATATTAAATTGCAAGAAAATGCGAAAACCCCAAATTTGCAAGAAATTAAGTTTGCAAGAGAAATAAAGGACAGGAAATCGAAATGTGCGGGAAATGTAAATTGCTAAAACCCATTAAGATTGCATAAAAAGTAAATAACAGGAAATCGAAATGACATTGAATGTAATATACAAGAATATGAAATTGCTGAATTGAAATGGCTTGAAAGTAAATTACCAAGGAAAATAAAGAAAGCGATAAATGTACTCCGTGAGCAGGGAAATCCAGATTGCCAGAAACTTCCTGGTGTTCATCGTTCCTCCGGTAGACGTTTCACTCGCTGATTCTGCGCTCTGCCAATTTTTGCCCCCCCTTGTTCCTTTCTTCTTTGCTCTATTTATAGGACATCCTTCAAGCCTTCTAAGAGCAGTTAATACGACTGCTACCACGTTCTACGTGCGTATGGCAGTTTATCTTCTAGTTTCCCACAATCTCACGATCTCCAACTTTTACCCATGATTTCAAAACTGCTCTCTATACGTGCATTCGACTTACTTCCTTTCACGATTTGGCCAAAATCTCGATGTCCCCATTAGCTTTCTTTATTCTCGATTCTATATCTTTCGAGAACTTCGAATTGCTCACGATTCCTTTTTAATCCTGATCTTAGTTTTTATTTGACAACAGTCATTTGATTACAATTCATTCGATTCTCGATTGTGTTTCTCGATGCTATATGCTACGTATTTCTAATTAGACATCGAATAAACTTTTGTTTATCTTATCGAGTCATATTTCTTCCTTTCGATTTCGATCGCTTTTATCGATTTGTCACTAACACTATTTTAAATCAATACAAACATTTTTTCAGAGCACTCTGTAGGACGTGATAACCAATAGCAAACGCAATTACTTCAAAAATAATCAAACAGACGCAATCACTTCAAACACAATAATGGACTCACATAGGAACAATCGTGTTGAATTTACTTGTTTTAGACAAATAGTCAATCCAATTGTCTGGTCATGTTAATCAACAAACTGCAATCCCTTTTTGTAATAATCAGAACATACTAAAGAACGAAATTCGTCATCTGGTACTTCATTTCATTAAAGTTTGCCACCCCTTTCTAGAAATCTAACTGTGGATCGAAAATTACAAATGAATTTCGTCCTCAAACACAATAAAAATGTGGGCATTATTATACAAAACAGAACACAACTTAAACCCAGATGCAGAGTCTCTTCTTTATACCACTCATTCGAGTCATATCATATACTCGAGTTTTATTTACCGGAAATAACTTACAAGAAAAAAAAAAAAAAGTACAAACACATAAATTACACAGATTAAACACAATTCAATTATTCAAGGCACAATTTTATAGCTTTTGGCCTTATCTATCCAACTTATGAACGAATTCTTGGAGTTCCTGAATCCCAAAAACCCATGTTCTTTGGCCTTGTTCATGCTATCCAACACTCCCTCCCCAGAGAACATAATATCCACAAACCACCAATCACCAACCTCATCAAGCTTGGTAGGCAGAAGCTGATTCTCACTCACAATCTCATCCCAGATAGGATCCTTATCCTTCATCAATTCCGACAACCTCAAAGGCGAACCTTCTTCAAAACCATACTCCTCAATCTCAAACTGTTCCGCCAACACCTTCCAAAGATGCTTCCACCTGAACACATCACCATTGGAGCAGTTAAAAGCTTCATTCCGCGCGTAGGGGTCAACCGCGGCCCAAATATGCTGCTCCGCAATCAAATCCGCATCGGAAGCACACGAATAACTCTCCCACGCGCCTTTGGTGCCGGGGAATCTCAACGGAACCCCCTCGTGCTTGCAAATTGCGGCGTAAACGCCAAGAGTCCCAATGATGTTCATCACACTGTAGGGAGAAAAGCCGAAGATTACTTGGGGTCTGTGTACGGACCAAGTCAAACCCTCTTTTTTTGCTGTTTCTTCAAAGAGAATGTCCTCTTGAGTGTAGTAAAAATTCGGCGCCTCCAAACGCGGCAGATCCTCCGTGAAGGGAGGCTCGTGGGATTTGATCTTGCCGATGGATTCGAACGATCCGAGGTAGTGCTTGCAGCCTGTCTGGAGGGACACGTGGCGCAGATTAGGAGCATTGGGGATAACGGCGCGCAGCACGTTCCGTAACATCGCGCCGTTAACTTCGCAGTTCTCGGCTTCGGTGGGGCGGTTAGTCCACGACACGAAGAAAACGTGAGTGACGTCCGTCAACACAGAGAGCTTGGTTTCGGCGTCGTCGGGATCGGAGACGTCGCATTGGATGTACTCGATAGGGTGATCTGCGTTCCACGGTGGCCGCGGTCGCCGTGCCACGCCGTAGACTTTCCATGGACCGCCGGGGGTATCGGGGAGAGGCAGGATTTCTGCGAGGCTGTTTCCGACGATTCCCGTCACGCCGATCACCAGACCCACACTCGGGAAGCTTCGCGGAGGTTCGTCTTCGTCGAATTTCTTCTGCATCAACACAAAACACAAAAAAATTAACAAATAATAAAAATTAAAATCACGTTGGAAAACAACATGATAATCTATGAACTTGCCTTGGCGGCTCCGATTGCTCCAGCCCACCACCAACTCATTATTTCTTTTTCTTTTTTCTGAATCTGACAGAGAGAAGAGCTTGAGGGGTGAAATGAAGAGTGAATCTGAATGGTAGGTTTTTCAGATGCAGATGCCTTGAGTTCTTGAACTTGCAGGATTATTTATTGGGACTATTACTGACAACAACAACAATAATAATAATAATAATAATATAATACATTGTTGTTCCATTTAATCTAGTGTTTCAAGGGATGACTTGTCCAGATAATTCCAATAGGATAAGATCAAGAAAAAATAAATAAATAAAAACATTTCAACCGTGTGTCTTCTAGAAAGTTTTTTTTTTTTTAAATAAAGATTCATTTAAAAAATTAAAAGTTTATATTTAGGTTGTTAACTTACTTAGAAATTGTGTTAATATTGGTGCTTTTAAATAGGTATAACTATCTCCAAACATATTAATAGATTAGTAATTATATAAATAAAATAATCTATCAAACTAATTAGTTTGGGTCTCTCTTACTAAGTTTTCTTTATTCATAATATTTGAACTTGAGCTTGGGTCTTGTTAATAAAATTGAGTCCAATATTATTTGGACTGATGACATCATCTTCAAGTGTGTTTTAATTTACAATATATACTTTTTTTAATTTAGTTATGATGTACTAAAAATATAAAAAAGTACAATACTTTGATCAAGTCATGAATTAACTTATATGATAAAATTTATCGTTTTTTTTATGTTATATCTATTTTTATATTATAAATTATTCTTTCCATTTTTTCTCAAATAGAGATGGTTAAAAATCTTTTGTTTTTCCTCATCTTATTTTTATAAATAAAATGTGTATTTTCAATTCTACTTTTATAACTAATTAGGATTTTTTTATCTCCAATATCTTAAATTATTTTTCTATGTATAACTTATTTTTTCTTAGTTATCCGTTCTTTAATATACATTATTTTGTATTTTTTTAAAATTGAATTTAATAATCATTTTAAAATTGTTAATAATTAAAAAAAGTATGTACCATACTTTAAGTTATTTATTGTAAATTCAAATTATTATATATATATATATATAATTTTTGTATTCATTATTTTTATTATAATATATTTTATATTTTTTAACTTATATATTTAATAAATTTTAATTATATAAAATAAAGCATTTACCTTATTAATTTCTGAATGAATCTAGTCTTGAGTTATTACTAAAAGTCGGAGATTCAAATACAGAGTAACTGATTGTATTGATACACTCTATAATGGAAATATTTTAGTCTTATGTCACTTCTTTTCTTTAGTTTTTTTTTTTGACATTTTCACTAATTATTTCTAGTTATTGAAGGGACCTTTATTAACATTAAAACATTAATGTAAGATAATAAAAAAATACATGTGCTTTTTAAAAATTATTATAACTTTATAACATCACAATTTTCATCAAATTTTATTTCTAAATTATTTATAAATTTGTATTTTAAATATTAAATAATTTTAAAAAATTTGACTGATTATTGTTTTAAAGAATTTCTACTTGAATATTTTGTTGGAATAAATCCAAAAGAGTTTTACCTAAATATTCTTACAACATTTCCAATCCAGACTTTTCAATGTAACATTCAGGAATTATAAGACAACTCCATCAAAATATATTGAAACACATTGGTGTGATATGATAAAAGTTTAAAATTTAAAACTTCGGTATTATATAAAAATTTGAGTCAATTTTTTTAAAGTTATACAAAATTGATATACAAATAAAAAATTATAATAATGTAAGTCTTATAAGACATTACTACTAGAGTAAAATTGGACAGAAAATCCTAAAAGCTATATGTATAGTATGATATGACTTATTTAAAATAAAATAAAATTTTATGGGAAATTTTAATCCATATATGTAGACTTTATCTTTTAGCAAAAGCATAATAAAAAATATTAATTAAAAAAATCATAACAAGCTTTTATTTGATAGATAAGATATTAACTGTAATACTAAAAATAACATTTTTTTACAACCATATAGATTATTTTTTTAAATTACAAAATTTTCATAACAATTCTCATAAAATCTAAAGGGAGTTTGACAGTTTTAATGTTATACTGCCAATCTATAATGTTTTTTACTTTAGTGTACTTAGTATTTTTTATTTATTTCAAAATATTAATTATAAAATATGTTCATATTTTAAAATTTAAATGTTCTTAATAATTAAAATACAAAAACAAAACTCATGCTTATTAGAGATTTAAAACATGCCCTTTGTGTATTTGTTCAAAAGATGGAGCAACAGTTCTGTTGCTCAGTTTGTGAGATGCAACACTTTTTTGCCTGTAACTTAAATTTGTGCAATCTAAACAAGAAAACAAATACAACAACTTATTCATTGTAATTTGACTAAGTTCATCACGTTCTTGCTGTCTTAAAATCAAGCTTCAAAATCCATTTTCCTCCACTCAACTTGAGATCAAATGTGAATGCAATATATATGATTGGATTGGTTTTACATCAAATCAAATCAAATAGAGATTTAGAATCTATTTTGAAATCTTTGATTTTTCATATTCAAACATGAACCCGAGATTTTTTAAACATCAAATCAAAAACACATTTATTCTTAACTGTACTCTTGTTGCATATTTTTAATTTAAGCTTTATATATACTATTATATTAACAATGGAAATGTGGTCCTCTCCATTTTCCTGCGTTCTGCTGGTTTATATCAGTCACGCCGTTCTTTTATAATTGGCCATTCCATTACGTACTACTCCATTTACCATTTTCACTTGTGAAATAGATTAGAGAGCCATTTTGGTTCCATTTTTAACCTGACACTGACAAATTAAAGTACATAAAAGAAAGTATTTATATGTGTGTGTCTAACCTAGTGGCCAAAATATGGGAGCTAGCTAGGTGGCACAAGATTCTCTTCCTCCGCATCTAACAAGCCATTTAAATTGACCTACGTTGGTCCAGCCACAACACCTTTCTTGAATCTCCTTCTCGCCCTTTCCATCTTTCTTCTGCCTCCTTCTTTTGCGAGAAAAGGTTCTTCAATAATGGTTGACAGACCTGAAAAAGTAGTCCACAGCAAAAGTGATTTTGACCCTCACGCACGCAAACGCTGTAAAGCTTGAAACAAAGAGCAGATGTACTCTAAATTCAAATCGGTTACCATACATTCCACTTTTTAAGGTTAATGTGCAGTTTGATTGAAAAGGATTCCTTTAATACAAGATTAAACACGAAATATTTACTTAAAATTATGTTTATATGTGATTTTAAACTACTCAGTGTGTGTGTGAAAATGATTCGTGGAAGCAACAATTATCAACTTCATTTAAGACGTGGTTTTTCACATATAAAAGGTTCCTTTAAAATAGTTCCCAATTAAACTAATAGCATGTTTATTTCAGCGTCAGAAACTCTTTTCTGCTATAAATTCATGACGTACGTCAAAAGTTAAACTGACAAAGAAGCTACTATGATAGGATTTCACGTCTAATGCCCTAGCAGGACATCCAAACATGTAGTCGAAGAAAAAAACATGCACACTAAGACTAAATTAGATTACCCATGAACTAATTTTAACAGAAGTTGTTTTGATTACATTATTTTATAAATGTTTATAAAGAAATTTATTTAAATTAGAAGTTTAGTTATGACTTAACTTACTAAGATTTGTGTAACAGTGAAAGGTTTGACTATTATGCATCAATACTTGTATTTTATACGCATTAATGCTATTGTACATGAACAAGTTATAACCGTGAGTGATGTGTACTATGCTATAATTATGTCAAAAGTTGTTGGTGAAAGAGTAATTTTTTTTCAAGAATTTTTCTTTGATCATGTAAGCATCAAATTAAATCAGCAAAGGAAGGACTTAATTTACCGTGTAGGAGACTGTTTCTCTTTTCCATCATCATCATCATGGCCTTATGATCACGTGGTTGCTCTTCGTTCTGATCATCCCCGCCAACTTGGTTCAATTCTTGCATTGTTTTTTCTACCCTCAAGCGAGCAGTGGCAAAGAGCCACGTGGCATCCATGTGCTTGCAGATCATGCGCGCAGCGTGGTATGGAATCTTGATACGCATGGTCTCCACCGACTTGATGCTACTGTTCATGAACATTATGCAGTCCATGAGGCTTTCTTTGGCCATTCCTTTCATGTCATACGCCTGTGACCTTCTCCAAAGGCTTTTCCTATGCGTGTTTGCGGGGCTGGATAGGCAAAGAGCACGCGTTGAGTCACTGATAGCTGAATCTGCGTTCTTAAGCAAAATATGACACTGAGCTTTGTTACTATATATCACCATTCTTTCTTTTCTAAACCTCAAGGGACAAACACCAAGTGCTTCAGAGTATTTCTCTAAAGCCTCTTCCACCTTTCCCAACCTGAACTTGTGATTCGCTTGTTGCTTTATCAAACTCACCAAACCCATTGTTTCCTCTAATTTTTCCTCCGAGAGTACCTTCTCCTTGCTCCTCCTATCCACCTTCAAATCCATCACTTCTTGCAATACTGTTCCAACCTTTTGTCTGTTAGGTTTCAAATTAAGAAGAACCTTTGTGATGGTCTCCCCCACGTTTGATTTGTCTCCCAGGGTTGTAAGTTCAATCAAATCAATAAGGTAAGGAGCGGCAGCATCAAGAACTTTGTACCTCGTATCTGGGTCCTTGAGAAGGAGAAGAAGACAATCGATACCTATATACTGCCAATCATCTGAAGATCTTGAAATGTTGCCCAGAGTCTTCACAACTTTTGGTGATTCAGCAATGCTTTTCCTTCCTTCTTTACTATAACACAGGATTCTAATCAGTCCAACCCCTGCTGGTGACGTGTGATTTATCAACCCTCCCCACATATCGCACAGGTCCTTGAGAAACACCTTCTTGCATATTAGATCCAGAGCCCTATCTTTGCAAGCAAAGCAATTCAGAAGGTGAAGAGACCAACACTGAAGCTGGCTAGCCCATTCCTCTACCTTGCGATTCTCCATCTCCAAATCCCCAACCCCCCTAGTAAGCAAGTTTCTATGATATTCGAGCCTTTTGTTTTCCTTCACAGCTACGAAGTCAACGTAGACAATTTCTAAACAAGTGGAAGCCAAGTTCAAGGCCAACTTCACCACCTCTTGTTCGTGCTGTGCTACTGATTCAAACGTGCTTTTGTAACTGGCCAAGTGACCAAGTGCTCTAACAGCAACTCTTTGCTCAACCCAACTGATCTTCCCCCTGAGCAGGTCGAGTAATGGGGGTATCACACCTGATTCAACAGCTAGTTGTGCAAACTCCTCCTTGTTCATTGTGTAAGAGCCAATAATATGAGCAGCGTAATAGGGTACGTATATGTTTTGATTTGTGAGAAGCCAGTGCCTATCGTTTATCCCTTTGTGGATAAGACTTGCCATGCACTTGAAGATGCCGAGGGATGGGAACTCTGGGTCGTTGGGTTGGCTCATTGCGATGTGCCATAGTCCACTCAGTACCAACACGTGTTGCTCACGATTCTCTCCCCGAAATATTTCTTTGAAGCAGGTCGTTATTTCAGCTTTTCTGACAGATCGATCTGGTTCTCCCATGCTGCAGAAGAAGCAACGTGGGTTGATGCAAAGCTGATCGCTGCTGTTGCAGGGAGTATTGGGAATGGGGGTTTCTCTCTTTTTCTTCATATGAGACTTCATATTAGTTGATTGATTTCTCATATTAGAAAGTTAGGTTGTTCTGTGTGTTATATGAAGACCCTTGCGGCTAAAGGATTGAAGTAAATTTGAATGACTTCATAGAAAAAAAAAAAAAAGTGATGGAATAATTTATCTATATTCATGGTAGGCTTTCATATTCAATAAAGCAGCAATTTCATAATACTGTTCCCAGTGACAAAACAATCCCTTTCAACTATTTAAGAAAGATGCATTAATTCCAAAATTCAAATTCCAAAATTCTAATTAAGCGGAACAGTTTTACATTAACTAATTTATGCAATTGGTTAACTCTGCATATATATGGATGTAAGTATTATTCCTTTTTTTTTTTGGTGAATTAAAAACCTTGAATATCTGTCATGTTTAGAGCAATAGAAACAATTTTTGTTTGTTTCTGTCATAATCTTTTGTACTGTATCTCCAGATATCTTGTTTGGAATGGACTACTATTTATGTTAACAAAATTTTCACAATAATTGGTTAATTTGACCAAGCGCTTCCACTTAAACACCAGCATCCACTGTATTTGTTTATTTAAATTTTGTAAGTTTTACAATGTTACACATATTCAAGTATTTCATATAAAATTTATTCCAATATTAAAGTTGTTTTAAAGTATTTAGTTTAATTTCTCAAGTTACATAAAAATAAAAAGTTAATTTCTTAAGCCTCATACGTTGACTCATCTTATTATAATATTTACAAAATTCTCTCTATTAATTTTTTTCAAGCTTAATTATTTTTAAGCAAGGATTTTATGTTTGTATAAATAATATTATGTCATTTACTCCAACATTTAATTATGATTATGTTTCTCAACTTTAAACCGTAACTGTATGGAGCATGTAATATTATCAAAATCTGTCTGATACTTCAAAGTATTTAATAAAAAAAATCGTCCATTATTTTAAAAAAATCAATATTTCATTAAATAGGATAAAAATGGACAAAATTGGTAAAATCAAGGGTTTTAAAAGTCGTTGATTTTTTTTTAAATCAATTATTTTTGAAAGGTGGAACATTTAAAAAAATTTAATGAGCATATAGGTCTTAAACAATAGTTATTTTTATATTTTGCTTCATTATTGATCTCATATTATTTCTCCTATACTTATATCTTATTCTTAAAACTATCGATTTTTTACTACTACAATTATAATTTTTTTAAATGGAAATTATTAATTGAATTATTTTATTTAGTATATTATTATATTATTAAAAAACTTTTTTTATTATTAAAATCATTTTTTTATTTAGTATCTTCTTTCATAAAATAATAAAACTTTTTAACACACTCGATTTTCTATTTTAGATCCATTTTTTTCCATATATCGAAAAAAATGTAATTATATAATTTTCCTTCAATAATGAAATAACTAACTATTTAAGTACTTAATGCCGAAATATATAAAGTTACAGAGCCTCAACGACGAAGTAGTAGAAAACTCTTAGTTTCGGTGCGGGGTGGTCCACCTCTCCCTCATGATCTACGTACGATTCTACGTTTGTTGTTGGAAGCTAAACGTCCCCGACACTACTTTCTTTTTCTTTGGTCGATAACCCGACAGTACTTTCTAAATCAAATACTGGTTCATGAAAAGCTTTTTTACCTTCACTCTTTTCTTACTTTTTCTACACCCTTTCTGATGCGAGAGTTTCTCGTCCTTATGCGACAAAGGGGATGACGTAAGCAAGAAAATTACAAGACTTTGAAATGTTGCACAGAGTGTAGACTCGTGCTGCTTTTTCTAGTTTTCTATGCAACTTCATCATCATTCTGTCCATTATCCAGTCAACTTAATAAGTTCATTTGTCAACAGCTCTAATGTTCACCTATGCCTATAAAGCTGTTTGTAAGGAAGAATGAGTACAAAAAGTCTAAGTTAAACTGAAAATAGATGGTGGGGTTTCACCAACCTTAGCCCACAATTCCCACTCATATTTCTCCGGCTAAATATTTTGACAGCCTAAGGTGTAACAGGCAAAGAGAAATGAGGACAGGGTGGGGGACCACATCTTCAAATCAGTTCCAGAATGTGGTCCCGTCGCATTGCCATATCTGCACCTTCAATTAAAAACATACACCGCAACTCTTAGAAAGCAGAATATAGATTAAAAACATGATTTAAGTACAGTGGTGGTGGTCTCAAGAATATGCGGCTGCCATAGGTGGAAAGCATGAAAAGAATGCTTCTTAGATTTCATCTTATTCTTAAGAATATTATTTCATATCATGCTCCAAAGATTCGTTTAACTAAGCCAAAACAATTGAGGCGGGGACTTTATTAATTGTTGTTCGTACACCAGTTCTTTTCCCATGATGGCTAGGACTGGATTTATAATCTGGACACATCAAACGATGCGGAATTTAGCATGTTTTGCTCGGATATAACGGTGTGAGTCGTTCATATCCAAATCCACATCGTCTCTTGTCATGCTAAACAAGTTTCACTTGCTTTTTTTTTATCTGTTTGTTTAACTAGGTATGAATTCAAAGCTTTACAACAAAAATACAAATTGCAATTCAGATTGAAGATAACCAACACACCAAAGAAAAGAAAAATACATCCACTCTCACTCATACGTAAGTATTATTCTTATCAGAAATACTACTGAAAAGAAAAATGAAAATATGACATCAAGATATATTGAGTTTATGTACAACAGTATATAAAAAATGAAATCGACTTCTTATATGTTAAAATTAATTTATGTAAAAATTAAAAATAAAAAATGGAAATTTTTTTGGATAAACTATTTAAGAGGTTTTCTATAAATTAATTTTAAGTTATAAATAAGTTAATTTTTTTCTCTTTAAAATCTTTATAGAGAAATTCATCTGAACATCATGTTAATAATATAATTACAACTTAATATTTTTTATTTTTTGGTGAAGAAATTTAAAAAAGAAAAGCAAAGATAAAACAGCCCAGAGACTGAGGTACAAAGCAAAGTTTTGTTTAAGCCTGTTGATACAAAAGACAAAAAAACTGCAAACATGTTTGGCCCAACGTTCTTTTCACTTTCCATTGCCATTTTCTGAATTCTAATTTTTTTTTTTTAACTGCATATAATTTCGCAGCATCAGTGATGAGGATTTCTTACTTAAACTTTTTGTATTATTGGAGACATGTTGTATGTTATCCTAGCACAACCCTTGAAACCGAGGGTTTGTCGCACTTGACATGTCAATTGAGTTTGCCAAGAAAAACAAAATAAAACCAACATAATTTGAATCAGATATTAAAATTAAAGTATATATTTTTATTAAAATAATTTTATAATTTTAAAAGGTCCAAAATTACAACTAAGGAGACATGATAAATATGAAATTATATTTAAAACCAAATTGAAAATCCTTAACTCATCGAATGATGTTGAATAACTTTTATAAGATAATTCAATTTAATTTAATGTATTTCTTCTTTTCATGAAAAGTAAGATAATAAGTAATATTAGGATGAAAAAATTGTTTAACTCATAAAAATATATGAAACGAGCTAATTGGTTGTAGGTAGAACGAATTATCAATTTCAGTTCGTTATGGATGATTCATAGTTAATATTTTTTTTATAAATATCTTTTTAAAATATATCTTTAATTATATGACTAATTTTAAAATTTTTATTTATTAATTAATTAATATTTATATTAAATAAATTAAAAAATTATTATATTTATGTATTAAAATAATTAATTATAATTAATAATTTATATTTAATTGATTAATATTTATAATTTAAATTTTAATATTATAATATATTTACATGTTTTAATAATATAATATAAAAATATAACATTTTTAATATATAAATTATTTCTTGAAGCAGGTAAACTCGCGCTGTTAACCCTTATCTACCAGGTTGACAGTCAGAGTAGGACAAATAAGTCTGATGAACTAAACCTAACACCTCATCTCCATTTTTAAGAGGACTGGCCGTTATAGTTTGGTTCCATTTTTATACCAAAATTTACTAGAAGATGTTTGTTTGTTCTGAGTTTATAAAATGTGCATGAAAACAAAATGGCAGGCTTATAATCAGCCCAGTGCCTCTTAATCATACAATTTCAGAATGATCTCATAGTAGCATTAAACAGGGAATGGGTACATAATACATTTATATATAAGTCTTTCTCATGCATTCAAGCATTATTCTTATAATAATAAATCATATTTGATAAAAAAATTCTGCAGATTTATTATATATTTATTATATATACTCTAATTTCTCTCTTCTTTCATAAATTATTACTTTCCTCTATCTTTTTCCAAACCAAACACAACCTAAATTTAACCATATTTTCATCCACTTAATTTCTTTCTATATTGATATGATGTAAAGTGAGAAAGCTTAGTTACCTAACAAACTATTGCTTATGGATCAATAATTCACGTCTGTATTTAGGTATCTGTCACTGGAACTGTCAATGTTTGTTTTTCTGACGTCTCACCCTATATATTTCTCATTACAGCATGTCCCAAACCTAGCACGTAGGCTATAAGTGATGCGGAATGTTCCAAAAATTGTTCATACCACGCATATGTATATACAGTCATTGCTTCCTGTAATCACATTCACCATGACCATGTTCTATATATGTGCATCCAATGTAATCATGGTCAGCATATGACAAATGAGATTGTGCCACAGTATGCAAAAATATCAGCACTATCCAAAATCAACTTGCATAGTAGTGAAGTAGACTTGAGAGAAAATGACCTAGACGACATGTTGCATTTCAGAGCATTTTAAAAATACATGTTCTAACAATGAAAGGTCAAAATGACTTCAGTATTATGATGGAGAAAAAAAAAAAAGCTCAGGATTGGGTTTAGAAAACTTGAGAAAAGGAATAACATGAGAAGTTGGGTTTGAGAAAAGAGTGGTAATTAGGTCAATGACTTTGAGGGGATTATTTACGCAAACAACTATAAAAACAAACGCTATTTAATAAGTGATTTGTTTTCCTTGTACTGGAAAGTGTATTTAAGGTAAGAAAAAAAAATATATATATATATATATATATATATATATATATATATATATATATATATATATATATATATATATATATATATGAGCCTACAATAAAGAAAGAATCTTTTTCCCATATACCATGCAAGTAGCACACAACTGTTTCCAACTTGTGAATTACGTCCAAATTGTTTGTTTGGTTTAAAGGGTAAAGCAACAGGGAATGGTCCCCCAAATAAAAGGCAACATCATGATAACTGACCCAGTTCATTGTTTCTGGGTCTTATCACACTATGAACTGGCAATTTCATACTTGTCAAAAAATTGTTTTATGTGGGCAATATAAAAGAAAGGAATGAAGAAAAAGAATGCAAAAAAAATTACATTTATAGAAAGCTATAAATTATTATTTTATTTTAATTTTGAATATTAGCATGATTACAAATTTTTTTATAGTTATGTAAAAAAAATTAAATATCATTATTTGAACAATCTTCTTCATTAAGAAAACATTGTTTTCTATCATTTACCTTTATGATATTACCGTGAATTTATAAGATAAAACGGATTTTTGTGTGCTATTCAAACACACTTTTTTTTGCATTTAGATTTTTTTTTAATAATAGATTAGTCCATATTTATAAATATAATAACCATTTACAGAAGTGTCATAACGAAAATTTGTCTAAGTACAAAAACAAAGAGAAGAAGAAAGAGAACAAAAAAAAAACATTTATGGTAGACGATGACGGAGCACATTACCAGAGCCTCACAGAGAGATTTTTGGGATATACCTGTTGCTGTAACCCAGATTTTTGGGTCCTCTCCAACTTTGTCTCATTTCCTTTCTTGTACAATTTGAAAGAAAAAAAAAACGTGTCAGGAACTCGACATTTTCATCCATTGATCTTAAAAATTTGAGGAGAATGTTTTATTGTCTACATATATTTAGTTAATTTTGAAAACACTACTAAAAATTTAGTTATATTTTGCAAAATTTCTTATAAAAAAGTTTTAAAATATATAGAAAACTTATTTCTTGTCATTTATGTAAAAAATTTGAAAAAATATTCCCATAAAATATTAGTTATGAATTCAAATGTTATAAAAGCACGTTAATCTTTGTTTAAGACAGGGTTGTCACAAAACTTCCTAAAAATAAAGTTTAAATTTGTTGAAGATCATCAAATTTAATCTTTCATACAAAAGAATCCGTTAACCATCTATCTAGGGCATAAGGATGCATGTGAGCATAAAATGAGAACTGGGAAGGGTCAAGACTTTTTGGTGTTTGTGGGCAAACTCATGCCATGTTATGGTCATGGCAATGGCCATGCATATGTATGCATATTGTTTCATGTTCTTGCTCTTATTTACGACAAACATCGATCTAGATTTAGAAATGAATTTAATAATGCCATGCATGCATGCTTTTACCTAGGACAAACGTCAATCTAAATCTAGAAACAAATTGAATGATAAATTGATATGTGCAGTAACATTGCAGTTTTTTGTATCGTAGCATTTTAAAGCTATATTTAACATGGTTTGCAATGAGTTAATAGTATAAAAGAATTGTAGTGTAGTTTTCTCTCTCTAATGAAATCGTGTGTTGTGTAGTAAATAATGATGTTACAAATACTAGGAAATAGCCAGCTGTATCCTGCTTGCAATTTTCGACCGAACTGAGAAGTAGTAATAAATTTGAGACGTAAGATCTTCCTAAGTTCAAAAACCCTACACCTACCTACCCTTCATTGGTTTCTATAAATAACACTCTTAACTGGCTCACACCACCCCAACACAACCTAGTAGCAACACCTTCACATTTCTTTACTATAACTCTCTGTTATTTATTCTGCCCTGTGAAAAACATGGTGAAGCTTGTGTACGCAAATGTGCTCCTTGTGTGCCTTGTCCTTTGCTTCTCTTTCTTGGAAATCTCAGTGGCTGCTTCTGGTAATAACTACCCTTCCCTCCATCACTAGTTATATGTACATCGCTGCATGTCTTTTGTTTCAAATGTTAGCTGTTATAGATTTATATATGCTACTTGATAGAGTATTGATGAAATTAATTGATGTGTTGCGGTGGATTTAGCTTTCTGTGACTCAAAGTGTACACAGAGGTGTGCCAAAGCTGGGTTTCAGAACAGATGTTTGAAGTTCTGTGGGATCTGCTGCGAGAAGTGCAACTGTGTGCCATCTGGGACTTATGGAAACAAGGACGAGTGTCCTTGCTATAGGGACTTGAAGAACTCCAAGGGCAAGGGCAAATGCCCTTGAAATTTGTTATCCCTGTTTTGTGTCACACTTTTCATTTTCTTTTTTCTGCTTTTTTAGCCATATTTCCATTTTCTAAGTTAATTTCCATTCTACTAAACTTATATTATAATAAATTATTATATTATACCACAAATATGTCTAGATACCCTATATATATATATATATATATATATATATATATATATATATATATATATATATATATATATATATATATATATATATATATATAGGAGGAGTATATATCATGGAAATGGAAATAGAGTCGTGAGATTAAAATTTTGTTTTTTATAAATTTTAAAAAATAATTAATGATTATTTTATTCAGTACAATTTGTGAGAGTAGAATTTTTTGATAATTATTTTGTTAAATCAGTTTATAAAACTGTTTTTGTTTTTTATTTTGAAATACTAAAATCTTGTAATTGAAAAAAAATATGTTTTTATTTTAGTATTTTTGTTTTCATTAATGATACGTATTTATGATAATTGTTGCATCTTGTTGTCACTTGTTTTTAATTCATCTTTAATTTTTGTTACGAGTTTTTGTCATAATGAGGTCATACTATTTTATATATTTTTTTTAAATTAGAGTTATCAAAAGTTCTTTCGTATAAAATTAATTTCTAAATCTATTTTTAAAAATTAAAAAATATAATTAAATCAAACAATTCATAATTTTCACAAATTAGACAATAATTAGAAAATAATTTTCATATTACTTGATAGACCAATCATGAGGGCATCTCTAAAGAATATTCTTGTAATAAAAAAAATTATTGACACTCAAAATGCTAATTTACACTTAGAAAAAAATGAGAAAAATGAGATTTATTGAAAATGTGATATAAGAAACATAAAGAAACAAAAAGAGAAAGGGAAGTGCCTAATAATTATATGTTTATCGTTATTCTTCTTCTTATACATTAAAAAAAAAAAAAACTTATCAAAATTATATCCTTTTTTATATTATCGAATTAACAGAATTGTCACTAGGAAGAATTGAATCCAAGTACCTCATAATTGGAGATTAATATTTCAACCAATAAACTATTACGATATTTTGATAATAACTTACAAATAAATTATATCTATATTTATTTGTGTAAATATAAAATATAAAATATATAAATACAAATATATTGATATATTTATATATTTATATATTTATATATTTATATATTTATATATTTATATATTTATATATTTATATATTTATATATTTATATATTTATATATTTATATATTTATATATTTATATATTTATATATTTATATATTTATATATTTATATATTTATATATTTATATATTTATATTTATACATTTTATATTTATACATTTTATATTTATATATTTTATATTTATATTTTATATCAGTTTTTAACTCCAAAGTCTTGGGTTTGATTCTTGTCGGTGGTAATTTTTTTAATTTAATATAATTTACCCACGGATGACATTACCTACGGATATTATCCAGTAAGTAATGGATAATTACCCACGATAGAATTTTTGTAGGTAATCTGCATGTAATGTACAATTTACCTACGAATTTTTATCCGTAGGTAATATTTTGTAGATAATAGACTTTTTTTTTAGTGATAAGAGTTGCCCGTGAATAAGAAAAAATATATATAATATTACAAAGTTACTTAAATTTAAAAAAATGTAATTTTAAAAATGAGATTTATATTAAAATAATATTTCTTATTCATAAGTAATTATTCTAAGCAATTCTTGTTGATTAGGTTCTTATCACCACTCATCCAAATGTTGGTAATTTGCTTCTCGAGCTTTTTCCAATTGTCTAATTTTTATTATTATTATTATTTTTTTTTACTCTTGTTTTAACTGTATTGCTCACAAATTCTCTCATAGAAAACAAGTTGCAATCAAAGATGAAGTCAAGATAAGGGTTTTGTTAAGTTATGGTCTTCCCAAATTGACAAAGACTAGTCCATGTCATCTCATTGGTACGTAGCGTCCAAAACTGAAAAGATAATAATAAAAAATAAATAAAAAAACAAATCCATTTGGTCTAAATTTCAGAATTAAAAATCAAATCAAGTCATTATTTAAATATACTCTTAAAAAAATTATAAAAGAGATAAAATTGAAATCATTGCAAGACTTATGGTACAATCTTATAACTTAGTACAACTTGAATATCTTATTCTCTTGAGTTTTTTTTTTTTTGGGGAGTGTCCTTTTAAGATTTGTTTTTAAGTTATTTTGTTGATGTTGTTTTTGCTTTTATTCTCAGTTGATTTATTAATAACAAATATGAGTTAGAGTTTTATTTTAAATAAAAATACAAAGATCATATAGGAAAATATATACACTACCAGAAATTTCGATTTACCGAGGGATATTTACTGAGGGATCCAGAGTCGTCGGAAATTGAGTAATTACCGACGGATTTAAGATAGTTGTGAAATTTGGTTTTATCGACGGATATATCCGTCGGTAAATAAAATATTCATTATCGAGGGATATATCCGTTCGGTAAATTAGGAGGAAGTGGTTCCCTCCAAGACCTCGAAAATATAACTTATAATTATATATATATATATATATATATATATATATATATATATTATAGAAATTAAAATAAATTAGAATTTAGAATATATATATATATATATATATATATATATTTTAAATATATATTATTTTCAAATTGATAATTATTCTTCAAATTTATGCAAAATATATATATATATATATATATATATATATATATAATTTAAAGATTTTAATTTAAGTAATATAATATATATAATTTATTTAACATTAATTTGATGGTTATAATTTTTTTTAAAGTTATAATTATAAATATGATTTTTTTAAATATATATATATATATATAATTTTTATAATATATAATTGATAAATGATTTTTTTTATTTTAATTTAATATATATGTGTCACTTTTAAGAGCGATTAACATTTGAACCGCTCTTAAAAGAAAACATGTAATAGCGGTTAAAAATTAACCACTCTTAAAAGTGACCTATAATAGCGGTTGCACTTAAACCGCTATTGTATATACCCGTTATGATCGATTAATTTTTAACATAATCGATTATATTTTCAGATTTGGTTTTACTGACGGATATCCGTCGGTAAATTTGGAGGCAGACCTCCAAAATATAGCTTATTCTAATTTATTTTAATTTCTATAATATATATATATATATATATATATATTATAGAAATTAAAATAAATTAGAATTTAGAATATATATATATATTTTAAATATAAATTATTTTCAAATTCATAATTATTCTTCTAATTTATGCAAAATATATATATATATATATATATATATATATAATTAATTTAAAGATTTTAATTTAAGTAATATAATATATATAATTTATTTAACATTAATTTGATGGTTATAATTTTTGTAAAGTTATAATTATAAATATGCTTTTTTTAAATATATATATATATATATATATATATATATATAATTTTTATAATATATAATTGATAAATGATTTTTTTAATATTAATTGAATATATATGTGTCACTTTTAAGAGCGGTTATCATTTGAACCGCTCTTAAAAGGAAAGATGTAATAGCGGTTAAAGTTTAACCGCTCTTAAAATTTACATATAATAGCGGTTAAACTTTAACCGCTATTTTAAATACCCTGTTATGATCGATCATACTTTCAAATAATCGATTATATTTTCAAATTATCTAGTTTTTAGATAGCGGTTGACCTGGAACCGCTATTATATGTTCATTTATAAGAGCGGTTCAATTGGTAACCGCTCTTAAAAGTTACACTTACTACCCCTGGCTCGCGGCATCACCTCCCACCTCTCATAATCTCCTTCAATTCTTCTCCTTCACCAACCTCACTTACTCTCGCCCCACCTTCACTGAAAATCACTGTATTCTGGGTCGCCTCCCTAGCTTGGGTCGCCTCCACCACTAACCGTGAATCGCCTCCCTACCCATCCACTCACCACGGATTGAAGCAGCAGCCAGTCACTTGTCGAAGGTGAGGGCATGACCTAGCTCCCCTGTCGAGGTTAAAGTCGAGGTCAGGATCCGTATTCTGGGTTTATTTTTGCTTTATGTTTGTACCTTATTCTGATTTAGCATTGTAGGGTTTTGCTTCTCATCTGCCATTCGAAGAAGAGTAATGGCAATTTCTAATACAGAGTGTAAAATGCTTTTAAATCATGGAAAAAAATACTCTAAAACAAATGAAGATGTTGTTTTACTCATTATAGAAAACTTGTTTCCTTCAAATAAATGTCAAGATTGCACAATGTGGAAAAGTATATGCGAGTGAGAGAGAGAGAGAAGGGTTCAGTGATGGTGTTTAGTTCTGTATTTTGTTATGAAGATTAATCAACAATAAAACTGGTAGCACATACCTCATACCAATTAACATAGTTATGTAAACAAGGGTCATGTGTTGTCTTTCAATATTAATAATTGTTTTTGGTACACGATACTTCTTGCAGGTTAAGTGTTGGAAAATCAAACGCCAAACAAAGGCTCCTCAAGCTGCAGGGACTATCCATACTGATTTTGAAAGGGGATTTATTTGTGCTGAGGTGAGTTGAGTTCATGAATATTGACATTTCTTGATTTAACCTGGTTGATTCTTCCTGTTATATATTTTCAAATATGTTTTAGTACATTGATTCCTTTTTTATTCAAGCTTAATTGCTTGAAAGTCCAATGTTAAATTCGATTTGACAATATAAAAGTAGCTTAGTATGTTGAATCTAATGTTTAATCAATGTTCGATTTACTTGGACTATAGTTTAATCAAAATCCAATGGTCAATTTCTTTTGCACAATTCATTCAATTGATCTTATTCTTTTCAATACTACAGAACATGGATGGTATTTCTTTCCGTCGTGGTTGGATGTATGATAGATGTTATAGTGGTAGAAGAGGTTTGAAAGAGTCTTTTGTTATAGGGGTTGAAGAGTTTGTCAGATTTGCTCGACAATATGAGTATTAC